TCACACTGCACCGTTCTCTGCCATATAGGAGATAAAATCACTTTGTTCATGCAGCTACTTTATACATCTATTCACAAATCCCTGCATGCTTAAACAACCTTCCTAAAGACTTCCTTTAAAGAGTCATCTAATGTTTACACTTCCTTTATTGCAATTTCTGTTTGATATAGAATTTCCTATCTCCTGCTCTGATAATAGCTTGCTAAACCCTGCAGGAGCCTCATGTGTGTAATTACAGTTCAATTTATAGAGAAGGAGATAAAAACTTTAAAGTAAGTTACATCTGATTGAAAATGAAACCATTTTGTTTTCATGCAGGATGTGTCAGTCACAGCTAGAGGAGATGTGGCTTTAACCAGGAGTTTGACGCAAATAACTATTGTCATAACACCATAGCTACAGGATAGCAGGCATTAAGCAATCACTCAGGGCAAAGGTTTTGAAAAGTTTATAGACGTGTCTGGCAAATGAAGGTAAAGTATTTGACTACACCTGTGGAGTTATTCACTAAAATCTGAATAACTAATTTAATTCCCCCCACCCCACTTGATGCCACAGTGAGGGAATAGCAGGTGTCCTCTCTTTACCATGTGTTTGGTATGGGGGAAACATGGCAGATCTCCCCATATTTATTAGTGGAGAGGCACCTACAACATAATGTTTGTAAGGGGAGATTTTAGCCTCCCAATTATTTGTGTTAAATTAACACCCATATAGAATGAAAAAAAGGAAGTTGGCCACACATTTAACCCTTGTGATGCAGAGTAAATGTTTTGTTTTTTTGTTATACTCCTGCATCAAGCGACCGGAATATACAATATTTGATTCAAAGGGGTGCCTAAGTAAGTGCTATAGAACAACACCGTGGACATGAGGGACTTCATTCAAGAGATCAAGCACTCTAAGAAAATTATTAAATGTAGAAAATAATCCAGGCACGCCAACGAATTACAAAATAAAGGCAATTTTATTAGAACCAGGAACTACACAGCAACGTTTCGATCCCTTAGGGCCTTTGTCAAGGGGTCGAAACGTTGCTGTGTAGTTTCTGGTTCTAATAAAATTGCCTTTATTTTGGAATTCGTTGGAGTGCCTGGATTATTTTCTACATTTAATAATTTTACATTTGGTCCATTTTGGTACTGGGACTTGTCCATTGGAGCACCCTGGATTCCATGACGAAGGGTTGAGAGCACTTCCATTATCTATATGATATCTATATGATATCTATATGATATGGATGGCCATCACAGTTAATCTCAGGAATATTTAACAGAGAGATCTGAGCTCTCTGAAAGCACAAACAGAGTACTACTGGAGACAGGGCCATCTTTAATATTGATTGGACCCAGGGCAAGCATTTGCTTGAGCCCCCTGTACCCTGTATCTTGGCCCCCCCACTCCCAACCCCCAGCTCCCTGGCATGAAATCACAGCCTCAACACCAACCTACAGATGGAACTAATGTAAAGATGGGCTGTGGTGCAAGAATTTTTTTTCGGTCTCCCCTATAGCGCAAGAGTGGAGAAAAGATAGATACCCATCTGTCGTACAACTTCCATGATGCTATGCAAACTGGGGATCATTCTTGTAGAGTTGTATTTGTGAGCAGAATTTGAATGTAAGCATGTTTTTGTATAGGGTATATGTGTGCATGTAGGGGTGTATTTGTATGTACTGTTACCATTGGAATGCAGCGGTGTACTTGTGTGTATTGTTTGCGTTTGAATGCAAGGGTGTGTGTTTTTATGTAGCATTAGCTTTTAAATGCAGTTGTGCTTTTGTATTGAGTTGAGGTTTGTATATAATTTTAGTGTTTTAATAAAGGGGTGTGTTTGTATGTAACGTTTGTAATTGCATGCAGGGGTGTGTTTGGATGTAGTGTTGTCTTTTAAATGCAGGTGTACATTTGTGTGTAGTATTGGTGAGTGAAGGGCGTGTCTATACGCAATTTTGGAGTTTGAATTCAGGGGTGTGTTTGTATATAATGATTGCGTTTGCAGCGGTGTGTTTGATTGCCTGGATGTATGCATATACATACTAACACAGATATACATACACATTGACACACAGATACATACATAAACACACTGATGCATGCACACACCTGGACACATCTTAACACACAGTTACACACTAACACAAACACACTGGCATATACACACATTCAGATACACACTTTGACACACTTTGATACAGACACTGGCGCACACACACAGATACACACTGTCACAGATATGTACACACACTCAGATACACAAAGACACACAGATTTACATGCAGGGGTGTATCTGTGTGCAGTGTTGGGGTTGGAATGCTGGGATGTATGCATTGCCACATACACACTTACACAAACACTGAGATACACACAGGAACACAGACACACATGCAGTGGTGTATTTGTGTGCAATTTTGTTGGAACGCAGGGGTATATTTGTGTGCAGTGTTAGCGTATGTGTTGGAATGCTGGGATGAATGCATTGCCACACGCATAGATACACACTTACATATACTGAAACACACACACATATATATATATATATATATATATATATATATATACACACACACACACACACACACACACACAAATGCTCAGAAACACCCACCCACACGCAGGTACACAAACACTTTGACACACAAGTACACATACACAGGTATACATTCATACAGATACATAGATATACAGACACAGACACGCAGACACATATAGCCAGATACACACACAGCCAGATACACACACAGCCATATACACACACTGACACGAACACAGCCAGATACACACACACAGCTAGATACACACACTGACATATACACAGTCAGATACACACACATACATACAGCCAGATATACACACACATATATATATAGCCAGATGCACTGACTCAGACCCAGGTACACGCACATATATCAATTTACATCATATTTTAGCCACCCTCTTGTCTCCTTACCTTTTGGGTACAAAAGGGTGGCTTCCCTGGGGTCCAGTGGGAGCTGGAGGGCCAACGCTGATGGGAGTCTGACTTCCTCAGTCCCTCTCCTCCTCCTGTGTATGCCTCCTCCACCTCCCCAGCGGCACTCTGTTACTTGGGAGGAAGTGATCTCACCTCACTTCCTCCCAGCAGACAACATGAAAGGGGCCCAGGCCGGACCACTCTTAAAGGGCTGAGGGCCCCTAATTACATCGGGTGCTGCAGTCTACAGGGTTTGGGTGCCGGCAGGGGTCCCACGGGGCAGCTACTTTGGGCCCCCCAGGAGTAACTGGGCCCGGGGAAGCTGCCCCTTTTGCCCCCCTTTAAAGACAGCCCTGACTGGAGAGGACAGAGTGTAGTGGTGGACTGTTTATTTGTATTTTATGTGTATGCAAGAGCATGTTTAAATATTCTGTATTTTTTTTAATTATACCAATTCTGTTCTTCACTTCAAAATAGCTCCATACAGGACTTTTACCCTGTGGAGAAGGGATGAATACAGTTGCAGAATAGCTCTTAATTTCAAGCCAGGGATCCTTCTTTGTCCCCTACATTGGCAACTAAGGTTTTTGTTAAGTCAATCAGAATGGCTGTGTGCAGAAAAAAAAGAAGATCTTCCCAACAAGATCTAAGATGATAGAGTGGACATTTCAGAGGGCAACAAGGGGGAGCATTTTTAACATTAGCCACCCTTTGTTTGCAGTGGGCAAGTTTATGGTCTACACCAGCACCTGAACAGCTTATAGTTTTTGTTTCCTGTAACAGAGATATGGTATCCTGGTGAGCCAAAATGAACAAATTAACATTTTGCACCACTTGCCCTCTGAACATGTGCATTCCCACTCTTGTTCCGAAGAAAATTGAGAGATAGCATGGTGTATTCTACAGCCCATAACAACAGTAATTTGTACAATACAGAGATACTTTTCTGTACAGTTAGTGTTCAGTGAAAATGTTTGGGAAGTGATCTATGACTATGCATTATCTGAAAGCACCAGTCGCGCCCCAAGTCCTCTAGAATAAAAAAAAAATAAAAAAAAATACTAATAGCACTGTATGAGTACACTATCACCTCCCCCCCCCCAAAAAAAAAATAAAAAAATAAAAAAATAAAAAGAACTATTGCAAGTGAACAGTGAACCAAGTGTTTGAAGTATTCAATCTGTTAAAGGGACACTATAGTCACCAAAACAACTTTAGCTTAATGAAGCAGTTTTGGTGTATAGATCATGCCCCTGCAGTCTCACTGTTCAATTCTCTGCCATTCAGGAGTTAAATCACTTTATGAACCCTAGTCACACCTCCCTGCATGTGACTTGCACAGCCTCCCTAAACACTTCCTGTAAAGAGTCATCTACAATTTATCCTTCCATTATTGCAAGTTCTGTTTAATTTAGATTTTCTTATCCCCGCTATGTTAATAGCTTGCTAGACCCTGCAAGAGCCTCCTGCATGTGATTACATTTCAATTTACAGAGAAAGAGTTACAATTGTTTAAGGTAAATTACATCTGATTGAAAGTGAAACCAGTTTTTTTTCCATGCAGGCTGTGTCAATCAGAGCCAGGGGAGGTGTAACAAGGGCTGCATAAAACAGAACCAGAGTGATTTAACTCCTAAATGGCAGTGAAAACTTTAGAGGCATGATCTATACACTAAAACTGCTTCATTAAGCTTAACTTGTTTAGGTAACTATAGTGTTCCTTTAATTGTTAAAGAATTCGGCACATAAAATGATTTCAGAAGTCACTGTAAACCATTTTCTCACAATTAACCAATTTTCTAAGTGACCTCCCTGTTAAAAAGTGCTGTTAGCTATTCTTCAGAAAAATTGTGATAATGGATAAGTGTTTTAGGTAAGGTATATTGTAATGTCAACAGTGCTAACTCATCAGCGACCATTAAAGTGTTAGTAAAGATCAAAGAAAAGACTAATTTAGCAATGCATTTCACAACACCAATACAAAATAATGTATTGTTAGAGATGGGACTGGGAAATATAAAAAATAATTGACAATAATACAGTTTATCTGTAAGAAAAGTGAGTATATTTATGGTTTGCTTTATAAAAGTTACTATAATACAATGGTACAGAGTATTGAATTCACAAAAATATGAACAAATATATACAGGCAAGACACACCCACAACAAAAACACTTTCATTTCAAAACAAGAAATAGATCCAAGGCAGTTTTATATGCACAAAAAAAAAATCATTTTATAGAACCCGCAAAATCTCTAAAACAGAGATTTCAAAACAAAAAAGCTAATGGAGCGAATGAAAAAATAATCTTTTATTGCAAAACCTGTCACTTGGCTTCTGGTTGAAGGTTTTTTTTTTTCTTCTTTTATACTTTGAGAATTAAAAATATCTTTATATACAAAATAGTCCCATGGAACTTTGAGCTGTGTGCTGCTTTGTTTTTTTTTTTGTTTTTTTAAACAACCCTTTTAAAATATTTCTTATAGTGTTTTATTTTCACAAATACTACAATGGCAAATTTCTTCTGAGAAAACTTTTAAGAAAAAAAAAATATTTTTCAGTTGTTTTTCATCACAATTGCAAGAGAATGAGATCTATCATCCTTTTATCCTTTGGAAAAAATATTGCAGGAATACCTGGCAGTAAAATGATTAAACTTATCCACTATACAGAGGTGGAAATTGGTTAACACTTTCAGAGCTGGAGGGTACAGCTGAATCTGTCAAGCCACATAAGTGTTTAAAATGGTTTACTTTAAAAATGAAGGTTATTTTTTTTTTTTTTTAAATAAATACATTTTGCGCACAAGGTTTTCTACTTCGGGAAGCCTCGCCTGGTCTTACTTTCATTAAATTTGTTAATGCTCCTAAATTTCATCTAGCATGACACAAAATTTATACAGAATATACATGGTATAAGCTTGACACAAGCTAAAGTATGCTACTTATTCACTCAGATACACAATGCCTTATTATCCTGATTTCTTTTCAATATGGTAGGAAGTTGCCTTTTAATAAAAGGTAAATATACTTGCATTCCTAAATCATGTAGTTTCAAACTTTCCCAGTAAGCTGATCGCAGCATATTGAATAGAAACTTTTATGCTTCAGTTGTAACTTTAAAAAAAAAAAAAAAAGAAATTTCAAATTACAATAGTTACTTTAATAAATTATTTACACACTTTTCAAATACAAAGGAATTCAGCAAAGAGAGCAACCAAAATCATCTTGTTTCTACAAGAAACAAATGTTTAGAGATTCAAGACTTTGTACAGAAGATGCAATTTCTAATTACACTGAAAACCCTATGCATATATACACATATATACACACGCACATACAAACATTTATTTTGATATTTTTTTTTTACCTTTTTCTTTTTTGTTAAACCTAAATGCACTGAAATGATCCCTGAATTTTCACAAACCGTTTCAACTATAAGTTTGTTGAATTATCAGTTTAAATGAATTGTTTTGTTGACAACAGTTGTGTGTAGTAGATCATGTTTGCCAGGGTAGAATATTAAACAATAAAAAATAATAATTATAATAAAAAAAAAAAATAATAAAAAAGTTAGTGAAACTGTCACACTGAAAAAATGAAGAGAAAAAAAAGTCAAAAACACAGGGCCTAGTGCATTATAAAAATAAACTGCGAGCTTATGTACACTTCAGACAAACACACATAATGGGGTTCTTAATTTACAACTGAATATGGTACAATTTTGAAATTTCACATTTGCTATTCAAAAGGTGAAGACCTTTTAAAAAAAAAAAAAATATATATATATATATTTTTAGGTAACCCACCTAACAAAGAAGAAAATAGTAAGGTTGGCTGTTTAGATGCCTTATTTGGGGGAATTATTGACAACAATGGTGTAATTACAGCTGTTTGAAATCTTCTATCATCCTAAACCAGTCCACAGCCCAAGATTGGCTGAAGATTATAGGTTTACTTCCAAGGTTGTTTTTGGGCTACACCATTGTCCACCTCAGCTACAGAGTTATATGGGTGTTATTAAAGGAGAAAGTATTCAAATTCATTAAAACAATCACACACATATCTCCAGCCATTTTAAGTGCAGAGGCAAAGTCAAACGAATGCGAATTGTGTCAATTGTCTGACCAATCTCCTTCCTACTGGAGTTTTGGTAAATGATGGACTCCTATGATTATATTTCAACTAGCCAGAATAAAGTGATGAAATGGCTATACATATTTTAGCATAAGTTTGATGGCGATTTTTCTTTGACTTGAAACATTTCAAATGTGTTTTTATTACCCTGAAAGCCTACATGACATTTGGCTTATAACTACTGAATCACTATTTTGTGCTTTATGCTCTATTTTAACTATGCGGTCACTCACGTCACTATCAGAAGGTGGTTTGCTTTTCTTCTTAGTGTGGATTCCTATGTGTCACTGATCTGATTCTCTTATAACACAGACTTTAATAAGTCAATTCTAAGTCTATTTGCATTGTGTGATAGTATTCAGGAACCCTGTGGTAGTAAATTGGGTATGATCGATCACATTTATCACAATTTCTGATGTTTCTTTAGAACTGGTGTCAACACATTTCTTCCTGGAGAACCCTGCATTACTCAAGGCACACTAGGGGGAAAAAGAGAAAAAAGGGGTCTGCAGTCTTTGGGAGCACTTCAATAATAGTTGGAGGGGAGGTATATTAAACAGTTCAATTGCTGCTTCAAGTGGTACCATGGCTATTTACTGCACATGCTTTTAAAGGGGTTTGGGGGGGGGGGGCGGGGAGGGCAAAATACCATTGTGCTATAAACTGCATTTACTCCAGTTCGAAACAAGGGTTTGTTTTTACCGGATGGCTAAACTAATCTATATATATTGAACAGTGATGGCTAACCTTGACACCATAAATTGTTTCTAGACTACATTTCCCATGATGCTCAGCTAGCTTTTAGAGTCTTAAAGCTAGCTGAGTATTATTGGAAATGTAGTCCAGAAACAATTTATGTTGTCAAGGTTAGCCATCACTGATATAGAATGTCACGCATCGTTTAATTTCACCATACAGAAAGACTGCCATCGTTTTTTCCTGATGAGGCTAGGTAATCTAGATCAGAAGCAAGCAATTTAACTCTGCACGTTATGAATACTGTAGATTGGACTGTCTGCATGTGATCCAAGTCATGCAGGAGAGCATATCATAATGCACACACATTAATGCAACAACAGAATATTTTGCTGAAAACCGAACAGACATTAGTGAAAGAGTGGATTAGTGTATGCTAAACAAGTGTTTAATGTAACCAGCAGATACCGCTAGTATACAATCTTAAAAAAACATGCCAAGCACCTTAACTTCTACAGCTAGCTGTTGTTGTTGTTATGGTGCCAGGAGTGCCCAGGCGCCCCATTGTAAGTAGTTAAACCAGTTTGATTTAAGCCCTTCATCTGCAGTTCGCTCTCAGCCAATGAGATAAGTCCAGTGGAGGTGTGGAGTGGTGCCCAAAAGACCTAAAGTAAGACATAAACCATTCAAAAAAGGTCTGTCTCCTAAAACAATGTTTTGGAATTAGAGCACACCTGGCACCATAATTACTACACTACTGTAGTGGTTATGGAGGTTGGAGTGTTCTTTTCTGAATGCTGATGTTTCTGCTATAGTTAATCTTGCTGGTCAAAGACATCTACATGACCCATCAAATACAATCATTAAAATATGAAAAAGCAGCAGCAAACTGGAGCAGAGATATAAGAAGAATATCCTCAGCCAGATATCCTTAAATGCTACAGCCTTTCGTCCACTGAAAAATATATGTTTTCTGTTTTTTTCTGTTATTTCATTTGCATAACAACTTCCTTGATTGATTGCATGATTTTCAAAACATGTAGGACATGGTTGATTGCAACTTTATTGGAAGGCTGGTGTTAAAAAAAAAAAAAAAAATTATAAATAAATAAAAAGAATAATTTAATTAATGCTCAAGTCAACTAACAGACTAGGATGGCCTGGTTAATGGAGAATAATTGCCTTAATTTTTGCATATTAGGCTATGCAATTTAAATATAAAAGAACCCACTATGTATAGACTGCATCTAACACAAAGCCATCATTTTAAACTTCTTTATAAAGAATTGGTAATCTTAAATTACATGGCCAAAAAGTTAAAGGATAAGGATATTAGAAGGACACTGTTCAAAACGAGGAAATGTTTTTGTTTGTGCTGCACTTGGAAATAGTATGTCAAAAATAAACATTAGATGAGCAACTACAGCTCTAGAGAGTAGCAAAATATATAATCATGATATATAATTATAGCTTCTCACTAATGGATATTTTTAAAGTTAGTACAACAGCCTTGGGTCTGATAAAATTAAATTGTTGCATTAATAAAAGGTTACTAGAACCTTACTGTTAGGAGGCTGCAGTGCATTATGAAAAGTTTCCTTAGAAGTGCAGGGTTTCAGGTTAGTGAACTTTTCATCTGAAAACCAATTATTCTTCTAATAAAAGAAAGTAAAAGGCTCTAATGTAAAAAAATATGCCACCTCTGATAGTGAAAATATTGAAATGGATGCCTCAAAAAAGGATGACAAGATCCCATAATAAGACCATAAAAAAATAAACACATACATACACACACACACACACACACTCACGTTCAATTGAAAACAAATTATTTTGATCATTCTACACTTTGGAAAAAGGAGGAGAGCAGAGCAGAGCATTGGATCCGGGTGCTTTGGAGGATAGAAGAGAAAAAAAAAAAAAGAAAAGAAAAATACAACTGGCCAAGCAAAAGCTTACTTCTCCACAAGAAAAGAGTCCCTTTGGAAACCCGAGGGGCATTCCCAGTGGATACCAATACAACATTTCCTCTTCACATTTATGGTGACCGTTCGATGAGGAAGCTAGCAGCATTCATGGAAAAAATAGAAGGTACCGTTTTACACCCAAAGGTGAACAATGTGGGTATCAGACAGGAGATAGTGTTTTTTTTTTGTTTTTTTGTTTTTAAACATACATTTATTCTGTGCCACTGAGTGGTGATCACCTTTTAATTTCTCATTGAAGAAAGAGCACCAGGGTCCTTACAATCTGAAACAATATCCTAATGTACATGTGCTCTTGCTGCTCACAAGCCCAAGAGAAGTGCGAAATCTTTTTAATTTTTTGGCAAAAGTGCAACTTACACCTATAACCTGCAGTCCAACATGGCTGAAAGGTGTGATAAGAAGAGGCCTTTAATTTAGTGTCCCTCTGCAGTTCTCTGCTCCGCAAAGACAAGGGATCTTGACATCTTCTATGGGGAACTTGTAATCATATGTTATCTCTTCGTTCACATTAATATATTGTTTGGAGTAGATGACAATCTTCTTCTGTGCCTCCACAGTGATGACTTTTGCGTAACAGTTAGGCTGCAAACATACAGGATTAATGAATTACGGTTATGATCTTTAGCAATTAACCATACAATGTCAGTAGAAAATATATTATTTTGTTATAGCCCAAATAAGATCAGCAGAGGAGATCTCCCTGTAGATTCTAACAAGTTAACAATGTTTTACAGACTAGGAACATCCATCATAGAAAATACAATAATTATTCTATTTAATGATTCCAAATCTTGAGGGAAAAAAAGAGACTAGCCCAACACATGTTTTAGCTAAATAGTCAAGAAATACACATAGTTGATGTATAGAATTGATGTAGGAATTGCAAATACTAGGCCAGGGGTAGGCCTCCTTCAGCAATCAAGATGTAGTGACCTACATGTCCCACAATGTTCTTACAGCCATAATGTTGGCAAAGCATTAGGAGAGATGTAGTCCACAACATCTGGAGTAATGAATGTTGCCTACCCTGTGTTATGTCAATATAAGCCCAAATGAAAACATTCTCCAACTTTTTTTTTTTTTTTACTGCTCGAGTGCTCAATTACCAACATTGACAAATCCATCATTAATTTTTGTTGCACTTTATATAACCATTCTTATATAATATAAAGATGTTTATCTGCTTTAATTTAACCAGTTATCCAGTCTGCTTAAATCCTTGGCTGTTCGAGCATAATATATTAAAGAGGTAAACAGTGCAGTCTTAACTATACAGTTAAGTTGTAAACTCTGAAACGCCAAAGCCGGATCCATGATAAGCAACTCAAATTCCTTAACTGAAGAATTAAAAAAAAAAAAAAAAGTCTTTTGATAATCATTAAATTGACGATTATCTAAAAGTTTTTGCTGATTGAGTCACTATTAGAACATTGATCCAGATTTGGTTTTTAAAGTAAACCTGCATGGGTGTAGGAAACGGGGGTATGAGCGTCTTTGGTGTAGCTTTTAAGATCACAAGTTTTATTGTTTAAGAAAAATAAGAAAACCAAAAATGTATGTTAAAATATTTGGTTATCTGATTCTACTAATAGACTCCTTATTAAAAAATAAATAATTTTGGCTATAGTAAACTGCAGAAAGCCTGGGGTTGTATCATAAAATAAGAACATTTCATTTCCAAAGTAGATACAAAATTCATAAAATTTTTTAGACATTTTCCAAACGTGTTTAAATGAAAATACCATAGTGGATGATGCCCAACCTCTGATACATTGTAAAAGCCATCCTGATACATTATCACTGGGGTGATTTATACATACTTCTATATTCTGTTAATTATGGTAGTAGCGCTATCTAGCTTTGCTAAATCTGCACTGTCACTTGTGAGTTTATTGCATCTCTTGCAAAGACCCTCATGGGCGATATATCTGCATGCGTGCAGCACCATGTAGCACCTCAAAAAGCATGGCTATATCCCAGTTATGGAGTAGGGGAATGGACTGAGCTACACACCACTCTTACCTCCTCCAATTTCAGATTGATCTATATTAAAGCGAAAACTGTAACCCTGCATGCAGAAACAGATGCATAAACTCCATGCCACGAGGTCTACACCTGGCAGGAAACTACTTACATTACAGCTGTGATTAATAAAGCGGGCAAAATTCCCACATTTGGTGGCATCAATGATGGTGTCGTGGTCAACTCGGAACATGTAACTGCTCCCAATTCCTTCATCCTCATATCGTTTCTCACGCATATCTGCTATTACCTAAAATGAAGAAGAAGCTTTAAATATTGTCTAATGTTTTCGAGAACATTAATACATTGTGTGGTAGGTTATTGTTTAATCAACAGGTGTCCTGATGGGCAAGTAAGCAATGCTGAACGGTTGTATGGCTCTGAAGCTTATTTCTTCTGGGTTTAAAATCCATGAAATCTATTGGAGACTAGTTCCTTTTTGCATAGTTTAGCGAGAGGAAACCCTTGAAGTTTGATGCCCGTTTTTATCCCGTTTTAAAGACTCTAGAATGCCGTCTGTTGTGGACACTGGTTAGGAGAAGTTTCCAATCTGTGTTCCCCCTCTTTTTGGAATGATAATTGAGTTATCAATTTCTTTTGAGTGTCTCTCTTTGTCTCCCGCAATCTATTTGGCCTGTTTTTGGTTAAAACCCATTCTTGCTGGCAACCAATTCAGATACAGATCTGAATGGGGAGGGGGAGCTGTAGAACTGCTTTGTTCCACCAATTAGTATTGTTAAAGTCACCTTGTTATTACAATATAGATGGCCTCATTGTTAATCAAAGTGTGTAATTCTGGGACTGTTCCTATCCAGGGAAGTTTGTTTTCATTGGCACTTACAGACCTGACCTTCCTATATTTCTTTTTTTTTTTTTTTACACCATTATTTGTACATTTTAAGAGAGGACACCAGTACAGAAATTGGCTTCAACATACAGAAAGTATGAGTAGTAGACGTGGCTGATCAATGTATACAGCCATATCTAGTGAACCGAAAAAGAAGTTCCTGGTACAAGAAAATTGAAATCTAATTAAGTCAGTTGGCAATTTTCAATTCCTCTGTGCTGTATAAAAAAGCAGCCATAAGAAGCCATACCCATTTCTTAAAGTTATGTTGAAATGTCCAATATTTTATTTACCCAGTCCCACAATCCTCTCTCTTTGGAATTAGATGTCTTAAGACTTTGTGGCAATCACTTTCCTTCCTGAATCCCCCCACAACCTGCAAAAAGTCACCTCAGAGAAAGTGTCCTGTGTGCTATAAGAAAAGAGGTGTGAAAGGACTCCAGTTATTACAGTCCTTCCTGCCCTCTGCATAACAGACTGATTTAGAGTCTCCCATACAGAGCTGAACTATTAAATCACTCGGTATGGGACATTGTCAGTTTGTTTGATTATTCTGGATTTCTGACCTTGGCTTGTCCTATTGCTGTTTGTTAGCTGCCTGTACCGACTTATTGGCTTGTAATATCGACTACTCTGACTTCTGGATTCCTCGGATCTTGGCCTCTCCATGTTTACGTTAACCCCAAAGTGGCTACACCAAACAACTCAAAATACTACATTTAGCACCTTGTTAAAATGGTATGCCATCATGGGACAATTGTCTTTCTTAGAGTGCCATGTTCTCTTAAAAGTGACATAGGTAAGAAAATCACAGTCAAATTTACAAGTTGAAAAGGGCATCCAATATATTTGGCCATGTGACTTCCCCAAACAAACTGGAAAATCAATGCATGGGGGAAACTGTTGATGAGACAATGGGAAGTAACAATATTGAGGCTTTTTTACACTAACACACATCAGAAATATGTGTGTGAAAAATCACATATAAAATTATAACCACACAATGGGGACTGCATTTGTGATGCAGTGGCTAGAGCAAACACCTCAATATATGCCATTAGGAATATTCTGGGTTGCCTAGAAAATTTTGAAAATGGTATGCAATAATGAAGGAAATGTTATTACTCAGGCTGCCATACTTTCAAAAGGGACGTTGTCAAATGTCTAGGTAGAAAGACGGAAATGGGCAATTGGCTACTAAAAAAAAAAAAAAGATTGGACATACCCCATTTGGAATACACCGGGTTGTCTACTTTTGCAAATGGTTGCGATGATGGGGGCAAGTCTCAATCCTAGGCTACCATTCGGTTTCAAAGGCAACATTGGCCTGGCAAACCAATCTGGCAAATTTCAACTATGACATTTGATGTACAGAAAAAAAAATTGTGGATATCGACCCTGTTCAAACAAACTAAGACTCTAAAAGAAGGGATTAACTATACATAAAGGTAAAAAGAAACGTGCAGAGAAGGCAGACCACTGGGTATATTAAAATTTACAGAATGCATACATTATATAACATACAGTAGATGCAAATGGAAGAGGTTAAATAGGGTTAGTGCAGGCATCAAGAAAATTCGATTGTGGAAATATGCAGTTTCTTAGACAGAAAACTACCAGGAGTATTTACTAAAGTAAGAATTCAAAGTGATTTTCCAATTTAAGGCTATAATATATTTTATATTTGAAATTCATTCTAAATTCACTTTATATTCTCACTTTAGAAAAGAAAAAAAAAACCTGTGTAACAAAAATGGGAAGAGTTTTAAGCAAACAAGTTAAATATAGAAAACATATCTTTAAAGATGGTTACATTCATTTCTGGTTTCTTTAAAAAAAAAAAAAATAGGCTGGCTTGTAAAATAGTCCATTGGGCTACTAGATATAAACTGCATTTGTCCAGCCACGTTACGTTTAGCGCTGCCAATGATGCTATTCCTACAACTGTCATTATTGCAGTCACAGAGGACTGAGAAGGAAAACTATAATAAAAAATAATTTCTTAGGCAGCATCTATAAATAAATTAGTGTTGTGTGATATTTTTCTAGTGCTTTTTTATATATATTTAAATTGATAGTCTATTTATTTATGAAAAAGATAGTACAATTGTTTACTACTATTTCAATAAAAAAATGTGGGACACTAATTTTGACTAAAGACGAAAACAAATATACAGCTAGTAAAACATCTGCAAATATTGGTTAAACAACTCGGCTTTAGGCTGCAATCTATTGTGCACGGCTTAAATGGCAGATAGAATCTTAGTAATAAAATGCATATAGGTGAATTGCTTTTTAATTTTTTTTCTCTTTTTCTTTTTTTTTTTTATAGTCAGTGTCTTACAGCTTTATTAAAGAGATGTTTGGTAACATGCCAGTTAACACTGAAAGCTCAAACCATCTTACCTGTCGGATGTTTTGTCCCACATACTCTATGACCATCTCATCAGCAGCAATTGGCTCCATAGCAAAAAGACCCCAGTCATGTATATGGCTCTTGCAGAAACGCAACTTTTTCTTACGAAACTAAAAACACAACAATAAACTATCAGTTATAGTGCAATGACAATGTAATTTCCCCATCAGTTTTGAATAAAACTACTACAGGGCAGTATTAATATTCTTTATTGTCTAAAGTATAATAATAGCACAAACAGGTTTTAATTCTTGTTTTCATTTGCAGTTGCAAGGAAGAAAGAAAGAAAGAAAAACTAAAAACAAAAAAAACTTTGAACTTATGGCATACAAAAGGCTGTGAGGACCCTGCCAGGAATCAAAACTCCAACTCAGACGTTTGAATGGACTGTACAGTTAGTGCATGAACCACAGAGTTTTTTCTACAAATTAATAAAATGTATTATTAATAACTATTGAACACAACAAGTTAGCGTGACTTAACCTCAAAAACAGAAAACCGCGTTAGATCTGAAAAATATCAGCTTACCTTCAACTGATTGAATTTGAGCAGATCACTGTCACAGCTCCCAGTAAAGGAAGAAAGCAGACGCCGCTGTTCTGACCTTCTCTCCGAGCCTGCTCGGGTAGAGGCATGAGGCTGAGCTGGGATACTCATTCCCTATAGTGAAAAGAAAAAAAGAGAACAGATTTGTGACATTTACACGATAACTTTGAGAGCATTGATTCAACCACTGGATAAGAACACACATGCTAAACTTGATTTAGATCAGTTATTAAAAAGACTCTATAGGCACCCAGACCTTTAATGTGTAATTTTAGTCCTGCGAGGATACATCAATGTTTCCATTGCAGGACTAAACACATCTAGGCACTTCTGCTGTGAGAACTTAGTGAGACTTGGCTCTCACAGCTAACCTCTTCAAATACTTTTCATAGAAAGCATTTGATTGGAGGAACACTGCTTCTCGTCCCCCAAGAAGATGAAGAGTCGGCGTAACATTGAGGGAGGCGGATCAAACACTGAAAAAAAACCAAAACAATCCCTTCCCCCCTTTAAAAAAAAAATAATGAAAATTAGATTGGGAAAGCGTGTATCTAAATGTTGTGGAGATCACTACAGGTTTGTAGTGTTCCTTCAAACAAATAAACTATTTAAAAAATGTGAAAACTATAAAAGAACGTTTTACAAAAGTATAGCAGTACAAACCAATCTTTCTCTGGTTGCCTTCAAAGAAATAATGCTTTTAGCTAATCGTTAAACCAAATTTGACCTTACACTATGTTTATACCTGCACTTGCTCAATTTCATTTATATAATTATTTAAGACAATAATTATGACTGATTTCTTAATTTATCCATCTTAAATTCAAATCAAATCTTACAACTGTAATTGAACCTAATTATTCTGAAAACATCACAATATGTAAGTTGTTGCACAATAATTAATCTAAACTTCACTTATACAAAATAATGAGGCAATAGGATTGTGAACATTTAGAGCTGAGATTTAATAGTAATACATGAGAATCTAAGGAGAAAATACAATTGGATGTGTACAATTACAAATCTAAATGCACAAATTTTAGGTCTATGGTCCACTCATCATGGGTGAGTATAATGGGCTGGGCATCAGCAAGTAAAGATCAATGCAAAACTCAGACATTGTAATGAATGTTTGCGATCATATCACTCTAGATAGCAAACTAGGAGCTGTGCTGACCGGTACCTGCAGAGTTGCCATCTCCCAAGCTGTGGATGGCAAGGAAGGGGTAGGTAGAAGTGCAGGGCAATAGGTAATACATTAATCACCACTTTAGTAGTGCATGAGTAAATTCTCTGTTTAGATTTGCAAAAAAATTATAGAAAGCACTGAAGGAAACACATCTTAATCCTACAAGAACCTTTTTCAAATGCTGGGTTAGGTGACAAAATCGCCTGTTTACCTTGGACTCTACAAGTGTTTTGATTTTTAGATAATAGCTGGTTTGATAAAGGTCCTTGTAGGAACAGACTATTACCAGCACTGTGATATATTAAAGACACAGTTTAAAAGAATAATTATTTTGTGAAATATCTAAAGAGCATAACAGAAGGATTTAATATGTGGAAATCTGATGATAACAGCAGTATAAAATGTTAAAAGTTCATGATCATAGAGAGAAAAGAATAATAGAGGGATATCTGCAAAGAAGAATTTCCATATAAAAACTAAAAACGTATTCTCAGCCTTTCATTAAGAAGTCGCCACAATGATCAGTTCTAAAAATTCTACATATATTTTACCAAATGTGTTTATCCTCACATGTAGTCTTAATCTGGTTTACTTCCCTATCAGAAATATACCTGCCCTCTTAGATCCAATGCCTTTCTTCCGCTTTAAACTTTTGTATATGATATTTATGCAGATTGACTACGTACCTGGGTATCAATAGGAGGCTCATCTGCAAAAGATCGACTGTTGTTGAGGTATTTCAATTTGTCTTTCTTATCAATTTTATAGTATCCCTCACTACGGGCACACCCTGTCACATGTTCCCGTAAACCATCATCTCGTTTCTTTTTCTTGGGAGAATAAGCACTGGTTGGTAAGATGCAAGTTAAGGAACATAACAGAGATTGGATCCAAGAAAAAAAAAAAATGATTACACATTGTCATTCTTCTTAACATCGACTGCCAGACAAATGTGGACCTCTATCGGTGCTTACTGAAACAAAATTATTTTGGGGGCACAGCCCCATTAACTGCTAAAACATATCTTTTGACTACTGAAAGATTTAAAAATAACAAAAACAGGAAATTAGTAATTGATAATGTGGAAACTATAAAGCTATCCAGTATTACATGTAAACAATTGCAATTCCTCCCAGCCTCTTAAGAGTTATAATTCAACTCGGATTGTGTTATGAGTTTCTTCGGCTTTAGAATGAAGAGGCTTTAAGCAGCTGTATTATAATTTGCTCAAACGGTTTTCTTATATTACTTTCCATTAGGAAGAAAATTTCATCAATTTAAAGCTGTGAAGGAAATAAAAACATCTGGTTTCATTAGGTGTGTCTGTCAACTATCTAGTGCAACAAATAATTCTCTTTGATATTTACTCATAACTAATTAACATAATCCAGACCTCACAATCAAAAGATCATTAAAACCACCCAGCATTGGGTGGTGGGGCTTGTAAACTAAGTGAAGCAGATATAAGACATCGGAGGTCCATTAATAAAAGGGGAGCTCCACTACCAATGGAGAACCGCTCCAATACAAAAACAAACAGAGCAGTATTTTGTAGAAATACCCAAATGAAACCATATTTGCATTTAATTATGACTTTTTTTTCTCCCTTTGGGGGTATATCTAAAAGCAGTTTGGAAAAACTGTATAACTGGTCTGTTGCCTTTGGAAGCCCCTTGAGTTTAGCTCAGCGTAGCTAAACAACCAGGAAGTAACAAGATAGGCTGTCTGACTGACAACCAGAGGGGTGTAACATGGTTCATTTATAAAATTTCTACTGAAAACAGCTCTTTGAGTAAAATGGAAAAAAAGGGGTGGGGTGGGGGAATCTTCACACATAAAGCACTAAGCTAAAGTGCTTAAGGTGTGTACAGTGTTTTCCATTAAGGCAACCAAAAACAAGATAATGCTTAAATAGCAAGAATACTTATTCTGAGTATTTAGAACAAAATACAGACTAAATTTATGTTTTACAAAGTGTTGCTGACAGTATGGCTTACTGCTGTGTAAAGACAGAGAAATGTACGATTACAGGCATTGAGACACCAGTATGCAATACAGTGCCTTCCCTTCTGCCTTCTGCCCCTGGACTGGTGGCGGTTTTCCCAGTTTCAGGAGGCTGCTACAGCTAACAAATTTGGTGTTAATAACCGTTACAGACTGATCCTTACCCAACATGGCCTACCACTCTTGAAATGGAGTATATTCTAACAATATTCGGCAAACCCAATCAACATTTTGGAACACATATTTTAGCTGAGCCAGAAAGTAACAGAGGTCCACATCAATACTGTTGCTTAGTCAAAGCAACAGGAGGCTGTGGCATGCCCGCAGTGAAACACTGATGCTATGCTTTGACTGCACAGCAAGTGTGTACCTTGGACAAAGATTCATTAATAGCTACAAGTAGTTCTTCCTCCAAGTAGAGCTAGCAAGATTACAGCTTAGACCAAGAGACTGATACCCTCTTGAATCCATTGCAAACTTCTGAATACATCTTCTAGCCTCCCTAATCCATTCAAGAGGGTGGTTAGGTAGGCATCCATAACCGTACACAAAGTTTGATTTTGGTGGTCACAATCCTCAATTGTGTCTAATGAATTGCTTCATACCTTTAATGGCATTGGATAACTAACTTGTTATGGGACAGAGGGATAACCTATCACATAACAGATGGTTTCCTTATAACATGCATAATGAAATTATGCCTGTCTGAGCAAAGATGTAACTGAAACTCTGCATCATAAGCCACACTCTTTTAATATCACAGGACACTCATGATCAGTTTCTGGTCAATAGTTTTTGAGCACCATAAATAAAAATAATTTATAAGTACCATTTGTACGTTACTTAGATCACCCACCCACACTCCATTTTGTCTCATCACTTTTTAAAGGATATGAGGATGAAAGACCCATAAAGTGTCATTGAGCCAGTCCATGCCATTGTCTTGCTGCAGCAGCCTTTCATATGTAATGCACATATACTTGACATCTTCATCGTCAATTCCTGCATTCCATATGTCATAAAGAATAGTCATCTCTTCAAATTCTGAGCGAGGCTTGAAGTGAGACCGAGGTGGGGAATATTCTGGAGAAGGAATAGTAGAGATTTCTTCTAACCGCTTTTTTAACTTCCAGTTCCTTGGTTTCTTCGGTTTTAGAATTTCTTCCTCTTCCTTTAACTCCTTATTCCACTTATTTTCCAACTCTTTTAATGGAACTTTCTGGTTTATGGCATCATAACTTATAGTATCAGGTTGCACCTCGTTCCTAAAATCAAGAGGTTCAGCTTCAGGGTCTTTAATTCCAGATACTGCATCAGGCTTATCAAGAAACAGCTCTTTGCCTAAAGCACTTTTTGACAATTCTGCTACAGTAGCAGGGAGAGTGTTTTTTTCTGCATAAGGATCTAAATCAAGAGCTGAAAGAGGAGGCCGTTTGGATCTTCCAGGCTTCTTTTTACCAGCAAGATGAGGAGTAGACGAGGAGAGAGACGATTCCTCTAGGAGAGAAATTTGCCCTTTAGCAAAGTCAGGTTCAATATCTTGACTTAATTTATAATCAGGAATAAGAGTCTCAGATAAATCCAGATTAACAAGTGTTAAACTAATATCTTTATGGGGATCACCTCTTGGAGGGCTTGCCATTGGGACTGGTGAGGGAATACTGTTCATGGTTAAGGAAGCACTAACTGGTTCTTTAAATGACTTTTCATCTGGTTCATCTACAGATGGTTTCTTGTTGGATGACTGACAAGGGAAGGTCGCATTTGAATCTGGGAAAGTAGGTGTAAAGTTAAAATCTCTTCCTGGAGTCCTTGGAATACCACTGTTAATTATCCCGGGAGACTGATTAATGTATGAAAATGGGCTTCCAGGAATGTGGGGAGATATTAATGTCAAGCTATTACCTGTGAGAGGAGCATCACTACCTGGTGTAGCAGGGACAGTTTCCGTGCTTTGGGACTTCCCAAGGTGGGCTGATTTTATTGGAATATCTCTACCAGGGGTTCGTGGAAGTTCCTCCTCTGACAGCATTTTAGTCACTGCCAAGTTTGCACACATCTTTTCATTAAGCAGCGATTCCTCTTCCTTACTGAGGCTCTGGAAAGGAGGAAGTATAGAAAGGGCCACATTAGGTAAAACTTGATAAGAGGCCTCAGAATCTGAATGAGTTGCTGGTTCTCTTCCAGGTGTCCGAGGACAAAGTTCCTCATCTTCTGGAGTGATTGGTGTTAATTTCACATGAGGCCTACTATCTGAGGTAATCTCTTCAGGTTTCAGTATGACACCCGGCTCCCCAAAAGCTCCAGTTGGTGTTAAAGGACGAACAATCACAGCCTCTTGAGCCTCTGTATTTGGGCTCTCTAAAACAAAAGGCACAGGCTCCAGTTGTAGTACATATTCTTCCTCTGTATGGTGAAAAGAAGACATAACACAATCAATTTAGTATGGATCACTTCATGAAGTGTTAGAGCAACAAATGCACTGTACCAAATTACAATTAACTGCAAATTATTCATTGATATACTAGACTAGCTAAGGACAATTTTAACTGAGCTTCAGCAGCAGTTTAAGAGTAGAGGTTTACTGGTACTGGTCTAAAAATATCAATGCATGTCTATATTCTAAAAAAGCTAAATGATATGCACATAAATACATAGATATACACATATAAAAACACAAAAACATACATACCTTCATTTGGTGGTGATGGAGCTTTTTGTAATTCTTCATTAATGTCCACAGCCAGTGGTATTTCAGGAGCCTTTTCCACAAAATTAATGGTATCCAATTCATGGTCTTCCACCTCTGGTGTTTCAAGTCTTTCCTTTTGCAGAAGAGACCCCTCATCTACTGTTTCCGTCCCAAGATTATCCTCTGCCTCCTCTTCTTCTTCTTCAACTTTGAGTTCCTCCTCTACTTCAGTTTTTGCTGGACTGCTATGCTCAGAAATTACACCTCTTAAAAGAATTTCTTCTTTTTCACTGTCTTCATATTCTACATCTACATCGACATCTTCTTCTTGGGTATCATACTCTACTTCTTCCCCATCTTCCTCATCTTCATCTTCATCATCATCATCATCAGAATCTGAATCTGAACTGGATACACATTCAGAGTCTTCACTTTCATCTGAAGAGTCCAATTCACCTTTTGAGGAGGCCACACTGGTGGTTTCTTCTACAGAAAGTAAAAAATCCCATTAAAAAAACAAAAACTACTGACAATAGTGGATTACTAAAAATATTTTCCTGCACTTATTCTGTGAAGCACATACACATTTCAGCTACCACAAGGTTACCTGTTGAAATTTATATGCCCATAATTAATACTATGGCATTTTTTCAACGTGGACCTCAGTGGAAACAAAACCCTATGAGAAGCACAATTAAAATGACACATGTATATAGTTATTCCACCACATACCTTCTTCAGAGTCTGGTTCCTCTTCTTTTTCGCTGGCTTCTAAGTCTTCTTCCTCATCATCCTCATCAATGAACGGCTGCTGCTTTAGGGAGAGAGATTTTAAATTGTCAGACTTGGAAATTCATATGTTGTGTAAGGATAAAATTAAATCACATTCTCAGACAGAAGGCAGGCAATATAAAACAGAGAGTAGGAAACAAATGCATGGAAATGTTATTTTAAGCAAAGCTATGCAATTGTAGATAGACTATTTGTAGATAAAACCAGATGTAAACTATTGAGCAGGAAAATCAGATGCAATTGACAGAAAAAATATGAATATATATGTATGTGCTGAAGCATGAAAATTAATATTACATAACAGTATACACCTAATCAGTTTTATTAAGGAGAATTAGAGAACCATGTTATCCTGCTTTTTATTCCAAGACCAGTTAGCATTGGTTGGAGAGTGCTCAATTCTACATTGAATATGAAGGTGTATTTAATATGATTTTCTATAAGCTTTACTCTTGTAAGTTTACAATGTAAGATATTTAAAAACCATGATCTAAGAACAAGAGGACATACTTTACTGGACAAAGTGTCAACAAAATCATCTTCTTGCTCATCTTTTTCAGAAGACAAGTCTTCCTCTTTCACTGAAGTCTCGTCTTCTTCCACGTCACTTTCCCCCTCCTCTTCCCCCTCGCCTTTGCTGACTTTTCTTCGAATGCTCACTGCGTCTGTGTCTTTCTTAGCTAAATTAGATGTAGTGCCCAACATATCTTTGTCTCGTTCAGATTCTAGGAGAATAGGAAAAACAAGTTTCAGTTAGAAATCACCAATATTGGAAAAATATCAGAACAACATTATTCTTTCAAAGAGACCATAAATAAAAAAAAGAAAACCATCTACATAGTTGTATATAATCAGAAAAATCTATGACAATATCTTAGTACTAGAATATTGGGCCACATTATTCTTATACAGAAATGCTCTTAAAGGGACACCAAGTACCAGAACTACTACAGTTTGAAGTAGAGACTGTCCCTGTAGTCACATCAGGGCAAACACATTTTCCTGCAAAGAGACAGTGTTTACATTGCTGCCTAAAACCACCTCTAGTGGCTGTCACATTGGAGAGGCGACAGAGGCAAGAATGGAGTACTGGAGGACTACAGGCAAATAATTCTAATTATTTTAATATACTTGTATGTGTGTGAGGGTGGCTGCATATTATACATGTTATACATGTTTGTATTCCTATTGTTGGAATGCTCACTGAAACTTTTTTGACAGGGACCAGAGTTATATATGCTGCTTATACTTAAGTTTTAAAATTAGGTCATGTACCCATTCTTCATTGTCATATAATCTATACTGAAAAATCTCACAAAGGTAAATTAGACTCTCCCCAGCTTCTGAGGGATCAGCAATGCACTGGGGAAAGAATTTACAATGTGTGTTTTCCTTAAGGCTCATGACTAGATCTGCCACCTGTTTCAATCAATAGAAATCATGTGGAGGCTCAATTCTGTATATATATATATATATATAATATATATATAATATATATACACACACATACATACATACACACACACACAAGCATGCACAAACACGCTTAATAGCAAACCTTCATCATCGTCATCCACAGAAGGTGATGGACGGATTCTCTTCTGATCGCCAGCAAGTGCAGTCTCAGGAGCAGCTTTCCTCTTAACCTAAAAATACAAACAAAAAAAAAGGTTAAAAAAAAAAAAGATACAGTCTTTATAGCAAATTCTGCAATAATTTCTCAAGTCATAAACTTCACACAAGCAAATAAATTTATATATGTTACCTACATAGCTTTTAGCACTACATTGAATATATTCCATTGGCTCTATTAAGCGTAGTTGGCTCAATGGCCGAGTGCATTAGCTGAGTGCTCTCAGCCAATAAACTAGGCCCTGCACCACTGGGCTACCTCAGAACAGACAAAGCAGTGGACTTATTGGGTTGTAGTAGTTATGATCCTTGGGCTGTTCCTTTAAACAAATGTAGACAGACAGACTGTTTTAAAAATAGGTCATGTCTGATCCAAATCAAGCTGAATTATATATAATATACACACTACACACACAAGATCCAGCGCACTCACCTATCCACTAAACAGCAACTTCAATGTTGACCGATTGTATTAGTTTTTTTTTTTTTTTTTTAAACACCTAATCTAGGCAAAAATAATAGGGGTTTAGTTACATCATTTGATCATACATTGCAGAGGCCTGCCACAACGTCAATGTACCCCATCTTTGGCAGGTCCTACTCTAACAGCCTAATGTCTGCTCTTATGAGATTAACCCACTTACTAGGGGGAAAAATTCCATCTGAGGCTCTCTGCAGTACAAGGCTAAATAGGGCCCTGGGATGAGGCACCTGTGACAGTGAGGGGTGCAAAACCAAGGAGTTGGCAAGACTCCCAAATATATATATATATATATGAAACAGGGGAGGGTTGGCTGCATTCACCTGAACATGCATAAATGGGGTGCTGCTGGGGGCCAAATTATACAATACACAAGATCCAGCGCACTCACCTATCCACTAAGCCCTATTTAGCCTTGTACTGCAGAGAGCCCCAGATGGAATTTTTTCCTCAAGTAAGTGGGTTAATCTCATAAATATCATACATGAGTTTGGAAACCCTAGGATAGCATAAAGTAAGCATTTGAGGTCACACTAAAATATTTCCCATTTGAATTAAGTCCGTCAAGAACAAAAATGTTCATATTCTTCACAAACAGGAATGCAAGATACTTTTTTTATGTTTTAGAAAAAAAAAAAAAAAGTTAAATGTTTACCTTAAATGAGGGCAACCTAATTGCCCCACGCAGTCCAATGCCCAATCCAATGCCATCATATCCTAGGCCTTCTCCTTTGTTCCAGCCTTCAAGAAGGCTTGAAGTTATTGGGTCCCTTGGCTTTGGTTTCTCTTCATCTTTGCTCTCCCCAGTTTTCACTGGCGTTAAAGACTGCTAGGAGATATAGTGCACAATTAAGTACTCATGTAATAAAAATGTTAACATAAATTTAAAAACAAAAAATCTTATCAGAGAAGGTACAGTAATTTCAAGAGCGTTCATGAGTTTGAAATATGGGATTATGTCTCTCCCAAGAAGACATTAAAACACCCATAATGCAAGTTCTAACTAATTGCACTCTCTGTCCAGCCCCTCTAGCAAAATATGTACTAGACACGTTGTGATAAATGCTACTGGTAACAGATTTAAAGTAAACCTGTAGTCCAGTTTAAAACTTTAACAAAATAAAATATATTAAATGAATACTTACCAAAAATGTCGTCCCCCCCCCACATGTTCTAATGGATCTCCATCTATTTTTTAAGGATACTCACCTCTTCAACTGTTCTCTTACAACACCGTCGCAGGGGGGATGCACGCAGAACGTATGTGTGGTCCCATTGCTAAAGCTGGGTATCAGGGTAAGCCGGTGTCAGGTAGGAAGGCTAGACTGCAGACATACGTCTGCAGTGACTTAATGCCGGTAGTCTGTGTGCCAGGAGTGGAGGGGGAGGAAATATTAAACATAAAATATTGGAAAATCTATGCATTTGCCAGCAAAATCACTAGTACAATGTATTGGTGAAAATGCCTTGAGAATCTATTGGTGAAATAAAAAAAACCTTTAAATCAAGGACACAACACACTTGTGGCTGACAAGGACAACCTTTATAAAATTTGTCTAACTTTGGACATAAGGCTCCCAACAGAGCTACAGCAAAGCCTGAAGAGCCTGATGAAAATTTACTAAACCACTGTATGTCTCTTCTATTTAGATTTCCAACCAGCTGATCAGATTGTCAGGTATAAAGTAAAGATTGCTGCAGTAACGGTGTCCCAAAAATACTGCTTAAATTACAAACTTGGGACAATGGAGGAATACCTAGGTAGAGCCTCAATAATCTAGGGCAATATAGAAAGGATAGAGAAACAAGTAAGCACACTGACACAGAATCTAGCGCTTGCCTGTAGTGCCTCAGGTTCCTCCAACAAACCTAGTATATGCCATGTGGAGCTAAAGTCAGGCCATCTGCAATGGGCATCAAGGGAAATTCATGTTGATTGGGCAAACCTGTAAGTAGCAGACTCTTCGTGCTGCCCAGAAGGGTACAGGCTAATCCACTAAAAGAACATTGCCAGCCTCATGCACTCCTCTGTGAAACCCTGATCTATATATGTCTTGGGAACCATGAGTCCCTCAATAGGGAACACTTAACATCAAGCTTGTAAAGAAGAAGAAGAAGAAGAAAAAAGTCTTCTTAATTCAACATAGCTTGCAACAAATGAACTATTTTCCTGGGAGGAGAAAACAGAAATGAGGACTCTAGAGTAGCTTCTAGAGTGGGAGGAAGGTGCTTAAGTCGTGCATTATCGGTGTTTCTGCCTCATCAAGTTGGGAGGTAGTAGTTTATCCTTTATTTGTCAACTCATGGGCTTTCACAATTCAAGAGAGGAAATTAGTTGTATTCAACATGATGAGATAGACAGACAGACATAAATGCAAATATAACATGTAAAGTAGGCAAAAAAATTATAAATATTGAATAAAACAATGTTTGCAGCAAATTACATTATATATATATAAAATTATACGGATTTTAAAGTTATTTTTATATAAATATATATATATATATATAAAAAAACTAGGAAGTTGATGTAAAGATAGAGCTCTGAAAATTGAGGATATAATTAGGGTCTCTTTTTGTATAACACATACCTTAGCTAACCGCTCCTTCTTTTCCCACCACTCATCAAATGCCCTGAAAGCCACCATCTCAACCATCTTCCGGTTCAGGTCTCTTTTCATTATGGCTTTCAGTTCTTTTACAATGACCTGCAGAACGCCATCCACAGTGGCTTTGTGAGGATCTTCTTTTTTGGGCTCGTAGCCTGGTGGTGGCACAGATGGGTCAAACTTTGGGAAGGGTTGCCATGTATGACCTTGGGATGGATGTGAAGATATGGTGAAAGGGCGGTATTGATGCTGGTTACCAAATGGAATGGAAGTTTCCATAACATGGTGGTAGGAGTAAGAACTTTGCCCTTGCATCATACGGCTAAGCATTTGAGTCTGCATTTGGAAGGACATTGGCATTCCACCCCAGTGGGAACCTAGGGCACTGATCATTTCCCCTTGCATCAAGGGAAACATACCTTGATGGTAGGGTGGTGGAGGATGCAATATATGGGGAGGTGGGGGGGGAGGTGGTGGTGGTGGAGGTACCCCAGGTGGGGCAGGTAATGGAGGAGGTGGTACAGTGACAGAAGGGTGGGTTGGGGGTGGGGGAGGAGGAAGAGGTGGCGGCATGGGAAAACCTGGTTGTGGTGGAGGTGGTGGAGGAGGAATCGGAGGAAAACCTGGAGGTGGTATTGGAATGACAGGTGTCATGACTGATGAATTGCTAACAGCAGAGTTCATGACTATTGATTTGGCACATTCTGCACTGGTGATAGGAGAGGCGTTCATTTCATCATCAGAAATCTCCATATCTTCTCCAGAAGAAGGATGAACCTGTTTAGATTGACAGAAGTTAGATGGCCTGATTCAATGAATAAATTAGATATATACAAACAGTGCAGCTTACAAACTGACCGAAAACAAAAATGAACATTATATGTTAGAAATAGTCTTATTAAATTATTTTTAATATAAATGATCTTAAATAGTGGTAATTAACTTTTGATATTTTGCAGCTTATACTATATGCAATTTTGCAAAGTTAAAAATCATAACACCCATGAATTTCAAGTTATTTAGATTTTACTCCCTTCTTTATCCCTGTTATACTACCAGCACTCTAAACAAACAGACAGTCCAATTGCCTATCTAAAGCACACTAAAGAAACACAGCAGTTTATTATTAACCGGAACCAAAAACCCTTAAATTTTTTGCGGTAACAAGTTTGAAACTTATAACTCCCCTTCGAAACTCTGAACAGATAGTAAATATAAAATATAAAAATATTTCATGCACCAGAAGTAAACTAGCAAGGTTTTTCAATCTGTCAAGGACTGGTTAAAAGGGAAATAGCACCAATCTGCAACCTATAGAGCACTATAGAGTTATTAAAAGTACATACAAATGGTAAATTTACAAGAGGCTGATATGTTACAAGTATGTTATTGTCAAATAGTTTTTGTTTTTTTACGGATGTTCATTTTCCTTGCAGACTATTAGATAGAAGCAAATGACAATGTTCGATCACAGAACAGTTACTTGCCTTTCACAGTATTCACAGTCATAAACTGTATACAATTTAATAGCACAAGCTTGCTTGAAGCTCAAAATAAGACATCTATTATTATACCAGCTAAACACCAGAATCGCAAGCAAAGTAAACAATGGTTTTAAAGGGTCAGTTAAGGTTTAATGGCTTTTATGTAGAGAAGAAAGGAGAAAAAAAACTAAACAGAAGTTGTAATGTGTGAAATGTTGTTAAATTTGTCTTTTGTGCATTTTACAGAAAAGTTCTATGTTTAGTAAAAGGTTAAGGAAAAACAGAATACATATTTTAAATTAAAGAATGTGGTCTGATAGGCATCTCGGTGCTTTAAGCCAAACAGAACATTTTCAAATCATAGACCTTGTCAATGGCTAGAAGATAACAGATAAACAACAGACATTAGTCTCCATTAATCATATGCTTCATAACAATTACACACTTTCAAAATGCTGCACATGACGGAAGCCATTATATGGCTCCACATAACTTGGTGTCACTTTTTAATGAATACCATTTCATGCATATGTGGTACTACTAGCTTTATTGTGATCATGTGCAAAACATGAAAATTATTCCTACATTGTACACAAACCCACTCACTATATAGCATGTTCTGTCATGTGTTTTTACTCTACATTTGTGGACAATGAATGCTACTGCAAATCATACATTCACGCCAATATAGTTTGAGATTACAAACTAAAAAACTATATGTTTTCTCTTAACATTCCTCATACAGGCTTATAGAGGCACCTGCATGCCCAGCTGTACACAAGTGACACATTGGCATCTGCACACAGAGTATAGTTGGATGTCATGTATCATTTCAAGGTGGGATACAGCTGCTCCATTATTTTTATGAAGCAAGCATAAAGGTGGATGAAACAGTCTTCAGATATATATTATAAACTATGAAAATATGAACTTTATACTACCCTGAGCAGAAATGTAATTTAGATGAAAGATTAAAACACGGACTGAAAACAAACAAACCTGACTTTTTTGCATTCAATTATTATACTTTTCAAGATAAAACTATAACTTATTAATGGTGTTACTTATAAATTCCCTTTAAAAGAGTACATAAACACGTTTTAAACCTGCATTCTTCAGAACAGTTATTTCTAGACATGGGAAACAACTAATTGTATCACCTGTGCTTTTATTCTAACTTTTGGAATATATTGTTTCACCAAGTCCGTCTGCCACTACCAGAAGCCAGCTGGCCTCTTTTATCCTTAGTCAATAACTGCATAAAACAGCATTGTGCTCCGTTCTAAATCACACAAAGCATAAATGCTGGGAAGGAACAGTGAATTCACTGAAAATGCACCAACCATATTCCCCAATGTACTCCCAAATCACATCATGTTGTCATTGAAAACAAAGCCATGGAATAGTGCTTTACGATACACCTGTTCTATAGTAGCCATGATTAATAATTTATATTAATTCCACAAAGTTTATCCAAATTCATCATAAGTTCACTATCAAAGCACACGGCACAGAAAATACTGAAAGATCCAAAAAACTATTTGGTGTGTTTAATAACAGCACTCACTGATGATAGGCTCGCCACAATAAAATAAAACTCAATAGTTAGCTTAGCATAATTAACACAAATTAAAAGTTCTCAAATACATCTACAGAGAGAGCTCTGCACAAGGCAGCTTTATTTTTTTTATATGATGACATTCTTACTCATCACAAACACCTACGTTACACCTTTCTTATGGGGAAGCCCTCAAAGCACTGTGGCCAATTTCCAAGAAGAATACTCATTCACAAAGGAACTTTCTTTGGATACAAGCGACAATATCCTGAAATGGAGACTACTTCAGAAATCCTCTAATGATGATGTAGATACTACAGCCACTAACATGGATATTAAAGCCATTCTCAAAGATATCTGCACTGTATTTCATGCTAATTTCTCTATTGTTAAACTGAGGTGCACACTCTAACAGGAAGTGTTAAGGCCATGCTGAGGAGAAGACTCCCTTATCTATCAGACAGTTCAGGAGATTTAACATTTTGCCATGCAGGCACAAATACCACTAGCCCAAGTAGAACTTATACTGAAGATGTCTGAGCAAACATACCAGGGGTCTGCACGAAAAACTAAATTTGAGAAGTCAAGCAAGACAGATATACCTCACTTTCTACAACTCTTGTTTCTTTAATGTCAAACTCAAAAGGGCCCTGGGGACTAGCCTAGTTTTCATTGAATTAGCAATATCACAAAGGCTCCCACCTTCACAAATGTGCCACCTGCCTGGACAAGATGGCAGTTCATTCACCTGTATGAAATAGAAAGACTGTCATCATTTGTCTTTATGTGTGTAGGTTCTAATGCAGGGCTGCATATTTTAATTTCTTCTTTTCCAGAGTTTTATATACCTCTCTTATTGTCTAGATCAGGCTTCCTCAAACTCTGGCCCTCCAGATGTTGCTGAACTACAACTCCCATGATTCTATGAATGAAATAGATAGGCTGAGAATCATAGGAGTTGTAGTTCAGCAACATCTGGAGGGCTGGAGTTTGAGGAAACCTGGTCTAGATACTTGAATTTAAGTCTGACAATATGACTATCTTTGGTGTAAGTGAAGAGCATTTAGCACACCTCTGTACTGTTACGAATGGGAATTAAGCACCACCCCTACATGTTTTCAAATCTTAGGCCATGTACATATGGTGGGGCTACATGGCTTTAGCTCACTGGTTTTCCAACTTTTGGGCAGAAGTATTTGGTGCTGTACCGATAATTTGAGGTTTCTGTGCGACTCCAAATTATATAGCATTATAAATTTAAGCTACAATAATCTATATCAATTAGATATTGCTCTTGAAATAGTCCCTTAGAATTATCAGCAATGCTTCTTAATTCAAGTAGTTTGTGGAGAATGATAGTTTAGACTAGATAGAAGTTTCCTTTCGAGACAGGCAGAGTGCAAACAGGATTGCTGTGTACTTTCTTAGAATATGTGTAGCTACATGTCAGCTACATGTTTCCTTATGTTAAGGTCATGTGTTATTGCACTTCTGTTTTTGACTTGTTCCAATTCGTGTAACTGCACAATAAAAATAAATTATTAGTTTTGAATATCCTAGTTTATAAAATGTTGATTTCTATTGAGCTGTCGAATATAAGTGTGCAAAAGGATCTAAAAAAAAAATTAAAAAGAAAAATGGATGGCAGTTTTGCAACTGATACTTGGGAATTAATCAAGAAAAAAATTGGAAAAATTAAGGGATATGGCCAAATATAAAATGTTGAATCTAAAGTCATATACAGCTTTGACGGAAGCTCAAATTCGACATGCCTCCTTCATGGAAATTATTACAAATTAAACAAATTACACAAAGTGGTTTACTTATTAAACAGTGCAATGTAGCAAAGTGAATTTTGAAGAGACACTATAGTCATCAAAATAACAACTTAATGAAACAGCTTTGGTGTGTAGATCATACAACTGCAGTGTCACTGCTCAATTTTCTGCCATTTAGGAGTTAAATCACTTTGCTTATGCAGCCCTAAATCCCCATTATTTTTGCCCAAATCATTTTATGAGCTTTGTTGTTTTTAGTAAGTGCGTGCCTTAGATTTTTTTATGTTGTCATAACTTGTCCCAGCAGTACCCTTATAATGCATACATATTCAGGTAAGTGCAGCCCTATTGTATGTCAGGTTTTATGGCTGATATTAGCAGATTTTGTTGACACTGCTTGCCATTTGTTCTGATTAGGCTCCAAGAGCCTCCAGTGAATACATCTTCCAATATATCGGTTGAAGTCCCAAGGCTTTTTTTTTTTTTTAGCTGATATCATGGCCTTTCGGTAAAGGACCTTTACCAGAAATTTTCTATTTAAGGTTATCTTCTTCCAGCTATGAACAGAAGCTATTCAAAATCTACAACTCTAAAATACACTAAAACAGTCTGCATTAAAACGTATAAATCGTGAAGGTCTACTGGCTCTGCCCACTTGCTCTTCTTTTAGGAGCCTAAGTGCAAAATGTATCCTGAAACAATCATATGAACATTGTACAAGGCTCATACAAAGTTACCTCTGCAATCAGAAGTGTATGTGCTTCAGGTATAATTTCTTATGAGGATTTCATAGTTGCATACAAGGACAACCCTTCACTTTCTCCACACACTGCTACACAATCATTAATGCTAACAGAGATTTTGATGATGAATAGTAAACAATAATTATTCCCCTAGCAGTCTCCGCAAGGAATGTCCGGGATTCCCTTTAATTCCCTTGACCCAGACTCAGGTGCAGTTTCCGATTATATTTTCGAATCTCTGACATCTTGATTACAAACCAATCCCATGATTCAAGCATTCAAGCATTCAACCAAGACTGGCATACCCATAAATACAGCTGTGACATAGCACATTGCAAGTGGGTCATTTCTACAAAGAGTGGGCAGTTATCAGCACGCACTAGGCAACTCCTTCCAGATAAGTGTAATAAATTACAAATATGGAACAATTCCCATTGTACATAGTGAGGGAAATAGTTTAATATAAAGATGTGTTCCTTCTACTCCATTCTGTTTGCTCCCTGGAGAATTTTCATTCTCAAGCTGACTCCTCCAAATATATAAGTTTTACTATAATTATGGTAGCATACTAGTCTCAAATCCTTTTGCCTCTATATTACTGTGACAAATGTTTTATCCTTTAAACAGAGAAACCTAGTAAATTGAAATCCACATTTTAAAAGTTAGGCAGAATAAGTCAATTAATAAACAGATGAATACTAGAATATTTCCAATTCACCTACTCTGGCTACTTTTCAATTCACAACTCACTGTTTAGTGAATAAACCCCAAAATATAAAATGATAATTGAGTCAGCAAACAACTTGGAGACAGGCAGAGAGGTTGATGCTACACCATCTGATATGGGACCTCCCATACTTACAATAAGAACACTTTCATTGATCTTTTACTGGAGTATTCCAAACATTTATGGCATGATGATATACCAATACCGGCAACATTACTATGTAAATATAGTTAACATGTCATTGCTCTGAAATATGTTTACTCCAGCATAATAAATAAATACATTTAGTTAAAACGCTGGAATATGAAAATAAAAGGGTTAACTTTACTCTAATCAAATAGCATGAGTGTCTCCTTAGCACAGCAACACTCCACCTGCAGATAGAGACTGACATGCAATCTTGCAATGCTTTTCATAGAAAAACACTGGATCCAATATTTGTTAATAGGAAACATAGGCTTCCACTTTGTGCTGGGGCAATCATGACAGTTTATAAAAGTGCAGATTTCTGTTAACCCCTAAAGCACTTCAGTTTGAAGTGATCATTTAAATTGGTATTCTTGCCATCAACGAAACTGTAATCCCAAATTGAAGCTATATTGATTGCATACTGAAATAATTGTAGCTTTTGTGCACACACACATACACACACACACACACAAAAACGTTTGTAGAATACACCACCATACATCTGCCTTAGTAACTCCTCCGCAATCTAAAAAATATTCTTTTTTTTTTATTAATGCATCACTGCTGGAAGCCAAGCAGCCAGAATTAGATGATGAGGAAACCTAAGCAGACACATCGTAAGTATTTCACTACATGTCAATCTTTTGTCTCTCTGACTGTCTGCAGCTTCATTGCTCTGAATGAACACGATTCATTACATATTATAAATGGAAAATAGCCTTAAAGGCCAAAGTTGCCACTACAAGGATAGGGATACACATGTAACACAGTGGGAGGTTTTTCATGCCAACTGTGTGAGTGTTTTTTTTTTTTTTTTTTAACCTTCTGGTTTTATTGGCATTTTTCAGTTAAATCAGGTTGCAGAAGAGAATGGGTAGACACCGACATGATGCGTCAAATGTCGTCAATGATAGTCATGACATTAACTCTTCTTGTAGCAAAAAAGATTAGCTAGTGGTTACAATCAGTAAGTTGGTATGACTGTGTACAAGTTTGTTTGTTGTGTAGGAGGTGTAGCTTTGTTGCGGTCGTTCCCTTTAGTAGTTCTGAACTTCAGAAGCAATGTCAAATCCGTGGCTTCGCAAAGTTCTTATTGTTTCCTCGTCAGGAACGCGTTGTTAGTGCCAATGGGTAGTATGTACAACGAAACTAGGTTAGGAGATGAGTGAGTTCGGTGTTCCGACCATTCTTGGTTCCAGTTGTCTTTTGGGAGTTACTCGGTGGCTAGGTTTTCTAGGCCTTGTGTTGGTTTCAAGGGATTGGGGACATAGGTGAAGGACTGTGGGAGTGTTCTAAGCACACCTAACTCAGGCATGACTGTGTGCATATGCTAAAGCAGCACTGTCATCATTGGAGGGTTTTGCATGATTTTTGTAAGGACCCCAGAATGTGACATTCGGTGTGGAGCTGCCCAAAGGAGCTTACTCTATATAATATTTCTTGATAGTGTTGTAATGTCAATGAACTCCCAAAGCAGTAAACATGAGTATTTCCTAAGCATTTAGTATTTTTATAAATACCCAAATAGTGACATAAAGTGACAGAGGCACTTTAAGCTTTGAAGAAAAAGATGTTAAAAATGCATTTAGAAGTTCTTACAACTTTATCTTAATGAAGCAGTTTGGTGTATAGAGCATGCCCCTGAAGTCTCACTGCTCAATTCCCTGTCATTTAGGAGTTAAATAACTTGTGTTTCTGTTTATGCAGTACTAGCCACACCTCCCCTGGCTTTGACTGACAAAGCCTGCATGAAAACAAAATGGTTTCACTTTCAATCAGATGTAACTTACTTTGAAAGTTTTGTCTCCTGCTCTGTAAATTGAACTTTAATTACATACAGGAGGCTCCTGAAGGGTCTATCAAGCTATTAGCAGAGCAGGAGACAGTAAAATCTAAATTAAATATGATTTGCAATAAAGGAAGTGTAAACATTAGATGACTCTTTAGAGGAAGCGTTTAGGAAGGCTGTGCAAGTCACATGCAGGGGGGTGTGACTAGGGTTTCATACACAAAGTGATTTAACTCCTAAAAGAATTGAGCAGTGAGACTGCAGCGGCATGATCTATACACCAAATAGCCTTTGTTCTTGATTTTGACTTTAGAATTATAAAACTGTTGTATACAGCAGTTGACTTACCCTTTTAAGAATATATGCTAGGTCCCGTGCAACAAATCACAAAATACTATTTGCTTTCAACAACGACCCGCATTTAAATCTTGGACAGATCTTAAACTTTTGATTTTTATGCAACAAAAAAATAGTTGCAGTTATAATGCAATAATAAAAATCTCCTTAACAGACATGTTTGCAATATTAGTGTAATACAAGGTAAAGCATGCAAAAGGATTAAAAATATGCACTACACAGAGTCTGAAAAGGTCATGTTTCTGTCCAAAATTAATCTGGCCCTCAGGATTTAGATTGATTTATACTTGGCATATCTCTGATACACTAATGTTCTTTAGGTATAAAATAAACAAAATCAGAAGCCATTGGTTTAATATTACAATCAAGGATCTGCTTGCTTGTTGTGTGAATATTCCCAAGCAGGTTTTCCCCTATAAGTGGTGTGATCTCCAGATCAGACACCATGTTACAATGGTTCACAAGACAAGTGAATGAAATTGGAAATATATAGATTCCTTATCTCAACAAATTTTCATTGAGTAACATCCAACTAATTGTTAATTTTTTCTTCTTAAACATCATAATTCACAAATTAATGGGATAGAGTTGCTGTTCGCTGCAACCCACTCCATTATCCTCTGTTAGAATAGCTCATGTATTTTTGTCAACTTTAGCTCCCAAATATCAGTGTAGATTAACATTAACAGTGAAATAATTAGGTTCTTTCTAAACACATTCAAATAGGAAAGGGAATTAGAAAGCTACACAAGAGACTCTAAAAGATATTTTGAGTATCCTATTCTGGGTCTTGTACTATGCTTATGGTCATCAACACTCAACAAGAAAGTGATGTTCCGGTGAGTCTAGTATACGTGAAAGACCACCCAACAAGTCCATGTTTGCAGTCTTTACATACATATGGAATGTGTACACATCTGGTACCAAGTTTGACACTTTGCAATGGCAGCATATTGGCTGATGCGAGTTACACTCGAGGCTGATGCGAGATACCCTCTCCGAAAACAGCTTTTATTTGTGGTAAAGGGTGTATCAGAAGGCTGAGTGATCGACAAACAATGAACAATTTTAATGTTGGGTCCAGGACTTGGATTTGGACAGCACCAGGACACACATATCATTTGCACAATATTGGTGGCGGCTACATTCCTAAGCAACAGTTAGCCTTTATTAGAGACCCTTAAAAAATGCAAAACGCAATGTGTTGGTCCCAGTTATAAAGATCAGGAGGACAGAACTATTCTTTTCTTGTGATTGGCAATTAAAGATTAATTGAACAGCTACTTTATAATTACTAATGGTAATAAAGAGATAACCAGATTCGTGGACAAGAAGAACATAGAGACTAAAGTTGGACCTATTTTACTAAATGTAAATTATGATCAACCATTTTTGTTTTATTATATCCCATTAAGGATACACTGATGGCATATACGTAGACTTCTATTGATGCAGTAATTTTTAGAGTAGTCCGGTATATTAGGCTGAGAGCATGTTTGCAGAACAAATCACATCATATATTCTTCTAACCAAAATCTTATCACAAGCAATGCTATTTTAATTAAAGCTAATTTCTCCAGTTATTTAAGTAGTTCATACTTTGCTTTTGTTTTTTTAATATTAAACCTTTTGTAAGCCTTGTAAGCATTGATTTCAACTAGTTGTAAGATATCAGCTTAAGAAAATATAAAGCATGTCATAGCCTCACTCACCTCATCCATCTTCTCAGATGTTGGGGTCTCATCTCCTGTTAATTGTTCCTTCACATCTGAGCTCTCCATTTTCCTCCCAGGTTGACTAGGCTGCTCAATGGGAGTTGTTGACCTAGAGTTCTGGCAAAGGGATGCTGTGCCAGGAATAGACTCATCATCGTCCGAGTCAGGTAAAGGGGTGGGGCTGATGTCCTCAAGTCCTGTGCTTGAGGGTCGAGAGGAAGGAGTGACATCTTGGTAATGGGAGTTTGTACTATACGGAGGGATTGGTGAAAGCTGAGAGGAAGAAGAGGATATAGGGCTCCCTTCCATCCTCAATTCATTATCTGAGCTCTGCTCATGGAGGAAAGGTAACTTGGTTCTTTGCTCTTTTAAAAGCATTTCAATCCTAGAATCTAAACTGTTGTGCAACATTTCATCCTCCAGAGTTGGCGTTCCTGGGGTTACACATCTTTCTGGCGTCCGTGCACAAGAGGCTACTTTCTGTTCTGTGGGGCACTCCGGTTCCGGAAGAGGGGGCTCATCTGGTTTTTCTTTAACTGGTATAAAGTCGATATTTACAGAACTACATCCACTATCTGAATAGGTGTCTGTAGGTGGGGGTGCTGTCCTCCTATACTCTATATCCCTTGAAGTTTGTGGGAACGAGTTCTCATCAGCTTGGGAATATGCTGTTGTTGCTTGATAAGGAGAAAATGCAGACTTATAGTTCACACCAGATTGGTTCAACGGTGATGTGTGTGAAAACTGCAATGTCTCTGGCTGGGATCTAGCAGTGTTAAAGCTGTGTTCAGAGCCCCTAAACAGACCAGAGTTATGAACATAGGGGTGCCCTGGCCTTCGATTATAAGCATCTGGAAATTTATTTTCAGGCCTCCTAGGTTTGTAGGTAGAGTCTTGTCCAAACTGAAAAGCTGGTGTGGCTTGCCGACTGGAATAGTTAGAGTCTTGAGAGAACGGCGTTCCTAGACGGGGTGTGTGAGGGGTCCCTTGCGATTGTGGTGTATACTGGCTAAAGGAGTTGGGGGTGTCTTGTCGACAGCTTGAATAAGCTGTATCATGTGAAAATGGGGTACTGCTATTCGGAGTAACGGGCGCCCCCGCACCAGTCTCTTTTGTCCGTTTCGAGGATTCATTTACCTGTATAATAATTAGAATATATAAGACATGAGTACAGCTCTATTTTTTTTAAATAAATATTTTTCTTGTCTTATAAGATATTATTTTCTATAGATAAGGATCTATAGAGCAAGAACAATGGCCCCAAGACATAGTGACAATAAGTCAAGAGGTGAAACGTATTTAAGACCTGACAGCTAAATAGTGGTTTTATTTAAAAATTGCAGTTTTGTTTTCATTTTATCTATGTAATACAGAATGTTGTTGGCATTTACTAATGTATCTTGTATGATAAAAACAAATTGTTCATATGGGTATAGAAGACTGTAGTATTACAGTTCTATGGATTACATTCTTTTACATTTTATACAGCCTATATAAACACCTATTCTATTAATAGCTGGGAAGTGATTCATGGAATTGTAATTAACCACAGTTTACTTATAAGCAGAATACGAAATAATAAAAGATTGAAGGGGCAAGGACTACTACTACTACTACTACTACTACAACAACAACAACTGATTGCAGAGATAAAAGGCGACACTCATTTATTATCATTTCAACTACTCTAAACCACCCAAGAACTTGGAGAAGTGTTATAAACATCCGTCTTTTTCTTTACTGGTCTGAAGGAACCCATACTGAATCTCAGTGTATTTTTAAAATGTAAATTTTTTTTTTTTATTATTTTTTTAAATACACTTTATTAAAAAAACTTTTTTAAACTTTTTAGATATGGGTACACAGATTTTATGTAATAGCATTCAGGTAAATGACATGGAACAAAACATTGTTCTCATCAAAACAAACAAAACACTAGGAATAGGTTTATGCAAAGGGTATTAAAAAATGGACAACACTGTATATTTCTTTATACTGTAAATGTTAATGTACCCTTTTAATATATCATCTCAATAAAGTGGTCTAGGAGTCATGCTCCTGTGCTATAAATTCTGCAATTTCCTGCATCTTGAAATTAAACAGGATTAAAACGGGAACAGCAAAGTTTACATTACAGGGTTAAAATGGACCTTGCAGCTATCACATTAAAAGTCACTAGAGGTCCTCCTACCGAAATAGCCAAGTGAACTGCCATTTCCATCAGATTGACCATTTGATTGGCAGAGCGCATGGCGTTTTGCCGCTTATGCACACTAGTCTCCCAATGCTTTCCTACGGGCCTGTCCATGCATGCATTTACATTTCTGCCTAGAGACCCTCTAGTGGCAGTCTTAGTAGGTCTGAATTAGTGCTGCCTGGGTCATTTCTGCAGGCTCTGCATGGAGACACTGAACGTTCCCTATAGAGATGCATTAATTCAAAGGATCTCTATGAGAGGTTCCTGATTGGTGCAGCGCTGTATTTGGCCGCGCATGCGCAATAGCCTAAAGGAAAGCATTGGATTGGCTGAGATCACCAGGTTCAATGATCTCAGCCAAGGGAGTGAAGCTTGGGCAAGGCCAGCCATGACAGACCTGTACGGCGTTGAAAGAAAGGGGAGTAAATTCCACTTTTACTTCAGTGAGAGGGGGGGCCAGTAACCTAAATAGTGTTTTCTTAATATATTGATTGGAACGTTTGTTTTCATGTCACTATAGTGCTCCATTAAATTAGCTAAGGAGGATAAAATGGCCATGGAAAGATCACTGTAGCGAGGGAGAAAAGGGAATTAAACTTTTTTTTTAACTTTAGCTGGGAGTAGGGGAGAGAGCAGGTCACCGTTAGGAATACATTTGTATTTCAAACTCTATACTGTTCCTTTAAAATTTAAGATCTTCATGTTCGGAGAACTGCAGCTGTACCTGTGGCGTTTCATTTACAGTCGGGGAAACATCCAATTCACCACCAACTGGAAGGGTCTGCGGTGTGTAGAGACCATTAACTAACAGTTGATAAAATCTCATGCGTGTTTCACCTGTAGAAAAGAACATATAACACAGTGATTAATATAAGCATGTAGAGTTCATTAGCCAAGCAGAAATAGTTAGCAATAACTTTCAGGGCACATCCAGAGATCTATAGAAAGACACAGTAGCAAAAGATGGTTTACAATATACTGCTTGGAGATTTGGCAAGCAGTAAATACAAGATACCGATTATATTCTCAAGCAACTCAAGTTGCTGTAAAACAAACAAACTACTGCAAGTTAATAGCATATAGTCCTAATAACACTGTAAACATAAGTTCACATAGTCGAGTATATTTACCAAAGTACTAATGGTCCCAAACCAAACATACCAAACATACCATAACCAGCTAAAAAAAATAAATCTGAAAGTATTAAGTGAAGTGGAGTGATTATTTAATAATCACCACAAAATCTGACACAAATGTGTTAATTGGCACTTGTATTATTATATATTTGCTATACCTGTATAGTATTTGTGCCTTTTGGAAATAAAACAATATACAAGGTGTTTAAAAATGATTGTCCCAAATTCAAAGCAGTATATTTTACAATGGCAACATGTTACAATTTACAATTACAGCAAAAGTTAAAAATGGTTTAATGTGTTATTAAGTTTTTCTAATCATTTTGTGAATGCTTATATGGCCCCCTCAGCTACTGTACGGACAACATTGAGACGATATGGCCTCACGATTAAACATCACCTTATCACATTCCAGACAGTCATATGAGAGATCGTAAGTTCTTCGCTGGCATGACGAGTGGACTTGGGTGGCCTACGCTGAAAACTCTCTTGAATTCTTCTCACGTTTTCCTCTTGCCCTATGCTCTTCTCCTAACATAAACAGCCTGTTTCCTCAGATTGTTGGTACCAATGACAAATTTGGCATCGAAGGATCAATGCCAAAACGCTGTTGAAACACACGCTGCACAGCAATTACAGATTCAGTCTTGCTGAGCTGCAGAACGCAAGATGCCTTGCATTTGAGGGATCGTCATCTTCGAAATATCTGAAGCTAGGGGCCCTTTGTGCACTGGTAGAGGCATCTAGCAGTAATCATTTAAACCTCTATGCCCCACCCTTCCAAGTGGTAAGAGTTTCATTCATGGGCAGTTCGTGGAGATGAAGCGATTTCAAATCAGGTACATCCTTTTGAAACACCCTTTTGTAATATTTATAAATAATGTAGACAATATAACACTCACATGTGTAAGCAAGCTCTAGATCTGTTTAGGTTACCACTCTACCCTAAACACAATGATAAACCAAGGTGATCTTCCACTCTTTACCGCATTATCTCAGGAAGAAAGTATAAAAACATAGCACACTACGTATATGCAAGAGCAATATAAAATAAAAATTCACTCAATTAAAAAGATCCTCTATAATAGGCACTGATGTGTAGGTACTGTGTGGATAAGGTACACACCAAACAGCTTCCTCAGACTGTCACTTAATTTCCCTACCTAATGCCTCCACGGGCCCTGAAGTGGGAAGAGTATATGGGAATCACACTGGTTGAGAAGGACTGGGCTAAAATAATGCTTTTGACACATAAATGTGCAGTCTCCACACACTTGGTACCAGGTTCCTCAGTCTCTTCATGCTAGAACATCTCATACGTCACACATGCTGGCAATGTTCCTAATAATAATAATAAATGGCAATAATAAGACGAATTTGTGTAGTGTCTTGTTTATCCTTGATCCCATTAAATTTATCTCTGGAGGTCTGAATATCTTCAGTAGCAAATGAAATATCTGCAGCGATAGAGACTAGTCTGTTTCTTTGAAGTAATTTCTGCTTAAGCTCTCTGCCAGAATATTGGAAACCGATTTTATATTAACGGATATTAATCCAAAAGGTAGAAGAGGAGATCTCTACTTGCTTACTTTCTATAGATGAAGAAACATTGTCATTATTATTATTATTAACAAATTCCGCAGCACTTTACAGTAGGTGGACGAACAAACATGTAGTTGTAACCAGGCAAGTTGGACACACAGGAACTCAATGAGCTTACATGCTAGAGGGAGTGGGGTAAAGTGACACAAAAGGTTTACAGTTTAATTGATACGCTTTTATGAAGAAGTAGGTTTAATGATTTTTTTCAAGGAGTGGAGACTGCGTGAGCTTCTAATGGAGGAGGGAAGGGAGTTCCACAGGAACGGTGCAGCCCTCGAGAAGTCTTGAAGACGAGCATCAGAGGTGGGAGTACGGACAGAAGATAGACGTAAGTCTTCAGCAGAGCGCAAGGGCCTAGACGGGACATACTTGTGTATTAAGGAGGATAGATAGGTGGGAGCAGCATTATGTAGAGATTTAAAAGCAAGAACCAGAATTTTAAATTGAGCCCTATATCTTACAGGAAGCCAATGTAGGGACTGACAGAAAGGTGAGGTAAAGGCGGTGCGGGTGGACAGGAAGATGAACCTCGCCGTCGCATTCATTATAAACTGTAACAGCGCAAGTAGGGAGCATGTAAGACCACTGAGAAGAGGATTATAGTAGTTAAGGCCAGAAAGGACAGTGGAATGGCACCTTAGTCCCATCTGGCGATAAGTAGGGTCGGATGCGCCCAATGTTTTTTAGATGGAAGTGGCAGGATTTGGAGATAGACTGTACATGAGGCGTGAAGAAGAGGTCGGAGTCAAAGAGAACACCTAGGCAGCGAGCCTGCGTGGTGGAGCTGATGGTAGCACCGTTGACTTGGAGGGAGATAGACACAGGAGTAGCAACACTTGAGGGAGGACAGACCAGAATTTCAGTTGAGTTTAAGGAAGTGGGCAGGCATCCAGTTAGAAATAGCAGAGAGGCAGTCAGAGACACTAGTCAAGAGGGAAATGATATCAGAAGCCAAAGGAGCTAATGAGTTTACCAAAGGTGGCAGTATAGATGGAGAACAGTAGGGGACCAAGGACTGAACCTTGAGGAGAAGAAGCAGAGGCAGAGAACACAGAAAGACCGCTGGGAAAGGTAGGAGGAGCACCAGGAGAGAGCAATATCTTGTAGACTGATATTGCGGAGGATGAGAAGAAGCTGTTGATGATCAACAGTGTCAAAAAGGTCAAGGAGAAAGGTCAAGGAGAATTAGGATAGAGTAGTGACCACAAGATTTTGCAGCGAGTAGATCATTTGATACTTTGGTCAGTGCTGTTTCCACAGAGTGCTTAGTGCGGAAACCAGACTGAAGCAGGTCTAGCAGAGAGTTGGACTTGAGGAAGTCTGTCAATCTCACATACACAACTCTGTCAAGGATTGTGGATGCAAAAGGCAGTAGCAAGATAGGATGGGTAGTTGGATGGGGAGTTAGGGTCAAGGTTGTGCTTCTTTCCAATTGGGGTTATAGTTGCATGTTTGAAAGGCAATGGAAATATGCCAGAGGAGAGAGAGACTGAGAATTTTAGTGAGAGGTAGAGAAAGAGAAGAAGATCGAGTACGGATGAAATGAGAGGGAATAGGATCTAGAAAGCAGGTGGTGGGGCGGGAGGACTGCAGCAGAGCAGAAACCTCTCCCACTGTAGCGGGTGCGAATGAACATAGAACAGCAGAGGGAGTGAGGTATGGGGAAGTATTGTAAGGGGAAGAAGAAAGATGAGAGATCTCTTCCCTGATTGTAGAGATCTTGTCAGTGAAGTGAGTTGCAAAGTCTGAAGCGGTCAAGTTAGTAGGTGGAGGAGGAACAATAGGGCGAAGAAGAGAATTAAATGTGTGAAATAGTCGTTTGGGTTCGCGGGAGAGAGTGTGGTTATGAGGGTATATTTCCTATTGCAGAGGAAAGAGCCAAGCTGTATGAGCGCAGCATAAATTTATAGTGAGACTTTCAGTGAGACTTTCTCAAACAGCGTTCAGCCATTCTGGAGTATTTTTGGAGATATCAAGTCAGCTTGGTGTGCCAAGGTTGTTGTAGGGGGTGCTTGCTGTGTTTAAATGTAAGGGGTGCCATGATGTCTAGTTGAGAGGAAAGGGTGGAATTGTAGAAGAAGGTTGCAGAGCTAGGACAGGTGAAGTTTGAGATAGGTAAAAAAAAGTTTGGAGATTAGTGGAGAAATGCTCTAGGTCAAGACATTGGAGGTTTCTGTGAGACTGATGTTCAGATGGTGGTGTCAACTGGGTCTTAGGTATGCCGATGTCAAAAGTCAGCAGATGGTGGTCAGATAGAGGAAAAGGAATATTGAACCGATTAGAGGCGGTAAAGAGATTGGTGAAGGCGAGATCAAGAGTGTTTCCCACTGTATGGGTTGCTTAATTGGACCATTGAGTAAGGCCAAAGGAGGAGGTTACAGACAGCAGACGAGACGCATCAATGCCGTTGGGGTTGTTGATTGGTATATTGAAATCCCAAAGTAGAATGGAAGGAGTGCTAGATAAGAGGAAGTGGGGAAGCCAGGAAAAAAAGTGCTCAATGAATAGCCTAGGATGACTGGGGGGCGGTAGATGATAGCAATTCTTAAAGGAGTGGGTTTAAATTGGTGGACAGTGTGAACTTCAAAAGAAGAAAAGGATAGGGCAGGGGGAGTTATGATTAGTTGAAAGGTACATTGAGGGGAGAGAAGGATGCCTACACCACCTCCTTTACAGTTGAGTCTGGGAGTGTGAGAGAATTATAGCCCACGAAAACATAAAGAGGCAAGAGTAGCGCTATCAGAGGGGGACAGCCAGGTCTCTGTCAGTGCAAGTAGTGTGATTGAGTTTGAGAATAAAAAGGTCATGCATGGCTGTTGATTTTAAATTACTGGAGATGGAGCGGGCGTTGCAAAGTGCACACTGAATGTTGGTAAGTGAGGGTAAAGGGCAGGGTATTGTGATAAGGTTTGTGGGGTTTCTGGTTTTCTTAGTGTGTAGAGAAGGTTAAGGGCCCTGGGTTGCGAGAGACATCACCAGCTGCTAGAAGCAGGAGGAGAGAAAGTAACAGGAGGTGTGAATGGGTTTTGTATGCATGGGGTCTAGGATGAGATCAATTGTGGATAGGAGTGAGAGAGTAGAAAATTGAGTGCAAGGCATGGGATGAGAGAAGGAGGCAGTGTAGCAGAGAGGGGCATATTAGGGATGTGCATGGGCAAAATATTCGGTTTGGTTCAGCATTCCGAAATTCAGGACTTCGGGTATGTTCTCTTGCAGCTGCTTAGTAGATAACTCCCTAATTCCCACAGTATTGGGAGCTATCTACCAAAAGGCTGAAAGTTGGTCTTTCAGTCAAATTTACGAATACTAAGTAAATATATTACTTAGTATTAGTCAATTCTGCCCCTACACGCTATACCATGAGTAGGGGCATGTCTAGTAAACAGTGCAGCCTGTGGCTGCTAACTGTTACAAAAACAAGTGTCCCCTCCCTCCCAAGCCCCCACCCATGCCTTGAGCGGCAGGTGGGGTCCCTAAATTAGAATAGGTGGGGGAACCTATTGTCCTCCCCCTGGTTCTGGCTGATATGCTTCTAAAGCACATAAGTCCAGTCAACAATTCAGATGCCAAACAAATGTTTTGAAGAAGTTTCATTTCATGATCTTTATTATCTCACATGAAAGATTTTTCCAAGGAATCCAGCCACACACGTTGTGCTCTGGCAACTGATGTGCCTGCAATAAGAGTTTTACACTGAGTTTCGGATGCTGAAAATACCCTTCTTAATAATGATTCTACTCTTTTGTCCATCGTATCTTGAAAACTGCTTGTACCTCCTATAGGGAATGTGTTGTCTTTTTTTACAATTAGAACATCCACCTTAGAAAGATCTTACATTTTTATCTTAAAGTTCACATGCAGTTTAAAGCTATTTTTAAAATGCTTAGTGATGTAAGTTTTTTTGAATTAATTTTGGATGGAAAGGAAATGCTTTAGAATTCTTATGTCTGTGAACCTCATTGTGATCTTCCATTACAGCAGAAACTGTAAATTGTCTCACTGGAGAGAGCATACTTCGTCAGAAGAATCTACAGAATCTTCAGAATCTGATGTTTAAGAATCCAAGCTGGAATCGCTCCCATCTTTTCCTTTTTTTACCTACTGGGATAGAGACGGTAGAAGTAGAAGGCTGTGCTATTTAGACTGCATAGCTTCTGTACATTTATCCAGGAAGATCTGTTGTAACTTACCCTGGAATCAAGTTAAGAACAAAAAATATTGAATTGTATATTCATTCAATGATTCTATGGAATTTTCTTTTTACCTTTTCTTGATAAGGGCGACAAGGACTATGTTGCACCTTAAAAGGAACACTATAGCATTAGGAATACTAAACTGTATTCAAAATGTTATACTAACCCTATCCTTAGTTTTATACAGGTTTTATTTGCCTGTTACCTGTGCAGAGACTTCCTCGGTAATGTTAACATCTCTGCTTACTGTGACAACACTACCTCCTCCATAATTGTCCAATCTGACCATCATGGATGAGGTAGTATTGTCGCATTGGGTACCTGATGCTCATGAGTGGATCCAAGCTTCCCCATAGGAAAGCATTGTATTCTTTCCTATGGGCTTCCACATCACGTGACCGAGTTTTACAGTGCCATGGAAGAACCTCTAGTGGCAGTCTTCCTAAAAAATGAAAATGTTTTAAATTGGGTGACTTTAGTGGTCCTTTAAGGACATGTATTATTAACACTATAAATCTAAAAACACTGTTTAGAGAGTCCGGCCCTCCTTGGCACCATTAAAGGTGATTTTACTCATGCGCCCCACTGTAATACCGGGAGGGGAGATATGGCAGCACTCTGGCCCCGAGCGAGGAAGCAAAGCAAGAATACAGCAGCCACTCTGGGCCCCAGGGAAAGAATCCACTTCAGCTCTTCCAAAAGGTAGGAAGGCTGGGTGAACTTAAAGGGACACTCCAGGCACCCAGACCACTTCTGCCCATTGGAGTGGTCTGGGTGCCAACTCCCACTACCCTTAACCCTGTTTTTTATAAACTGCAATAATTACCTTGCAGGGTTAACTCCACCTCTACTGGCTGTCTACTAGACAGCCACTAGAGGGCACTTCCTGCTTCATAGCACAGAAAACCTGTGCTAGAGCGTCGCTGGACGTCCTTACGCTGTGTGAGAAGCTGGCTCCTAGATTCCAAGCAAATTCATCAAGCCCTGCTCTAAAGGTGGTGGTAAGCAAGATTTGTTTTGTTATTATTTTTAAGCTAGCACAGACAAATAATGATTTTTTTTTTTTTTACCCTTTCACCCCCAAAACCAAATCTTGAGCACACTTGGAGTAATGTGCGTCATGACACATTTTATCAATTACTTCCAACATTTCAGCTAATTTGTGGTTTATAAAGCATACACTGTATTTTATCAGTGCATTTCACAAGCCTGGTTTATTTTAATGGAGTAATATTTACAAATGTGTGTTCTAAGAGAATTTCCAAGTACCAGCAGTGGAGGATTTACATGCCAAGCGCCTCTAGGCACAGAATTCCAAGATGCCCCTCTGCCACCTCCACCCCACACCCCCCGTGACAAACAAAAAACAACAAAACAAACAACATTTATTATCTGGACATTGCAAGTATAACATGTCTAAAAAGCATATACTGATATAGGTATGCGCATATTTCTCTTTGTAAATATAGATTAGGGTGAAGGAGAGCTTTAACCCCTTAAGGACTGGACTGTTTTTGCGATGTTGTATATTTGCGACCAGGCCTCTTTTTACACTTTTGTGGTGTTTGTGTTTAGCTGTAATTTTCCGCTCTCTCATTTACTGTTCCCACACAAATTATATATAGTTTTTTTTCAGGACAAAAGGGGCTTTCTTTACATACCATTATTTATATAATCTCATGTAATTTAATTTAAAAAATCTTTTTAAAAATATGATGATAAATTGAAAAAAAAAAAATACATGTTTTTTGACTTTTACTCGAAAAATCTTTTACTCAGCTACAAAAGTGAATGAAAAAAACTGCTAAATAGATTCAAAATGTCATGAGTTTAAAATACCCAATGCTTACGTGCTTTTTTTTTGCAAGTTATAGGGCTATAGGTACAAGTAGGATATTGCAGTTTCAAAACATACATTTTTAAAATTTATCAATAGTGACATTGTAACACTATTATCTGTCATAAATCTCTGAATAACACCCCACATGTACATATTTTTTTTAAAGTAGACAACCCAGGGTATTCAATATGGGGTATGTCCAGTCTTTTTTAGTAGCCACTTAGTCGAAAACACTGGCCAAAGTAAGCATTCATATTTGTTTGTGTGTGAAAAAAGTAAAAAAACTAAATTGAACGCTAATTTTGGCCAGTGTTTGTGACCAAGTGGTTACTAAAAAAGACTGGACATACCCCATTTGCAATACCTTGGGTTGTCTTCTTTTGCAAATGGTATGCCATCATGGGGGTAATTCTCATTCCTGGGCTACCATACGCTCTCAAAGGCAACGTAACCAACCTGGCCATTTTCAATGTAAAAATATTTGACCCATATATTTGACCCTGTAACTTTCAAAAACGCTATAAAACCTGTACATGGGGGGGTACTGTTATACTCGGGAGACTTTGCTGAACACAAATATTAGTGTTTCAAAACAGGAAAACATATCACAACAATTATATCATCAGTAAAAGTGCTGTTTGTGTGTGAAAAATGCAAAAAAAAGTCACTTTCACTGACAATATCATCGCTGTGATATGTTTTACTGTTTTGAATCACTAATATTTGTGTTCAGCGAAGTCTCCCGAGTAAAACAGTACCCCCCATGTACAGGTTTTAGGGTGTCATAGAAAGTTACAGGGTAAAATATAGTGCTAGCAAATTAAATTCTCTGGACTTTCAGTCTGGGTTGTCAGGCAGGTCCCTCAAATTGCAATCAATAAAATTACTTAATTATGTAAAAATATTACATAAATACGCACGTAGAATTTAAATATATATGCATATTTATATATTTGAAGTCTATGTTTATATTTATATAATTATTTATGTAATTTTGTATATGGACATATGTATATTTCGTATTATTTTTATTTATTTATATACATAGATATATATACACACAATTTCATTCTAAGTGTATTTTGATGTATATATATTACTATCAAAATACAGTTAGAATAAAATTTCATATAGATATATATTTTTTTAATTTTTATTATTTTTACATGTTTTTAATTTAAATTACTTATTTGTATTTTATAATATTTATATACAATATATAGTTATTTATAATATATATATATATATATATACACACACACACACACACGTGTGTAATTTAATTATAAGTGTATTTTTATATTAAAGGACCACTATAGTGCCAGGAAAACATACTCGGCTCTGGGGAGAGGAAAGGGGTAAAAACTTACCTTTTTCCAGCGCTGGGCGGGGAGCTCTCCTCCTCCGATCCTCCTCCGTTCCTCCTCCTGGGCTGAATGCGCACGCGCGCATTCAGCCGGTCACACAGGAAAGCATTCATAATGCTTTCCTATGGACGCTGGCGTGCTCTCACTGTGAAAATCACAGTGAGAAGCACGCAAGCGCCTCTAGTGGCTGTCAATGAGACAGCCACTAGAGGAAATAGGGGAAGGCTTAACCCATTCATAAACATAGCAGTTTCTCTGAAACTGCTATGTTTATGAAAAAATGGGTTAAACCTAGCTGGACCAGGCACCCAGACCACTTCATTAAGCTGAAGTGGTCTGGGTGCCTAGAGTGGTCCTTTAATATATGTACATATTATACAAATACACTTAGTATGACATTATATATGATATATATATGACATATAGACACATATACATATATATATACACATATATACACACACACACACACACATATAATTTTTTTTATTTATTTATTTTTATTAACTTTAACTTTTTTTATGATTTTACACTGACAGGCAGTCCCCCTGAAGGCAGACACATGGACACTAGAGATGTCGCCAACTGCTCGCCGAACTGTTCGCGAACTGTCCGCCGGTGAGGTTCCGGGTCAAAGTGTACACAATGATGACGAATAGGGGGCGGACCGGAAATCGCATATGTTCGCCCAACGCGAACACACTATTGTTCGCCGGCGGACAGTTCGCAAACAGTTCGGCGAGCAGTTCGCGACATCTCTAATTGACACCTATTGTGACCATGTGATCGCTCTGTTGAGCGATCACGTGGCCACAGGGGTCCTAATCTGCCATGGGGAGACTGTCTGGGCTGCAGGCAGTCTCCCCACAACGGGAGCAACACGATCGCCGCCAGGGGAACGATGGCGATCGGTAAGTACATTGGACCGTTAGGACCGTCACCGGTCGGCAACGCAAAAATGCAGATGACGGTCCTGAACCATCCTCGGTCCTGAAGGGGTTAAGTTTGAGAGAGCTAATATCACAGTTAGATTACACATACACAGTGGGTTTAGTGTTACGAGGATTAAATGCTTGAGAAGGGTTATAGTTGTAATATAAGGGGTGTTTAGAATGGAGTTTAGGGTTGGAGTAAACTTAGTACTGGGGTACATTTATTGTGTTTTATAAGAGACATTAAACATATGATTAAAGTTTTGTTTTGTTATTTTTAGATTTTGAGTGTTAAAGGGACACTATAGTCACCAGAACAAATTCGCCAGATTGGTTACGTTGCCTTTCAGACCGTATGGTAGAATGTCCACCGTACTTAAGGGGTTAAATAAATACCAGTAATAATATTTGTTCTGGTGAGTAGAATCATTCCCTTCAGGCTTTTTGCAGTAAACACTGTATTTTCAGAGAAAGGGTAGTGTTTACATTATAGCCGAGAGATACCTCCACTGGCCACTCCTCGGATGGCTACTAGATGTGCTTCCTTGGGCAGTGCTGTACAGTGTGCAGCACTGACATTCAGTGTGTCCACCCTCCGCATAGACACACTGAACGTTCCTCATTGAGATGTACTGATTCAATGCATCTCTATGAGGAGATGCTGATTGGTCAGGGGTGCTTTTGGCTTATGCTAGATTGTGTTTTTAAAACTAAAGAGTCAAGAATACATGGTTCTGTTCCTCATCCTATAGTGCCCCTTTTTTTTATTATTATTATTATTATATAGCGCCAACAAATCCCATAGCGCTTTACAATCGGTGGACTAACCAACATATAATTGTAACCAGACAAGCTTGATGCACAGGAACAGAGGAATTGAGGGCCCTGCTCAATGAACTTACATGTTAGAGGGAGTGGGGTAAAGTGACACAAAGTCAAGGATAGTATTAGGTGAAGTAGATTGGCAGAATAATATTTACTGAAGAATAAGGAAACTGTCTCTTAACATTTATGAAGGGGTTTAAATTTAGGATGTTTGCAAATAACCCTTAAAATTCCAAATTCTCCAACGTACGCACCCTCCTATGTCTTCAATAGACAAGTCAGTTTCTTATGATTGATGGCAATGATGCAGCTATTATACAGTATGCATCACTCATTGATGCCCCTACTCCTCTTGCAATGCATTTACTGTGTGTATGAGGCTGTTACAGCACACAAGGGAAATTATCCCTTCCACTCCCTGCCAACACAGACTCTGGAGGAGCTGGGGCAGCACTGTGTTTTACAGTCTGTGTTTTTTGGTGCAGCTCTGCTATCAAGCATAGGAGACTGACTGGACTCCTGAGGAGACTTATTTTTCCTGATCGGTCCACTTGAACTACAAAAAGGTACATTATAAGTGCTGAAAACAGATTCCCCCTACAGGACACGTAGCTGTAGACAGGTTTCTTTGCTTAATGGGAAATCTGTCACAGAGTACCACAATGCCCCTCAAGTTTACCTTTGACATTTTTTGTGAAATTGATGGGGCAAGTTTGAGACCTGGCCATTTCAATTTTGCAAAGACCCCTGATGGGGATATCACTGCTTGGTGTCCAATGGTAGAGGCTGCAGCAGAGGTAAGTTACATTACCAAAAGCTGTCCATAACAGGTGCCGTAATATACTTTCTTCAGCTCCCGGTGCTTCATGAGCCAGAAGCCCACATCAATGCTGTATTCTCACCCATGTGTGTGTGGAGGATCCAGCGAGAGCCTCTATAAATCAAGTCTTGTGATAAGTGAGACAATGCCCAATTCCCAAAACCGCTAGAAGCAGTTCTGAAAAACTGAAGTTGGCAATAGAAATTTTGCCTTTTGTCAAATTTTGATAACTTTAGGCTTATTCATTAGGCAAAGTAGCCCCTATTTTGGTTTATGATATCTTAACTATAAATATAGATTGAGAGTGGAGGCTTGGAGTGGATACATGCAAAGCTTTAGTAATGCTGTGTGTGTTTATATTCATAATTCCCTCAATCACCAAGTGTTATCCTCTGCCAGGTATGTTACGGTTTTCTTAATGTTGGGCTGGCACACTCGTGTGCAAAAGAAAGGCACAAATGTGCAGTAACATTTTTCATGTGTTTCCTTAGAGCTTGATAATCCAGACTCTAGTAGCCCTCTCCATGTTCTTCAAAATCCTAATGTTCCCTAGACTGAACGCTTATACAAGAAGGACCAACGTCTGCTACGTACAATGCATTGACAAAAAAGGTATATGGATATCCACTTCCATCCATAGAAGAAATCAAAACACATAGCCATGCAATCACACTACAGGGATATTGGCAATAAAATTGCCCACTTGTAGAAGTCAGTTACATTTAACATTACAAATGTATGCTCCACAGAGTCAAAGTGCTGTTATCGTGAAGTCAAAATGTCTAGGAGCAACAATAGCTCCACCTAGATGTGGCTGGAAGCAAAGCTCACAAATGAGACTGCCAAGCATGTATTTAGAGTTGTACATGAACATTGCCCGTCATCATCTACAATCCTGGCTCTATTATTACTTTCATGGTAATCACTTTCATATACAATAAACCCCTTCTGGAGATCAAAGGTTTATAAGGACACATATAGCACAAATATAAGGGCAGAAAATGCAGCATAAATCCAAACAGAAGTGATCTCACTAACTTTCATACGTATACTTGAGCATCAAGATAGTGAATCAATGCAAAGAAAGGCTGTGTTTCTTAATATAGATGTTGCTGTTCATATTTACAGCAGGAGTTTAAGGATTTTACAGTTTTATTTTCTCAACAATCATAAAAAGAAAACAAATGTTAAAAATAAGTCAGACTAGATGATATTTATGAATCCTCAAAATGGTTTGCAAGGGGATATTTATAGCTAGACAAAGTTCTTTGTATGATTCGAAAGCAGGGGCATGAAGACGTTTGTTTTGACCTCTAGGTCCTGCATTGGTTTATTCCGCAATGGAAACATTTTGAGTCAATAATACAATATATGTAATAGTGCTCTAAGACAGTTATCACACCTCCAGCAATAACTGAAAAGTTTCAATACACAATGCAGCATATTATATTGTTTAGACTGTTGTCCCTCGGTAAATGTGCACCATCCCAATGTTGCATTTACTGGATAGGAGGAAGGTCTTCATTGTGTACCACCAATTGGTATAAAGTATAAATCAACTTGGCTAACTATCCACCTGCAGTACATACTCACTTCAATTTTCCTATTGGTCGAATTATCCTTTTGCCAATGTTGAACTTGAGAGCCGTGGAAACTTAAGACTTGAGCTTGTGAATAGTTGGGGACCTTTGTGCACCTAATTACATTATACACCACCACATCCCCCATTGTGTGAGGTGGGGGAATCTTCACAAAACCCATTGTTTAATATTGGAGGCAGTACAGCAATGATGTTTGATGCTATAATTAACCACTTCTGCAGTCTTCTTCGTCCTGCAGTGTCCAAATGCGCAATAAATAAATAAATATTATATATATATATATATATATATATATACACACACACACACACACACACACACACACACACACACACAGTATATAGCAGTGTAGGAGTTTAACTAATGAACTCTGTATATGTGCACACAGACATATATAATTTAAATACATTATTCACATTTAAAGATATATAGGGTTATTCAGTAAAGTGTGAAGTCAAAATTTAAATTTATATTAAAATAGACAAATTGGAAACATGCCCAAGTCAACTTGTTTTCAGCTATTTCAGCCTAAAATTTGATTTTCATTTTAAATTCACTCAAATTCTCACTTTATTAAGATAATTTTTAACAAATAAAATTTCCACTTACTCCAGCATAATGAATAATACTTAACCGATAACACAATTCAGTAGAGTATAGACAGACAAAAAAAAAAAAAAAAATATACTACAACTTATGGATTTAGGCACCGGCCTGAGTTAATTTTCTGTCAGTCCATTACCATTAGAGCAAGTTCACTGGATGTTTATTATTTTTATTTAAACATATATAATAACAGACCAAATCACCAATTAGACCTACTAGATGGGTCTAGTGCAGGGGTAGGCAACCTTTTAGCAGCACTGTGCCGATATAGGATTGTGATGTCCCGTAGCGTGCCGGTCCTATTTTTTTAAATTGAGGTGTGTATGCTGCCATATTCTGCTTGTGTTATTTATACTGTAATTGCTTTGTATCATTGTATTTGTGCGTATATGAGCTATTATATTGTATATGTTCAGGAGTAGTTTTTTGGTATTGTGTATGATACATATGAATGTGGGCTGTGTATGGATGAATATGTCACATTATGTGTTTGGTAGTGTGTGTATGTGTGGGGGATGTTTGGGGTATTGCATGTGAGAGGCTGCATGTGGGGTTGTGTGCATGTATGTGGATTGTTAGCGGGTTACGTTTGTGCAGATTGTATGTATGTTTGTTTGTGGGCTATTCGTATTATTTGTATGAGGGGAGGGCTATTGTGCATTTCTAGATCTAGCAGTGTGGGTGGCTTTCCTGGGTTCCCATGGGGACCAGGCTGGCCAGGTACAGGTCGAGGACAAGAGCTGCAACAGCAGCTGCACGCTGCTCTACTACAGTGTGGATTCCCATTCACAAGTGCTGGGAGGAAGTGATCAGAGATCACTTACTCTATGTGCTGCAATGCATAAATTGAGGATTGTCCTTCACCACCTTTTAGTATTAGCAGATATCTGAGGTTTCACTGGGACTCCTGATAGGCCAGTGTGTTTGGCTGTAGCAGCCTTGAGTGCCGTGCAAAGACACCTTGAGTGCCGTGCATGGCACTAGTGCCGTAGGTTGCCTACCCCTGGTCTAGTGCATCACCCTTCAAAATACAAAGAGTAGTTAATTGTTCTCTAAAAAGGGATGGGAAGAGCGGTCTGGTATATGTATGTTAGCCCTCAAAATCTAATTATACGTCACTAGATACGAAAGTAACCCATAGTATGCCCCAAAGTTTAAAAAAAAAAAAAAAAAAAGCAAACCTAGATATGTCTATATGTCTCTTGATTTTGAATATCTAGTGGTGAAATACTCTGCATTTCTCTGGAGGCTGTGGACCAGACTATCTATTGCATTAATTACAGACCACTGTTTAAATAGGCAATTGTATCCACTCTTGTGAGTATGTTACTTTGTGTCTTTAGATTACACAGGAGACACAAGTAACCACCTTCAAAGAGACTGCCCTCATCTATTTTTACATTTATATTCCACACTAGACAGCATTAGTTTAGTGTGTGATAATTTATGACCGATAGTAGATATTGGCCTATTTGAATAAAGCCTCAGATTGCATGTTGTTCTAATGTCTTAAGTAACTTGTGGAAGCATGACAGTATAAGTGTTTGCTTTCAGATGCATTTCTTGTGTTGGAATCTTCTAATCTATACAAGCCCACCTTCAAACTCAACTAGCATCTGGTACTATCATCCTAAGATAATGGCAGTTCATAATACAATTTGATTTAACATGTTTACAATTTAGGTTTTGCACACAACCTTTCAAATGAATGTTCTTTAAAAAAAGAAAAAAAAATGCAAAATAAAGCCATCAGGATTCTATTACATTGCAAAAAAGATGCTATATTCAAGGGAGGATATGCAGGTTACCTGCATTCAAGGGTAGCAGTATACATAAGAAAACACACACTGGGTGGGAATATCCTGTGGGCATACTTAAATTAATTTCTGAACTTTTACATATTGTAATTATATATTGCGAACTGGAAGCAAAGTTATATTTAAGGTGCAGTTCAATGAATCTACCCCACTCCTTGTTTCTTCCAACTTGGAATGTCACTATACCTGCACCAATACACAAAGAAGCGGTTTTGTGACTTTTTTTCTCATATAACAGAATTGTAAAAAGTATGAAATACTAATCTCAACACAATACATACAAAATAAAAATTTACTAGAGAATAAATGGTTAAATGACAACATAAATTTTAACATTTCAGACCAAAGTTGTATTGGAAATATTTTCCACTTCAGCAACAGTCACATTCTCCAGTTCTGAAAACAGTCACAACTTGAAGGCTGCAATTCTGTTTTTTATTCACAAGTCACTGTTTAGTTAGTGAATAAACCCCAATAAATTGCACAAAAATTGGTATGACATAACTAGGAAAGTAAATAACCAATAACTGTTCTATAAATTACAGAGCGTTGAGATGATACCTACTGTTCCTCAAATCTTAGTAGTTTTGGTTATAAACACTGGCAAACAAACAGAGCAATCAATCAATGTGTCGCTTTTAAACTTGCTATTCAACCAAAAGGCTAAGTATTTACTACAAATGCATAAATTTAGAAGGCAATAGCCAAAATAAAAAATGGATCTGCAATATCTAGTAGGTAGACAGTTAATATATGTAACCGGACACTCAAAAAAATGTCTAGGAATAGCAGATAAAATTAGTAAACAGTTAAGGTATGCAGTGACAGGTGAGTAGACATTCTTCTTATATAATACTTTACCATTTAACATCATATCACAGAAATATATACTGTGTACACCACTTTCATTTCATATATAAGCTATGCTTACATTCATACACAAATCAAAAAAAGTCCTGTACACGTAGTACACAAAATGTATCTAAAAGTGTTATTCACTGACTGCAAAACCTTTTTTGTGCTCTTTTGAAAACATTTAGTTTAGTTGTGTACATAAGTACTGAGTGTCACAAACATACATATACATTATATATATATATAAAACGTTATAGTTATCTATTAAATGCGGATTTAGATATGCCTGTCTTCCCTTTACATCTATATTTCTCATGTAAATAATAGAAACATTATCTTAGTCAAACTAGCCATGGGTCTGACAAGTTGACAAATAATTTATCATCAAAATGTACTTCAATGCTAGATTGTCACATTAAAAGTAAAGTCAGCAACCTGTCTTGAAACTACATACACAAACATGCAGATGCTCTATCAAATTAGTTGTAACAAACAGTACATGTCCATCTTACACAGTCTAATCACCAAAGAAAGTTATGCAATTAACAGAAGTTGAGAATCAACAGTATCCCATGTATTGCTTTAAAATAAATGAGCATCACTGACATGAGCTGAAGTTGTAGTGATCTACTACAATCAGGATCTGCAGTCTCCTAGCAACTGAAAACACACTTTCCACACGTGACTTGCAGGGAACCTGGAGAATATGCAATCACACAACTGTAAAAGGGTTCACTTGCAGCCCTATTTAAGAGCTCTGGTTGGGTGCCCACAGGGGGATTCGAACCCCAAGACCACAGGTAGCTAATAACACACAGCAGGAACCCTCTGTTCGCTCACCTTTAGTATCCAGTTCCACGTGCATGATGTTTCCCATCACGGAAGTGTTGTGCAAATGTTTCACTGCATCCCTGGCACCTTTCACGGTGGCAAATATTACTTTGGCAATCCCCAGATGCTTCTTATTTTTAGGATTATATAAAATCTCCACTTCTTCAACCTCCCCATACTTCTTGCACATGTCACTCAGAAAGTTTTCTCTGATGTTATCGTTGAGTTTTGCAAAAGTAACTTGTTTTGGAGGGACAGGACCCACATAAAACTCATCAATCTGAAGAAGAAAAAAACAACCAATATAGCAATTGCAGAAGAGATATTTGGCCGCTGATTTATAGGGGGGGAGTAATATGATCATTGCACGGTTTAATGGTCTAGTAAAAATGTATCAATCTTAGCACCTGTTTGCATTCGACAAGTTATCGTTTAATAAAAGTATCAAAATCGAAATCAAAAGGTCTGTAAAACTAATAGATACATGTATCCACGAGTACTGCAATGACTCCTACTTGAGAGATGACGTTTTAAAAAAGCAGCATGTGTGCACAAGCCATTGTAAACAAAAGCATACATGGCATGTTACTATCAGATACTACTAAAAAATATTACATTACTATGGCTGATCAATCCACATGTTTAACCCTGTCAATACCGAGGGAGGGGCTAGCGCATGCCTCCCTCCCAGCACTCCATTAATTAAATGTCAAAACAAAGTGGCAAGTGATTAGCTCTGTTAAGTAGATACTCACACACACAAAAAAAGTTGTGTGTGCTGACAGATGTCGCCTGGCATGCAGAGAGTGCTGTCTAACGAAGACATACCTTGAGTTTAGGGACAGGTAAGTCTAGCTCTTTAGTTTTGGTCCATATCCGTCCGATCCGGGGGTCCCTCAATGAATCCACTGGGGGGACTCCAGAGTTCTGTAAAGAAACAAACCCACAGATTAAAACAAACACAGCTCCTGCCAAATATGAGGAGTTCAGAGGCAGCGTGTATGAGATGGATGGAGGGAGGGAGAACTTGGATTGGGAAGTGTACATATGACACAGTTGTCAAGCTGCACACATGGGCATTTTACTATAGGGGGCCGGCTCCATTCAGGAAACAGTGAAGTATCTGGATACAGGATGAGATGCTCTGCAGATCACACAGGGGGTAACTTTGTGAGCACTGGGGACCCAGCTGCCATTAGAGCAAGCCATCCCCCCAGTGTGGACAAGAAGCGGCACATACAGGCATGCTGAAGTGGAGTCCATCGTAACGGTAGAGTTTGTGCTGCCCTTTCTTGAGAGCCGGGTCAATAATCAACTTGTAACTCCTCCAATGGTGATTCCTCTTGTCGGCCGAGGTGCTCGGTTGGTTGCCAGCCTCCATGCCGTTGATCCAGCCTGCAAGCCACAAACAAGAGAAAGATAAATAGAGCGCAGCCGGCGGCAGAGACCCAGACATAAAGGGATAACCGTGCAGCCCACATCCCTGCTAGGGGGGTCACAGAATGGGGGTCACAGAATGGGGGTCCCCTCCTCACTTGCAGGCGGCTTTCTGCCATGGTCCTCTGGGTTCTTGCCTCTCTCCCCGGGCTTGGCCTCCTTGAAAGACATGCCTGCCCGCCTTCCCCACACCCCCCAAACCCCAGCTCCCCTGCGCCCAGGGTCGTCTTCGTGCCCTGCAGGAAAGGCCCAGCAGCTTCACAGGCCCCTTCCCCGGTTACATGACACACTGTGGAAGGGACCCTGTCTGCTCCTTTTTGGCGAGCCAACACATATTGTGTGTGTGTGTGTGAGCTGCTTCTGCTCGCTCTGGGGCGGCCCACAATGCACCGCGGCCTCCCCCCTCCTCCTCTCTCTCTCTCTGTCCCCAGCCAGCCAGCCAGCAGCAGCCCCGGGAGTCAGCCTACCTGCTCCGCGCGGCACATTCGACACAGATCCCGCAGTCATCAAACCTGCACACACACACACAAAAAAAAAAACGTCGGTTAAAAAAAAAAAATAAAGAATTTTAACAAGAAATTACCGTTAATGTTAGGAATAACGTGTAGGTGTTATGTTAAATGCAGACACGGGATTGCTGTGTAACTGCCATCCTTACTGAGTACTCACCATTTATTATATGTATATATCTGTATGATCTTTTATTAATTAATGCCTGTTTTCCTCTATTATTATTATTATTATTATTATTATTGTTGTTGTTATTGTTGTTGTTATGGTGTGTATGTGAGCCATTATATGCGGTGTATTGGAGCTGGGATCCCCTGGCTGGGGGAGGAGCAGGGCTAAGCTCCCTGTGTGGAATCTGCCGGCTGGATTTACCTGGCGCTGCTCACAGGTAGCAGACAAGATGGACCGGGCTCTCCTCACTCACTAACCCGGGGCAGGAGGGGGGTGATGGATGGGGACACTCGGGGGGACCCGCCAATAATGTCTGGGGACCATGGTTATACTGTGAATAACCCGCCTCTCACCCTCTCCAGCTTCATGGCGAAACAACCAATCCCAGAGCGGCTTCCATTTTGTCTCACCCCATGGGGGGGGATTACATTCCCACACTGTGCTCACTATATATTATATTATATATTATTATATTCCTGTCTGATAGAATATCTGTCTGTATGAAGGCTTGCAGGGCTGGGGGTGAGGAGAGGATTACATTCCCACACTGTGCTCACTATATATTATATTATATATTATTATATTCCTGTCTGATAGAATATCTGTCTGTATGAAGGCTTGCAGGCTGGGGGTGAGGGGGGATTACATTCCCACACTGTGCTCACTATATATTATATTATATATTATTATATTCCTGTCTGATAGAATATCTGTCTGTATGAAGGCTTGCAGGGCTGGGGGTGAGGGGGGATTACATTCCCACACTGTGCTCACTATATATTATATTATATATTATTATATTCCTGTCTGATAGAATATCTGTCTGTATGAAGGCTTGCAGGGCTGGGGTGAGGGGGGGATTACATTCCCACACTGTGCTCACTATATATTATATTATATATTATTATATTCCTGTCTGATAGAATATCTGTCTGTATGAAGGCTTGCAGGGCTGGGGTGAGGAGAGGATTACATTCCCACACTGTGCTCACTATATATTATATTATATATTATTATATTCCTGTCTGATAGAATATCTGTCTGTATGAAGGCTTGCAGGGCTGGGGGTGAGGGGGGATTACATTCCCACACTGTGCTCACTATATATTATATTATATATTATTATATTCCTGTCTGATAGAATATCTGTCTGTATGAAGGCTTGCAGGGCTGGGGTGAGGGGGATTACATTCCCACACTGTGCTCACTATATATTATATTATATATTATTATATTCCTGTCTGATAGAATATCTGTCTGCTTGCAGGGCTGGGAGTGAGGGGGGGATTACATTCCCACACTGTGCTCACTATATATTATATTATATATTATTATATTCCTTTCTGATAGAATATCTGTCTGTATGAAGGCTTGCAGGGCTGGGAGTGAGGGGGGATTACATTCCCACACTGTGCTCACTATATATTATATTATATATTATTATATTCCTGTCTGATAGAATATCTGTCTGTATGAAGGCTTGCAGGGCTGGGGTGAGGAGAGGATTACATTCCCACACTGTGCTCACTATATATTATATTATATATTATTATATTCCTGTCTGATAGAATATCTGTCTGTATGAAGGCTTGCAGGGCTGGGGGTGAGGGGGGGATTACATTCCCACACTGTGCTCACTATATATTATATTATATATTATTATATTCCTGTCTGATAGAATATCTGTCTGTATGAAGGCTTGCAGGGCTGGGGTGAGGGGGGATTACATTCCCACACTGTGCTCACTATATATTATATTATATATTATTATATTCCTGTCTGATAGAATATCTGTCTGTATGAAGGCTTGCAGGGCTGGGGTGAGGGGGGGATTACATTCCCACACTGTGCTCACTATATATTATATTATATATTATTATATTCCTGTCTGATAGAATATCTGTCTGTATGAAGGCTTGCAGGGCTGGGGTGAGGAGAGGATTACATTCCCACACTGTGCTCACTATATATTATATTATATATTATTATATTCCTGTCTGATAGAATATCTGTCTGTATGAAGGCTTGCAGGGCTGGGGGTGAGGAGAGGATTACATTCCCACACTGTGCTCACTATATATTATATTATATATTATTATATTCCTGTCTGATAGAATATCTGTCTGTATGAAGGCTTGCAGGGCTGGGGGTGAGGGGGGATTACATTCCCACACTGTGCTCACTATATATTATATTATATATTATTATATTCCTGTCTGATAGAATATCTGTCTGTATGAAGGCATGCAGGGCTAGGGGTGAGGAGGTACACAGCCATGGCTATATCTACACAGACTCCGTAATATCCCCCCAGACATGCAGTGCTCTCTGTATATTATTATTATCACATGTATTACAGTCAGTGTGCACACACAGTGCTGCTGCTATCAGTGGGCTGGCTTCTGTCTATCGGGTGGGGGTGTCAAAAGGGTGTCCTCGACTTGGGTATGAGCCACGGTGACGTCACTGGCCGTCGGAGAGGCTCTCCCGAGACTGCAGCCAATCAGCGTCCAGCTTGCATCCGCCTTTTGAGTTATTACTGAACTCTGTAAAACATCCTTCATCAGACACCAAGGAGAGGCCAACAGAACAGGCTGCCATGATCCTGCCATGGAATGAAATGGCTAACTCTGTGTATTACACTCTGGGTGTTATTTTTTTTTACATTTATTTATTTTTTCAATACCTTCTTTTGTTTCAAATAAGGGAATGCTTTTAATTGAATCCAACACTTGCTATCAGGACTCCACTGTGTGCATGTTCTTTATGTTTGCCATTTTAAAGGATTTTTGTTTTCTATTTGGAAGAAGGAAGATTAAAACCATAAATATCATTTACATGTCTGGATTTTCTCCCTAAGATTTGGAATCCATCTTTGTTCTAGCTAAGTCATGGCACACCCAAAGTCTAAAATAAGTAAATACATTTTCTCTCTTTTTTTTTGGATGGGTGGGAATCGTGATTCGCAGTGTAGAACTGCTTCTGGTTTGGTGTTTTATGAACAATAAATGAGATGAATTTACCTCTTTTTGCATAATTTCTGGTCATTTGTAAACTCATGTCCTTTAACTCAAAAAAAAAAAAAAAAAGTGCCAATTAAAACGTATTAGTAATTGTATTTTATCAGGGCATTGCTGCTGATAAATGTAAAGCTTTGGGTTGACATGTTTTAAGGCATGCCAGATTGATATTTAATTTGATTTTCAAAAGATTACACGATTTAACAGGATTTTCTCTTAAACCAGAGTTGTATTTCCAGAATCTTCGATTCACAAGAACCTGCTGATGTATGCAAGTGCATTATTCAAGCTGTTTTTTTACTCTTTTTGCTTAGAGGAAAGATAGCAAAACAGGATTGATGCAAGATCACATTGTTTATTAAAAGAAAATAGATACCAGCTTAAACCCCAGCAAATCTCCAAGGCTGTGTATTACGGTAAGTACATGTGTTTGCCCTTCAGTACATGGAAAGAAAACAGGGCCTGTTAAATTATTGCTTTGATAAACACCGTCTCCATATGATCTCTGAACAGTTAAGGGATGAATGCATTTCGGACTATAAGGATCACCCATCTTGGATTTTATGTCTCAAAACAACATTTTATAGGGCAACCTCGTTCACATTTCTCCTATTTTATATAGATTGTGAAAGATCTACATGTGTACCCCAGATTAGCCTGCTGCGTATACATACATATATATATTTGTGATAGTTTATCCATATACACCCCTACCAACTCAATAAAATCTTTTAATCGTATGATGCTTTAAAAGGGGGTCGAAGACATAACTGACACTTAAGTGATGGAACCTCTGTTGCTGCTAGAATTCCATCTAGGTTTCCGATCCCTATGCTAAAAATAGGTTTTTGTGACCAGTAACCTCACACCCAGAGATCCTGTGTTGTTGACGTGAAGCTCTGTAAACTTGTATCCTTTCTGGGCTTCAGAATAGCAGACCACGTTCTACATTGTGGAACAAAGGGCCATCGCTGTTACTGTGTATACGTGTGCGTTTCTGGTTACAGTTAAACCCTGTCTCTGCATTCCTTGCTCTGTAGTACAGGCCTGGAAATCTCACTGCCTTGTGAATTGCAGCCTGAGAGATAATTATGGAGGGTGAGCCATAAAACAAGGCCGTGCTTGTCACAGAGTAGAATGTAATCAGGCAAAAGGTCGGGCTTGATGTGTACTTAGCCATTTGGTAACCTGAATATTTAACTCCTTCCAGCCCTTTACTAACCCTTTGAACAGTGTGTTCTAGATTCGTCATCCGCTCCAGTTTGTGAAAGTGGTTTATTTGTTTTCCTGTATTAATCTCTTTGACAGGCTATGTGGACGTTTACTAGGAGACTTGCATAATGGGGAATGCAGAGAACATTGATCCTTTTGTAAGACGTGTGATCCTGTTTAGGATGTCCACCATGCACCATATTGTGTTAGAGAAAGAAAGTTCAAATCCTTGCTCCTGAGGCTGTTTTGTGAAGTACATATTTGTGATTACAGCTGGGCTTTATATAAAGCTCATTTATATAGCCATGGTTGTTGAAAAAAAAATTAAGCAATTCGTTTGTAAACCAATGATCTATAAATTCCAGCTTAGGGCTGTATTTTTTTTTTTTTTCTTCTTTAACTTTTAGTTTTCAGAGTGCTCTTATAATCGACTTTTTCGTGTTTGTGGAGGAACTCAGTTGGTAAATATGCCAATTGTATCAATCAGTAAAGCAGCCTGTTATGATTGTTAGTACACGATCTTGTCAAGGCATCCATGTGATAGCAAATTGTACACAGTAATGGAGCTCCATGAAATGATCTCGTTAATAAACATCAAATCATGAGTATTTGGTAACCAAATTTACCTTAAAATAGCTAAGGCAGAAAACAAATAATCAAACTGCTAATATTGATGCTTTGTTGTCATTCTTGATGTTATTTCCTAGACATAGTTGGTTGCATTCTGACCAGAACTCACTGTGACTAGTCCCCTGTAAGATTGTTATATGTAGTCAGTACTTTTAAAGTGATTATTGTGTAATATTTGTAGTCATATGCAATGATGATTCAAACTAATATATAATAAAAGGTTAGGATTGACATACTGTTATTGAACCCAATAGTCACCAGTTAAAGTGTTGTGTGTTTGAAAGGAAAAAAAACATGCCATGCAGTCTTTATCTAAGTTCATACAAGGTTATTTACTTAAGTGAGAAGTGAGTTTCAAATTTAAGTCCAAAGTAGCTGAACTGAAAAATTCTCTAAATCTGCTATGCTTCCAGTTCAACTACTTTCCCTTTTAATTTGGAATTCACTTTTAATTCCTGATAATTCTCAATTTAGTGAATAACATTGAGGGTCTTCAGTCGTGGTATATTGGAAATTCTCTAGATAGTCCACTTCTCCATTGCATCACTAAGTAAAATGGTTGCAAGCTGCTAAACTGTTCGTGTTTCACTTTAAAAGAAAACTAAAAAACAAACATTGAATTATTCAGGTATAAATAAGGTGCTACCAGTCAACAGTGTTCTAGGGTGATCTTTTGGTGTTTTGCAATGCGTTCTTGAGGCCTTAATACACATAGGGTTAATGGAGAAATAATGTAAACATACTGGTTCTACCGGTTTAGGGCTTGTCCTTATTTTGTCTAAATGAGCCTTATCGCATTGTGTAAGCAGCATACATTACATTGTGCCTCTCCTAGCTGTTGCTGTATCAGCAGGTTTTCACATACAACATGTCCGTAGCATTGATCTACGTTTATTCACTAAAAATCATATGTATGTAATAGAAAACCGAGGCAAAGCGAGCTGCTAAAAGAAAAGCTTAGCATTGCAGCATTTAAGCAAAAATAGTTGCTCTGGTAAAATGTACATCTCTGCTATAGTCACAGCTATACTATTTTAGCCTCCACTAAAATTTAGTGAATAATTGATAGGGCTTCTCATTAAAATGTGAATTTCAAATCCTAGGACAAATACCCGCATTTGAATAATAATGTCTGCTAATCGTTCAATTTTGGCCTAAAATGTTACATTCACTTTGAATTCCTGACAATTCCCTTTTTAATACATCTGCCTGTTATGAAATTTGTAATTGGAATTCTTATTCTGGCATAATGAAAAGTATTTTCCAATAGAATCAGGAATATATTAGTATGAACTAAAATCTAGTGTATATAGTTGAACATTGCCTCATCGTTCAAGATATACACAAGTATACGACCAAGAAAGTGTGTACTAACAAGCTGATCAGAGCTATGCTTGATGTATACAGAGTACCAATAACTCATTTTGTAATGAGGAAAATTGTGGAGTAAAAATAGTGACCTGTCATAATGCGACATAATAAAGTAAGACATGAGACAATAAACATGTCATATATGTCAAAGACATGTCTGTCTAATACGAGGCCTGTAGAAGGCGCAATAAACATACAGGTCATAAGAAGTAAAACAATGGAAAACATAGCAAATTAGTAAGTCTTGGAAATATTTTTGTCAAGTAAAACAAAAGCCTCTTTCGAAATTTGAGCTAGAATGGCCAAATATATCTACAATGGAGTTGGATAATATTTCCAAATCTGCTATTTATTTATTTTTTGTACAAATTCTGCCTTTTGGTTTTCATATGAGGACAATTTGGTGTTTAGTCAATAAGTACACTAAATTGTATTGGATTGAAAACAAAACTGCAACATTTAGACAGGGATAGGCAGGTTGTGATCATACAAGTTGGAGATTTTAGAAATTGCCAATGTTGCCCTACATTTTGCAGTTCGGTTTTCAATTTACTTCTATTATGTTTTAAGATTTAAAAAAATTAAACTATATTCAGTCTACTTTTCATATTTCTCTAAAATTGCACAATTTGCATGGAACTCCGATATTTTTTTTTTTTTTTAAACAGGGCTTTTAATGTGCTGTAAAATATTTTTACTCTTTACACATTAAACAGTTAAACATTTCAATGTGGACAGACTGTCCATGTTGATTAACATTCACTGATTTATCAGAGGACAATTTGTAACCTTGTTATGCTTTGTAATGCTTGGCTACATAGTTCATGAGATAAGCTACCTCTTGCCTTCTGTTCATGTCATGCCACAGCTCTGACCTAGCAAGACTAAGTAATGTCAGTATGTCCGTATATCGTGTGTATTTCTATGAGACAGCAAAATTGCAATACTGTTGTAGGAACTGCTTGGGCTAGTTTGTATACAATGTTGTGAAATATTGAATCCTGATTTATTTAAATTGTAATTTAAATAAAGAAGGAAGGTATGTAGAAAAGGATAAAGGTCTAGCTGACTGCCTCAATTAATATTTTTTGTTCAGTATTTACAGATGAAAATGAAGGAAAAATGAGGCATTTGTTATATGTGAGTTTACAGAGGAAGAGGTTCTATTTCAACTGTCAAAAGTAAAGACAAATAAGTCAATGGGACCTGATGGAATACACCCAAAGTTATTAAAAGAGCTTAGTGGTGTACTAGCAAAACCATTTACAGATTTATTTAACCAATCATTGTTAACAGGAGTAGTCCCAGAAGATTGGAAGTTAGCAAATGTTGTGCCCATTCACAAGATAGGTAGTAGGGAGGAGTCGGGCAACTATAGGCCAGTAAGCCTTACTTCAGTACTGGGGAAAGTAATGGAAACCATGTTAAAGGATAGGATTGTTGAACATCTAAAAACACATGGATTTCAAGATCAGACACAACATGGGTTAACTTCAGGGAGATCGTGCCAAACTATCGTATTGATTTTTTTGATTGGGTAACTAAAATAATAGATCAGGGTGGTGCAGTAGACCTTGCTTACCTATATTTCAGTAAGGCTTTTGACACTGTTGCACATATAAGGCTCATCAATAAACTGCAATCTTTAAGTTTGGATTCCAATATTGTTGAATGGGTAAGGCAGTGGCTGAGTGACAGGCAACAGAGGGTTGTAGTCAATGGAATATATTCGAAGCATGGGCTTGTCACCAGTGGGGTACCTCAGGGATCTGTACTTGAACCAATTCTCTTTAATATTTTTTATTAGTGATATTGCAGAAGGTCTTGATGGTAAGGTATGTCTTTTTGCTGATGATAGTAAGATATGTAACAGGGTTGATGTTCCAGGATGGATAAACCAAATGGCAAATGATTTAGGTAAACTAGAAAAATGGTCAGAGTTGTGGCAACTGACATTTAATGTGGATAAATGCAAGATAATGCATCTTGGATGTAAAAACCCAAGGTCAGAGTACAGAATATTTGATAGAGACCTAACCTCAACATCTGAGGAAAGGGATTTAGGGGTGATTATTTCCGATGACTTAAAGGTAGGCAGACAATGTAATAGAGCAGCAGGAAATGCTAGCAGAATGCTTGGTTGTATAGGGAGAGGCATTAGCAGTAGAAAGAGGGAAGTGCTCATGCCATTGTACAGAACACTGGTGTGACCTCACTTGGAGTATTGTACGCATTACTGGAGACCGTATCTCCAGAAGGAATTTGATACTTTAGAGAGAGTTCAGAGAAGAGCTACTAAGCTGGTTCATGGATTGCAGGATAAAACTTACCAGGAAAAGTTAAATGATCTTAACATGTATAGCTTGGAGGAAAGACGAGACAGGGGGGATAGAAACATTTAAATACATAAAGGGAATCAACACAGTAAAGGAGGAGACTATATTTAAAAGACGAAAAACTACCACAACAAGAGAACATAGTCTTAAATTAGAGGGGCAAAGGTTTAAAAATATCAGGAAGTTTTACTTTACGGAGAGGGTAGTGGATGCATGGAATAGCCTTCCAGCTGAAGTGTTAGAGGTTAACACAGTAAAGGAGTTTAAGCATGCGTGGGATAGGCTTAAGGCTATCCTAGACTAAAGATAAGACCAGGGACTAATGGAAGTAGTGGTTCTTATCTGCTGTAACATTCTATGTAATGTTCCATTATTATTTTTTTTAGTGTTTACATTTTTTGCGAATTATCCTCTTAAGTGCATATCCATGGTTTTTAATTTTATAATAATCCATAATAATAATTGGTCTTCAGAGACAGAGGCTCTTGAGGGATATGCAAAAGAAAACCTGTCTCTTTCTCTTTCATTTGAAATCCAGGGCAGGTGGACACAGTCTCATGTTAACCCAGCAGCTGACAAAAATAAAAAATAAAACGCATAGCTCCACCTGTCAAACTGTGGACATAATCTACAGTGCCTCTTGCTGAGTAGGTAGCAAATAATCAAACTTCCTACCCTTTTAATCCATTGCTGCAAACCCTTCTTATAAGTGGTTACCCATACAATAGTCTTTATATTTTCGTAATGAGTAAATAAACTGTAATTATTGCTGCAAGACAGGTTCCCAGCTTTTGCAGAACTACAGCTCCCATGATGCATTGGCATCCCTAAGGTTCTATCTGTTGGCCACTCATAGTGTAAATCATGTACATTATTATTATTGTAGTTTAAGGGACGTTTCGTATTGAGAATGCCCGTGCAAAGATATACCTTTTACCTTTTTGTTATCTCACGTGTTCAAACAATGATAGCAATGATTTCTTGCTTGTTGCTATATTCACAATGACCTGTTTGACATATTTATTGCTATTGTTATCCTAAACCATTTCAAATCTGCATGTCCTGCAATTACCTGATTTAATATTAGCATTTATATAGTGCCAACATATTGCAACTTTACCATTATCCAAAGGGATTATTAGAGGTATAGAATGACCAGAGCAAATGAGCTTTCAATCTATGATGGTTTCAGGTAGTCGAATATGTATCGTTGGGTATCTTAGCCACTTACTGGGATTCAAACTAAGGTGTCCCAGTTCCAACGCAGGGCCTTTGTCCTCCATAAGTTGCTTTCTAACAAGTCTTCAATACTTTAAAGCTGTTTTATACAGAGTATAAAGTCACTTAATGATTGTCTTTCAACAACTATATGCTGTTTAACTAAATCTTCTCAGTAATGACGCAAAAAAATATTCAATTACTGTTATTGCAGTAATTGAATATTTGTTTTATATTTAATTTTTTGATTGATGTGGATGTTGCGGAAGTAGTAAATATATGTGCTACTCCTGTTTTTGCTCTTTGTTTATATCATTTACTTGTTCAAGGCAGTTTTACTTTATTACTTGGCTGTATTTGCAGGTATTTTCTAGTATGTGGTTAGTTCTCCTAACATGTATGCAATTGTTTATACTAGGAAACTGTATACAATCTTTTTTTATTTTTTTTATTTTTTGTTAAATAGAAATATATTTAAAAACCCAGATGTATTTCTCCCACTTTTTAATGAGCAAAACATCAGATGGAGAGGATATATTACAGCAAAATAAACTCATAATGTGTCAGAAATTTTCTAGGTAGAAAGACATTTGCCAAAAAGTGGCCTAATCCCAGGAACTATTGTGTATAAATTAAACCGTATGACTCCTGAGTAATTATGATTTTTATATTTATAGCAATAATATATTCTGCAGCATTTTAAAACTGGTTAATGTGCTTATGTGCCTTATTTAATGTTGACAATAATGGTTAGCAGTACACTGATTATATGGCAGGAAACCAGCTGATCGCAGGAAAGGAAGTCATTCTGCTTCCTGAAATTGCATCTGCAGAAAAAAGCATGTTGTTCCAAATGTTTTTAAGGCACATTGCTACTCAATGCAAAATGACCTTTGAAATTCAAAATTACATTTTTACACATCTGTTTAAACAGTAATTTCTCAGTTGCAAAAATATCAATAGAATCACAATAATTCTGTTTATGCCTAATATAGGTAGATTAATAGTGGACAAATCAGTAACTTTAATTAACTTTGTTTCAAGTTGGCTCCTAGCACACTGTATGAAAATTTGAATATTGTTTTTCTGTATGCTACAGATCAGTTATGGCGAACATTTTTGAGCCTGAGTGCCCAAACTGCAATACAAACAAACTTTTGTTTTCCTCAAAGTGCCAACACTGCAATTAAACATGACAATTAGATACACAGACATTCACAGATACACTGACAGACTCTCTCACACACACACTCACTGACCGACAGAGTGACTGATACACACACTGACAGACGTACACACACACACACGCACTGATACACATTTCCCCCAACACTCAAAAATTACTAATAAACCAGCCGGCAAGGTCTTGTTCCCCCCAGGACACAAGGCTAATAAGGCAGTGCCACCAAGTCAAATGTTTTGCTAGCCTCGCGGTGAATACACCGCTGGGCACCCTACCGGCGACCTATTAGTGCCATCACTGCTAAACATGCCTGTTTCTACACTGTACAATGAAAATAACTCCTGATATACATCCAATGCATATTGCATCAAGTAGATGTAGTACAATAGACAAAATAATAATCAAGAAGCATTTCTGCAAAACAGAACGTGTTGGCCAAATATATTGATGGGGATTTCATACAAAGCATCAGCTCTAATGAATAGCTTTCTCTGTGTCAATCCATGTGTAGAGTAGTTCATGAAGTCACAAATATTCACAGATCCATAGATATATGCCCCTTCTCGGTCTCTCCGCTCTGCCCGTGACCTTCTTCTGTCCGCTGCTCGCACCCGTACGGCCAATTTGCACTTGCAGAACTTCTCACGGGCAGCTCACTTCCTATGGAATAGCCTGCCTACCGCCATCAGACTCTCCCCTAGTCTTAAAAAGATGCACGGAATTAGACGGCGATTTTTACGGATATTTAAACCGGAGGAAAAGAATCATGAAAATATCCCTGAAGAAGTCCTACATTGTGACAGGACGAAATGCGTTGGATTTATGTATGGACTTTATTTCCACATTGTTATTTTATATTGTTTTTAATCTGTATATATCTGTATTTTGGCTGCTCTTTGATAACCCCTCCTGCCACTTCCTATTTTGGATTGAGGACCATACTGCATGGAGTTCCAAGGTTACTGAGAGATATGCTCTTTGTGCTATACACACATGTAAGTGTGACCAATAAATTGTGATTTTGTATTTTAACAACAAACTTCACTATCTGTGATTTCCTTTATTTCCATATGTTCCATTGAGAGGATTTTCCAGTCGTATCACCATCATATATTGCTCCTGAGTGGGCGAGAAGCCATATTCTACGTGTGTTTGTGAGTGTATTTACAATCACCTATATTTATATATTGCTAAGTTTTTTTACTGTATTACGCTATGTTGGATCTCTGATTTTTATACAGAATCCATATGGATTACATTTTCCATCAGGTTGTTGTATATTTTATATATTAATTTACACGTATTCTGGGTGTTTTTCCACTTTCTTACTATTGTACATTGTTTCTCGGGTGTCTGTGAGGTACACCAGGGAATTCTTCCAGCTATACGTTTTTGTGTAGTGTATATATAATCCTTTATCTATATCTCCCCTAGTCTTGCATCTTTTAAGAAGTGCCTCAAAACCCATTTCTTTAGGAAAGCCTATGGCCTCCCAGACTAACCTCTACCTCACATACCTGCCCCTTGCTCTCTCCTAAAGGGGAGCACTCTACTCTCTCCTCCAGCTCTGCTTCACTCCCACTTAATTTGACTGCTATTTCCTGTCCTATTGTGTTTTATACCCGACTTCCTATAGACTGTAAGCTCGTTTGAGCAGGGCCTTCTTCAACCTATCGTTTCTGTAAGTTTTCTTGTAATTGCCCTATTTATAGTTAAATCCCCCCTCTAATAATATTGTAAAGCGCTACGGAATCTGTTGCCGCTATATAAATGGCAATAATAATATAATGGGGATTTGAGACAAGGGGGGATTTGGAAGTGATGGCTAAAAGAAGTTCACAGAGAGTTGTAGCTGCTGGTAAAATATAAAGGGAATGAGGAAGTAATTGAGTGAGACTTTTAAACAGCTGGAGAAGAAGTCTCTAGTGCTGAGAATAAAATGGAGAAATTCAGTATTTCCTGGCACTATAGAATCCTACAGTGCCCCCCTCCCACTGAAGGGGCTGACACCTTCAGTCACTTATATGAATCCAGCACCAATGTCCCTCTGCGCTGGGTCAGGCTCCGCCCACGCTGATGTTGGCAGGGGAGACCTACCTAATGCACATGCACCGTAATGGCAATTAATGCTTTCCTATGGGGATTCCGGTGATGCTGGAAGTCCTCATGGATAGCGTGAGAACGTCCAGCATCATTTAGACAACCAAAAATCGTATGAGTACCAGGAAGGTCCTCTAGTGGCTGTCTGGTAGACCGCTACTAGATGAGGAGTTAACTCTGCAAGGTAATTATTGTAGTTTCTGAGAAACTGCAATAATTAGGGATTATTCTAGTTTACAGTGAATAATCTAAATTTTATGGCAAGACAGGAGGCTTCATATTTGCTTATCTTTCTTTACTGAATCTCCCAGCAGCAAAGAAATAGTTAAGAAAGTTGTAAAAAATTAAACCAATCATAACACAACATAGAGCAATATAGTGCCACCAGACTCCTCCCACTTCTTCTTTCTTAGGTGGTACCGATCAGGATAGTAGAACCAACTTGTAAACTGGAAACATTCTGCGGTTTAGTCCGTAGCAAGTCAACCATGTAAACGGGTAGATGAAGAGGGTAATCCGAAGTTTTCATACTAGAAGAGAAGAAAAGAGACTTCGTGAAAGTATGGTCTCTTGAAGAAGAGAAAATGTACAAATACGCATTCTAAAACGATAGTCCAGAGTATCCTGACTGATTTAAGCACATAATGGTACAATATGGAGTAGGTATGCAATGCCACCAGATCAGTGTTAATTGTATGCCTACCAAACAAACTGCAAGGAATGTACAAGTTTGCCCTACCTGTATAGTAAGTGTATGCTTACAAATCAATTTGCAAGGGAATGTACAATGCAATAATCTCAGAGTGAGAATTTACCTGTAGGGTGGGTTCCAGAGTGAACGAAGGGAGGGAAAATATTCGCCTCCTGTCTTTAATAAAATTTAGATTATTCGTTCACTGTAAACTAGAATAATCCCTAATTTTATGGCAAGACAGGAGGCTTCATATTTGCTGTTTTAACGCTCTTGAATAAAGGAACAAGCCGCATGTGGTGTTGGTTTAAAATAAAAGGTGCGAAAGGTAGATTCTCTTGACTAATCTGCGGAGGCTAAAATATCCTGCGCGAAACGCGGAGGATGCGGCCGCTCCCCTAAAGGAGTGAGCTCCGAAAGAGCTATCAATTCCTGCTTGGGTAAGCAACCATCATACCCATCGTGCAATGGTGGGGGAGGAGACCGGTTTGTGAGGCTTAACGTAAGAGACAAACAGAGGTCCGGTAGGGGGACGCAGAGAGATAGTGTTGTCAATGTAACAACGGGTGCACAGGGCCACACAGAGTGACGGCCTATCAGGAAAGTATGGATAAAAGACTGACGAAGAATTCGTCTTGTAATGGTAAATCTGACACCGTCTGGTGCAAAGGTGACAGCGTGAGAGTCAAAAGCGTGAACGTCTGAAACTCTGCGGAAGGACACCAGACACAGTAGCAAGGCCAATTTCGCAGAGAGTTGGCATAAGGATAAGGCCTCGTTAGGTGGCCAGGAATCCAACAGTGTGAAAACCTGAGAGACATCCCAGAACGTAGAGTTTTTGTCAGAAGGTGGCCTCGTCAAACGAATGCCCCGTAAAAGTCTGCACACGGAAGGGTGTTTCCCAACCAAGAAATTGTCAATAGTGTCATGGGCCGCCGAAATGGCGGAACGAAAAATATTAATCGATCGGTAAGATTTACCCTGATCGAAGAGAGATGATAAGAAGTTTGAAATGGGAGAGTGAGGTGTTGAAACGGGATCGAGGTCCCTCTCCAGACACCAGCTAACCCAACTCCGCCAAGCGGAGAGGTAGGTTCGTCTGGTTCCTGGAGCCCACGAGTCCCAGAGGAGTGTTTGAGCTGTGCGTGAAATACCTGTGACATGCCAAGCTCCCCTGAAACTGTCCAAGCTACCAGTTGAAGATGACCCTGTAAGGCGAGAGGATGGTAATCGCCCATTGGGTTCCTGAGGACTCGAAAGGAATGAGGTAGAAGGATGGGATAGTCTATTGATAGTTCCAGGAGGGTAGGAAGCCAGGTCTAGGCCCACCATAGAGGGGTGATTATTACTACCCTGACTTTCTGCTCTTTGACCCGATGAAGGGTCTGTTGAATCATCGAGAAGGGAGGGAAAGCATAGGCTCTCTCCCGTGGCCAAGGTTGCAGAAAAGCGTCGACTGCCAGAGATAGAGGGTCTGGTAGCCAGCTGAAGAAATCATCTGTCTGACGATTCAGGCGAGATGCAAAGAGGTCGAGTGTGAGAGGTCCCCGTAGGAAGTGGATGTGATGGAACAGGAGAGGGTCTAATTGCCAGTCGCTGGCATCCCTCCAATGACGCGAAAACCAGTCCGCGACTAGGTTGTCGGACCCAGGGAGATACTCCGCTCAGATGGACAGATTTCGGTCCAGACAGAACTGGTACAGGTCCTTGGTGAGGTCGGACAGAAGTTTGTATTTGGATCCTCCGAGTCGGTTGACATACCGCACCACGGAGACATTGTCCATCCGTAGTACCAGGGAGCAATTGGAGGCGTCCTTGGCAAAGCTGCGGATCGCAAAGGATCCAGCAATGAGCTTGAGACAATTTATGTGGAGAGCCTGTTCCGATGGGGACCACAGACCTCCTGTGGAGGTTTGGGCACACGTAGCACCCCAACCCAAGAGGCTCGCATCGGATTCCAGAATAAAATCTGGTTGAGACCCGAAAATCGCTTTCCCATTCCAGGCTTCCATGTTGCGAAGCCACCAATGAAGTTCGATGATAACTTCGTCCGTCAGAGAAATGAATTGATCGTAAGAGGTTGAGCGATGCAAGTAGGTTGTTTTCAACCGTTGCATCGCTCTGTAGTGTAAAGGCCCAGGAAATATAGCTTGAATTGATGCGGACAGGAGACCCAGAATGTGTGCAAGGCCGCGGAGCCGAGGCTGCTGCGAAGAAAGCAACTTTTGGATTTCTTTCTTTATGTTTTTTATTTTGGGGTAAGGCAGCTGCAAAGTTGCCTGGACTGAGTCTATTTGAAAGCCCAGAAACTGGACTACCTGAGATGGTTCCAGGTCTGATTTCTGGAAATTTATGACAAAGCCAAGGTTTTGAAGGAGAGCAGAGGTCATGTGCGTATGTTTGCGAAGCAAATGTTGGTCTTGGGCCATGATCAGAATATCGTCCAGATATATGATGGAATGTATTCCCCGAGAGCGGAGTAGTGCCATGACCGGCTTCATTAACTTGGTGAAACACCAAGGGGAGGAAAAAGTCCGAAAGGAAGGCAGGTGAACTGCCAAATTTCGCCATGCCAGAGGAATTGAAGGAACGCACGATGACTTGGTGCGATGGGGACCGTGAGGTAAGCATCCTTGAGGTCGAATCTGGAGAACCAGTCTCCCACGCAGAGTAGGTCCCTGAGAAGATGGATACCTTCGATATGTGATGAACTGATTCAGTTCTTTGAGGTTGATAATAGGACGGTGGTCTCCCGTCTTTTTCCGTACCAGGAACATGTTGCCGAGGAAAGTGTTAGGGAAAGGCGAGGGTTCGATCGCCCCTTTGTCTAATAGTTTGTGCAACTCTGAATCTAAGGTTAGTTTGTCTGTTTGTGACATCCCTAAGGGTGTTGGAGGGTGGCTCTGAGTGGGGTGTGTGAGAAAATCTATTTTGAAACCCCTGACTGTATGGAGGATCCAGTGATCCTGAGAGAGTAGTTTCCACTGTTGGGGAAAAAAAGGGTTAATCGACCTGCAATTGACAAATTTTTTAAATAAGTAAGGTCCATTACCTGAAGCAGTGCGTCCGCGCAGGGATGCAGAGCCACGTCCTCGAATAGAGCCTCTGGAGCTGAAGAGCTGTCTGTGGTAGGGTCTTGTTGGTCCAGAGGACCAATGATCTGTGGGTCGGGGCCTGTAGCCTGCAAAGGCTGCTCTACTGGTAGCTCGGCCCCTGAAACGACCAGCTCTCCCGGAAAAACGATGAGTTTGGGAGCGGAAGACCCTGCGTAGTGAGGACTGGGCTTTATTAAGCGTTGAAAATACAGAGACATGCTTAGAGAGGTCTCGCATAAAGCTGTCACCAAATAGAAGACCATCTGCTTCTAGTCCCAATTCCTTAGAGCTTAAATCTACTAATTTAGCGTATTGAAATTGCCACGTTTGCATTGCCTAATAGGCAAAGCGCTCTCTGAGCCCATTCTCTGATAGTGTGTGGATCGAATTCACCACTAGTGAGTGCCTCATCTGCCAGAATAAAAATCTGGATTATAGGACCTGAAATGTCCAAAAGCTTGTCTTGGGCTGCTTTTAACCCTTGCTCTATACCCTTACGAGGGTCTTTGCCAGTTTAGTCAAAAGAGTGACCAGCATGGGGCCGAACTCAGGGGTAGAGGCAACTTTGCCAGGAATAGTAGGTCTTGGGCATTCAGCCCTCAATTTATTTCTGAGTTCTTTTTCGAGGGGCTTGCGAAGCCACATTTTGCAGTAACTGGCAATGTGATCAGGAGGGGTCCATTCTGCAGACCGTGGGTGACGAATCACTCTTGGATCAAAAAGGGGGAGGCCTGAAGCATCCAGGAGGGTGTCTGAAGCAGGCTCTTTAGTTGGAGGGGCACCTTTAGCATCTTGAACATGAAAGGTTTCCTTAATAAACTCTGATGTTGAGGAATCCTGGGGCATATTCACCGTAGGATCCTCATCAGAGTAGGTGGTGTCATAGTCGTTTAAAATATGACCAGCTAATCTGGAAGTAGAGACCTCTAGAGGGTCTGACGGGTTCTACATAGTAAATGTTTGAGGATTTTCGCGGGAGCTTTGCCTTTGCCTGCAGTAGCGCCATTCCCTTTCCAGGGTCTTTTGCGCGGGGCACTTTCTTGGTCTGAAAGGTGAGAATCCTCTGAGTCAGAGGGTTGGCGTGTAGAGGGATGAACCTCTGTAGTAGATTGCTCATGATAAGCTGCCAGAGCTTTGGGAATGGACTCTGCAATGGTGGCAAATAGCCAATCCCGAAGTTCTGCAGAAATAGCAGGGTCTTGGTGTTCCGACATTTTTAATGTTTCATTTATGGGATTGACAAAGGGCAGATTAGTAACTACAGGTAAGTGTAGTGAAATTATATAAGGCAGTGTTGATAAGTGACAAAAAATAAATAAAAAATGAGGCAACTCAACTAGTATAATGGAGAGGTGGGGGTCACCCACACGAACTGAAAAACCAGTGGGGGTCACCCACAATTATTAGGCACAATTAAGAAAGGGGGTCACCCTTTAACAAATGGTGAACAGCAATAAAACGTAGATATATATTCAGACAAGTAAGCCCAACGAGGTAGGGTTGCCCACTATAGAGGACCCTGTCAAACTAAAGTGGGGGTCACTCACAAATAACAAAGTGGTATCTGCCAATTTTTTTTTACATTTTTTATTTTTTTTAATATAGGCAGTAGTTATGGTGGAGTTAAGTAGTAAAAGAAAGTGGGGATCACCCACAAAATAAGCAGGGTGGTGTCAACCACGCAAAATATTGTTGGCAGTAGTTGTGGTGGGGGTCACCCACAAATGAAACAGAAAGGTGGTGTCAGCCACACAATTTTAATAAAGAAAGTTGTACAGTGAATTATCACTTTAACATAAAGGGGGTCACCCAATAATTTAGCAGGCAGGACTTGTTGAGCAAAATAAACCTGCAATGATAAGGAGAGAGAAAGATCAGTGTGTCATATGGATAATCTACCCATGGTCTCCTGGGAAATGGAGTCCGTCACTAGGTAGTTTCCTGACAGGAGGGGAGGAGGGAAGGAAAAACCCGGCGGGCAGTTTCTGTGTGCGGACGAAATTAAAAAGGAATATAATAAAAGAGGACATATTCCAATTGAAAAGGGAGAATAAAAGACACTTGTAAAAGAACATATTAAATTAAACAAAAGGTGTTAAAAGGAAATTAACCTGAGGCAAGCTAAAACTATTATTGAGCTATCTCAGGATAGGAAAACAGATAAAAATCATCAAATAATCTAAGAGAATTTTAAATTTAAGTACTGAAGCTAGGCAACGTAATTGGAATAGACTCACCTGGGAGGCAAGCAGCAAAGAAAGAGGAAGTGGGAGGAGTCTGGTGGCACTATATTGCTCTATGTTGTGTTATGATTGGTTGAATTTTTTACAACTTTCTTAACTATTTCTTTGCTGCTGGGAGATTCAGTAAAGAAAGATAAGCAAATATGAAGCCTCCTGTCTTGCCATAAAATTACCGCTGTTGGTTAAGGGACATGGGACTTCAATTAGCTGAAGAGGTCTGGGTGCCTACAGTGACCCTTTAAGTGCACATAAAAAAAGTGTAAAGATGTTTTTTATTTTTTTTTTATTCTGCCCTGTCCGTTTTGTGTTCTGCCAGTGTATATTTTGTATTAAATTGTCACTGAATAAATGATCATTATGAAGAGTAATTCAAGAATGCTATATCATGTCTTCTTCCAAGCACCTCTAACTTTTTTCCAGAAGTCCTTTGCTACAGGCTGGACGTAGTCCCTCATCATTCATGGCCGTGTGAAACTACAAGGCAACAATTATGCTGGGCCTCCGTTGATTTGAGGAATAAAAAAAATATGTAGCCCGTGTAGCGCCCTCTGTTGGTAGCAACAGCAATATGCACTACCTGAATAGCAAGGCTGTTTAATTTGCATATTCAGATAATTTCCACATTGCTGTTTCTGCAGGCAGTAGAGATGTTTTGTTTGTGTTTGTTATTGTCTTCCCCATTATTGTCTTTATAAATTTGCTATTAGGTTATTATAATTTCCTGTATATTTTGTGACATGTTTTGGTTATTTGAATTTTATTATGTTTGTTACAGCAATATATATGTAATGAGCCTATAGGCTATTTCCGAGTAAAAATAAAGTTTTGTATATTAATTATTTTTGGAACTTGTGTCCTGTGTGGATTTTTAGGGTGACAGAGTTTTCAGACCTCTTTGCTGGTTGCAGAATCCCTTTAGCCCTGGGATAAATCACCGATACCCAGCCAGGGTACAGGGAGCTCTGTCACATAAACAATAGGAGGACATTGTATAAAAATGGTTATACAGTAATTTCCAACCAAAGCAGGCACAATGCTGAGTCCCAAAAGGATAGTGGCAGTGGTTCTGTTTCTATGCTGTGTGATGGCATAAAAAGCTATGTTAGTGAACAGTGCTCATTGTGAATAACTCCCACAGAAATGTCTCTGGAAATTAGAAAATCTGTTCTGAGCTTATTTACATACTTCACATTGCATTATGGGAGATTTATTGACACTAATTTTTCACAGCTGCTGAATCTGGGGCATCTTTTTTTTTTTAATATTTAATTTTGGATTCTGTACTGTTTTATTTGGTAATTAGAAAAATAAATGTATGCGTTATCCTGAACACCTTAATAAAATAGGGAGACATAAATCCACATCTCTAATTATATACATTTCAGTGATTGCTCAGTGGATATTCCTATACTATACAAATAATAATCTGCATTTGCAATATGTCTCTCTTCCCAGCATTGGTCCGTACCTCTAGTTTACATGTTTTTAATTGTTTGTTATATAAATCCAAATCCTCGTTTTGTTTCAATGCATTTCAGCCATGGAATGTTGGTTTTTGAAACTGGCAAATTGTGAATATCTCTTTTTGTGTGAATGCGCAGTAACTCTCACTTGTTTTCTGAAAGTTCTTGAACATTTTGATTGTGTGCCAACAAAGGAAACTCACAGCTTCCTGTCTTGCATCAGATCTAGCTTGTTCCCTCGGTTTCTCTTCTTTGTCACACTTAAATTAAACAACAGTCCCCATACGTAGATTGTCAGTCAGTGTGTTTACAGCACTCAGTAGGTGATACTTAAGTATTTTATTGTGATATACCAAAAAAGAACAAAATTAAAGGGTACCAGTCATGCCTCCTGTAACATATGCACTTTCAAAAGAGGATAACATTCTATCAAGCAGATTTTTTAGTAAATGTATAGATTGGGAGAAAAAACAACAACTATATTTAAACAGGTTTTTCGTACACCTGTCAGTCCGTTCTTTGGCATAGACTCTGTGCCGACGAACTGACTTGACAAGGACAAACAGAAGAGACATCCCTCAGGCAGTCTTCTGCTCTCCACATATAGCAACCATAGTGCATTAGCTATGGTAACTCCCAACCCAAGCATATCCAAGCAGGGCAAATATAAAGCAAACAACATGGAGGAGTGGAGGTGGGTGTTATAAGAAAAGTAACACCCACAAAGCTGAAGATATGGCAGCAGTAGAAAGGAAGTGAGGTGAATATATCTTAATATTTACACTTAATGCCTCATGTATCCCTGTGGTATATAATGTAGTGTGTGTGTGTGTGTGTGTGTATGTGTGGGTATATATATATATATATATATATATATATGTGTATGTGTGTGTGTGTACAATTTAAAGGAAGTGAAAAATGACAGGTTCACATTAAATTTATAATGTCTATGATGACTGAACCAACACTAGTTAATGTGTTGCCACGACCCTTCCAAATGATTGAATGTGAGACGAGCCCACCATAGTACATCATTGCTTATTTATTCATGGGGAGCAGATCAAAGAAAGGAATCCAACTTTCATTCTATCTTGTGAATTAATATATGTATATGTGAAATCTACACACATCTCCATTATTAACCTCTCCTATAAGTCACATGCAAGATACTTTGCATATATGGTTTAATAAGTAAACAGTGAGTTGACTATGAATCTGCTATTTTTAAGCTTTGAGTACTTTGAGTACTAAAAAAAACAAACTGCTTTTCAGGTTTTGACACATTTTGGTTAATCTTCTTCATTTTACTTCCTGTTCTTTTATAAGGCTGGATCTCTATACTGATGCTGCTTTAAAAGGACTTTACATGTTTTTAAACCTCTTAGGGCTGGATTTGTGTGTATACTAGGCAGCTGTCTATAGGTGCCTCTCTACTAGAAACACCGTGACCTACCCTTATCCCAAATATGCTTAACAGTCCATCAATCATAGAACTCAAACTAATTTTTCAAAAATGGAAAGATACAGTTGCAAGAAAAAGTATGTGAACCCTTTGGAATGATATGGATTTCTGCACAAATTGGTCATAAAATGTGATCTGATCATCTAAGTCCCAACAATAGACAATCACAGTCTGCTTAAACTAATAACACACAAAGAATGAAATGTTGCCATGTTTTTATTGAACACACCATGTTAACATTCACAGTGCAGGTGGAAAAAGTATGTGAACCCTTGGATTTAATAACTGGTTGAACCTCCTTTGGAAGCAATAACTTCAACCAAACGTTTCCTGTAGTTGCAGATCAGACGTGCACAATGGTCAGGAGTAATTCTTGACCATTCCTCTTTACAGAACTGTTTCAGTTCAGCAATATTCTTAGGATGTCTGGTGTGAATCGCTTTCTTGAGGTCATGCCACAGCATCTCAATCGGGTTGAGGTCAGGACTCTGACTGGGCCACTTCAGAAGGTGTATTTTCTTCTCTTTAAGCCATTCTGTTGTTGATTTACTTCTATACTTTGGGTCATTGTCCTGTTGCAACACCCATCTTCTGTTGAGCTTCAGCTGGTAGACAGATGGCCTTAAGTTCTCCTGCAAAATGTCTTGATAAACTTGGGAATTCATTTTTCCTTCGATAATAGCAATCCGTCCAGGCCCTGACGCAGCAAAGCAGCCCCAAACCATGATGCCCCCACCACCATACTTCACAGTTGGGATGAGGTTTTGATGTTGGTGTGCTGTGCCTTTTTTTCGCCACACATAGTGTTGTGTGTTTCTTCCAAACAACTTAACTTTGGTTTCATCTGTCCACAGAATATTTTGCCAGTACTGCTGTGGAACATCAAGGTGCTCTTGTGCAAACTGTAAACGTGCAGCAATGTTTTGTTTGGACAGCAGTGGCTTCCTCTGTGGTATCCTCCCATGAAATCCATTCTTGTTTAGTGTTTTATGTATTGTAGATTCACTAACAGGGATTTTAGCATTTGCCAATGACTTTTGTAAGTCTTTAGCTGACACTCTAGGATTCTTCTTCACCTCATTGAGCAGTCTGCGCTGTGCTCTTGCAGTCATCTTTACAGGACGGCCACTCCTAGGGAGAGTAGCAGCAGTACTGAACTTTCTCCATTTATAGACAATTTGTCTTACCATGGACTGATGAACAGCAAGGCTTTTGGAGATACTTTTATAACCCTTTCCAGCTTTATGCAAGTTAACAATTCTTAATCGTAGGTCTTCTGAGAGCTCTTTTGTGCGAGGCATCATTCACATCAGGCAATGCTTCTTGTGAAAAGCAAACCCAGAACTGGTGTGTGTTTTATAGGGCAGGGCAGCTGTAACCAACACCTCCAATCTCATCTCATTGATTGGACTCCAGTTGGCTGACATCTCACTCCAATTAGCTCTTGGAGATGTCATTAGTCTAGGGGTTCACATACTTTTTTCCACCTGCACTGTGAATGTTTACATGGTGTGTTCAATAAAAACATAGCAACATTTCATTCTTTGTGTGTTATTAGTTTAAGCAGACTGTGATTGTCTATTGGTGGGACTTAGATGATGATCAGATCACATTTTATGACCAATTTGTGCAGAAATCCATATCATTCCAAAGGGTTCACATACTTTTTCTTGCAACTGTGTGTATGTATATATATATATATATATATATATATATATGTATATATATGTATATGTGTATATATATATATATATATATATATATATATATATATAAAACTTTCCCTGCCTAGAATACTCAGTCTTATTTTTATTTTATTTTGTTGGGTTATTATGGATTGTTACTTTTTCACTTTAGGTAGAAGAAATAATAAGGAAATCTACAATCAAGCATATATTTTTACAGGATATTTTATTATATTACAAGTGTAAGGGAGGGAGGTATAGACACATTCTGGATCTTAGGGATCCCTAGCCACCCCTTTGTGTGGAGATCTCGAGTACATTAACAGGCTCAGGAAACTAGATGTTTTCTGGGTCTTAATATTTGCACATGTAAATTGTCCCAGGAGCCTTGATCAGAGGAGCAATATAACTCTGCTTTGACACTGCAAGATTTTAACCCTTTCAGTACTGAACACTTAATTGAAAAAAAATATTAGCATAGCATGTATATGAAACAATGGATGCATAGCTAGCATACGAACATATCATAACATAGAAATTTTGTGTATATATTGCTTCGAAGACAAATGTAAAAATTACAATTATGTGAATTTACACAATTTCTATTAATAACTTACACCGGGTTGGAAATGTTGGTATAAAAGCAAACATGCCATTTTCTCACATTCAGTATATGAACAACAAGGCTTTTGGAGATACTTTTATAACCCTTTCCAGCTTTATGTGACAAAATAAATTACTGGTCCATTACTTTGTTTATAGGTACTTTTGATGACCCTGAATGTATCTCTAGCAATTGTGAAAAATGGCACAGAATTTGTCTGCTTTGGAGCATAATGCCTGTATACAGTAAATACAATTAAATCATATTTTTACATTAAATCTATTTTGAACTGTAGCAATCTTTCTCAATCACTGGAATTCTAATGTGAGGCTAATTGGGAAATGGTAGAGTCCATTTACTCCTCCTCCTCCCTCCTCCCTCCCTCCTCCCTCCCTGACAGTAAGAATATGACCCTTTGAAACTTTGGGTACTGTTTGGAAGCAGGGGGTGAGCTTACAATTTTCGCAAACTGACAGTCATTGATCAGTGATTCTGGCAGAGCAATTTGTTTCTCTACAAGCTGGAAACCAAAACTAGAGTTTACATGAATGATTTTTTTTTTATGGACTAGAGTTAATTCTGCAAAATACATGAAAATAAAATGTATTAGTCTTCCTCAATTGAAATGTCCATTCTTTCTTTAAGGCTTCTTATACTTTTTAAATGCCATGTGTGAATATCCTGTAGCAATACTTTTAATTCAGGTAAGACGACCTGCAACACCAGATATTTATGACACATAATGTGTTGTAAAGTCACTGACTGTAATATGAAATCTCCATGTGAGCTACAGTAGCAGTTGGTGATGTTTTTAGATGGTTGAGCATTAGATTCTGATATATGTAATTGACTCTGAATTGGCGAGTGATGCTGCAAGTTAAAGAACTTAAGCATGCATATAACATGAACAACATACAATTCTACTCATTAATAACTATAAAATTTCCTAACAATATCAATGAAAAAAAACCCCTGCATTTTAAAAGTTTATCAAAAGATATTAAATCACTTGGAAAGCGTATCCAACAATATTCATCAAAGCTAATAATGAAAAAAAGTTGTTTTTTTTAAATGTAGCTATTGTTTCATAAAATACTATATTTCTAGAAATCTAGAAATCTTTGACCCTCCCCCAGGTAGAATTATTTAAGCTACTGTCATACAATATACATTCATAAGTATACTATATAAACATACACAGATGACAGAAGTACTGTAATACCTATGGCCTCCAACCTTCTTTCCAGGAAACTTTTCCCTCCGCCGGGGCGAGCTGTCATGTCGCACAAAATGTGAACCATGATAGGGGCGTCTGGGAAGGGAGGGTTATACACACATTTCCCACTGATGTTCTGGAACTCTCTGATTACCTAATGTGAGCGCCCGAACCTCAGTGATTTACTGTTCTGAAAACATTGTGGCAGTGCTGTGGGCGGGCAACGGACCCTCTATGTCGGATTATCTGGGTGCTGCAGCAGCGTTGGGGCACAGAGCCCCGTGATGGAGGAGTAGGCAGACAGGAGTAGGACAGGAATCTAGGAGTTCGGTTAAACTCCAGTCAGAAGCCACACCACTGCAGCTACAACAAAGGTAAGTGTCATTTGTGGCTGCAGTACACTGCACCCTTAGGACACAAACAGGCCCACACACTGCAACCCAGTACACAGACACACTGTATCCCCAGCTCACACACTGCACTCCTAGCACACAGACATACACACTATACATCCCCAGCACACACACAGACACACTGCATCTCCAGCACCCCAAGCACACAGACATACACACTATACATCCCCAGCACACATACAAACACACAGTGCACCCCTAGCACACATACACACTATACATCCCCAGCCCAAACACAGTGCACCCCTAGCACACATACACACTATACATCCCCAACACACACAGTGCACCCCTAGCACACAGACATACACTATACATCCAAAGCGCACACACAGACACACAGTGCACCCCTAGCACACAGACATACACACTATACATCCCCAGCACACATAGAAACACATGTAAAATGAAATCCAAATGGCAAAATTTATGCTAAAATTGCCTATATGACTATAGTTGCTTACCTCTAATCCTGTTTCCTTTCCAACCAAAGTTCTGCTCTGCTCGTAGGAGATCTACTGCGGCTCTCCTGTGCCAATCCAATACTTCTCTCATAGAGAACCACTGGGGTCTTATGGTGCATGTGTGGCAAACTCTGTGCTTTAGGGGTAAGAAATGTTCCAATAAAGTTTGCTATTCAGGTTTCAGTTTGCTAAAATTCTGATTTTTGTGAATAACCCAGCTGCTGTTGTAGGTCAACACCCAGACTATTTTCCCAGAGTCCCCATGCGGTGTCTTGATTTGCCATTTGTTTTTTGCGTTTACTGCCTTTCATATTTAGTTTCTAATTGCCCTGTCAATTTCCCTTGTTTTATTTTTTATTTTTTTTGTTGTGTCAGAGGAACAAGCAATCCTGTGCTGCCCCAACAGCAGATGCAAGAGATTAAGTATACATAGGTCAACAGTGTAGGGCAGTTTATTTTTTATAATAATAGAAATACAAGTAGTAAGCAGCTTTTAGCAACAATATTGGTAATCTTGTGTAAAAGTGTGCCTAGCATGAGACGTACTCCGATATGGACAAGGGAAGGGTGAGCATGAAAAAGAATACGTCTGGCTACATGAATCAAATTGCAAGCTATCGTGTATATGTTTTAGGTATATAGGTAGTTAGACATTACTGATAATGAGTGAAAGGTAACCGCACGCTAGTAAAGGAGCATACTGATAAAAAAATGATAGAGTGAACATAACAGTAATGATGATGCCTGCTAACTTGTGCTATAAACTTCGAGAGCAGAAATAACATGAAATACAATGCCGGGTTGTCACACTACTGCTGGATAGCCAGGCTTAGTTCAGGAGTCCACCACAATGAGCTGAGCAGAAGCGGAGGCCAGGCCTGCAATATGTGCCAGAGGGACGTTATAGTCCACCTGTATTTTCAGCCAATACCCGCCTTCGGTGAAGCCTGTTGGGCTCTCCGCCGGTCCAGAGGGGGGGGAGAAGGAGGTGCAGAGACCCTTTGATTCAGCTCCGGGAGAGCAGCCGCTACCACACCAGTCTAGATCCAAGGCCGCAATGGCTGGTGAACTGTCATTTCGGACCGACATGGTTCCAAGTTGGTATTCGTCGGTTTGCAGAATCTCCCACCATGCGGTAAGGTGTATTTTACAGGGTATCCTGCAGTCTGAAGCTGTTTAGTTTGTGAAGCTCAGGAGCTTGTTCGGAACGCGTCCGCTCTGCTTGCCAGTCACCTGACATTTCCTTCACTTCAGACATAAAAGGTTAAGAGCAAAACATAATGGGAGATTGGAATGTCAATGGGACAGATAACAATTTGGGGCAGATGATATGACAATAACAAGTGGACACAGAGACACAATATACCCTAGAGGGTAAGATAAGGGGAATATTACTGGAAATCAAAGGATAGGGGCTTACCAATCAAAAAGCGGTAGAACAAAGAACAAATCTCAATTAAGGGAGCAGATTATCAAAGATGGGGTAGAAAAATTTAGAAAATTAGCAAAGGAAGGGTAAATCTGAAATTGAATGAGCATCATAGGCCTTGCCTTGCTATGTCCTGCTTGTGCAGTGAGACATAACAGTGAATGAGACTATCACTAATGGTGCCTTGCTTTATGACCTTGCAAATAAAAGTGCTACGTCCTAGTCATATGTAATTCAGCTGCCCCATCTATAAAACACCCCTACATGAATTCCTCACTGCTCACTTCTTAACATTTCTGAGCCTCCGGTGGTCTATATATCTTCCTGACTTTCACTTTTTTTTTTAGCAATTTGACCTTTCCTATATTGCTCAAATATACATCCATGCAGTCTGGTCAGAACAGTGGTTACTGTTACTGACTACTACATTTACCTGTTACTTCAGTTTTACTAATAATTCTGTTCTATTATTTACTGCCTAGAGGTGAGTTGCACCTACACATTTCAAAACCATTTCCTCTGGTATGTACTCATCTATGCTTCTGGGTTCCAGCTACCACACAGTAACATGATACTCCTTCTGAGATGGAAGCCATGGATCTACTTGTAATGGAGTATTTTGATATCGATTGTGGGAATCTTTAGCTTGGGATTCCTTTAATTAGGTAAGTTTTTATCTATTTCCTCTACTTACTGAAAGTAGCAAATGTGGCTGTTCTAGTCTCACAGCCAGTAACCCATGCATCGTGCCATTTGGGCCTCTATTGAAACTGTTTTGAACACAGCAACTCTGTACCAGCAGATGGAAAATCTACACAGTATCATATTGAGGATTCCATTGCACCACAATGGGACATAATTGGGGAAACAGGAAGTAACATAGGGATTTGACAATGAGGTGGGATTGCTGAGGGTGAGTTGGGTGGAGTTGAGAATTATATGGGGGGGAGGGTAACTTAAGTTGAAAAAAAAGGGGCCCATTGAAGACATTGGACTTGACAATGAGATGGGGCCTAATAATGAGGTAAGGGTGGTGCTGTGAAAACATTGGGGATCTAGGGATGAAATGGCGTTTTTTTCTTTTTCTTCAATTTCATGCATTTCTGTCCACTTATAGAAATACACACCATGCTGGCACAATTCAGTATTGGGCTGGTATAAAAAAAGCACAGGGTTACTTTGTATGTGATATACTTATGTAGCATACAAATAGGTCCGTGTTTATCATCTCCTATTATTCTCTCTAGGGCCCTGTTTTATTCTGTGAATGGGGCAGCTGAGTGTTGTGTCTATTGGTTGCCTGAGTGTTGCAAATTTTCCAACTCCATTGTCCTGCAAACCTGGATGCTGGTGGGAGGAAGGTAAAGGGGCCAGACCAATGGTGCGATTGTTTCCATAACACCCTCCCCAAAGGGTTGTACCCACCTTGAAAGGGGGCACGTTTGCCCAAATTAATTTCAGGTCAGCCTGGCATGAATGCATGCCAAGCTGCCTGTCCAGCATGCTGGCCGGCTCACTTAGGGCAGACCCTACAAGGAGCACTGTTTCAGTGCTAATCCTAGTGCAAGTGCGTCTATTAATACGCTTGTGCTATGATTGTTGGGGACTGTTCCCTGGTGTTCCCAAACGTGGAACACCAGGGAACTAAGGCAGGATGGGATTCTTGAAAGGCATAGTGTTGTGTATGGAGGAGAGAATGTTGTGGGGAGGTGGAGGCTGAGTGTGGCTGTGAGTATTGGATGACTGTTGTGTGTGGAGGGGACTTAGTGCTGTATAGAGGTGTAACTAGAAACCACCAGGCCCCCAAGGTGTCTCATCCCCCCGCCCCCTCCATGCGTCTTATTCTCCCCTCAGCCCAGTGGCGTACATACCGCAGTCACAGGGGTCGCAGCTGCAACCGGGCCCGTCACTCCAGGGGGCCCAGCCGCCCTGCGGACCCCCGTGACCGCTGGGGTCGCATGTTAAGGGGTCCATCGGGTGGCCCATGCTGTCAGGGCCACCCGATGGATATGGATTGTCAGGGGCCCCGTCTGCGCTGGGCGCTTTAACAGCGCGACCGGGCCCCCTGTGATGAGATCATCACTGCTGGGAGGAAGTGACTCCCCTGTCACTCCTCTCAGCTATCAGAGCTCGCGCAGGAGGAAACAGGAAGGAGGAGGGAGTCAGAGTGGGAACTCTGACTCCCCTCAGGCTGAGCCCCTACTGGACCCCATGGAAAGTCACAAAAGGTAAGAAATCGTGAAACATTTTGTGTATGTGTGTGTTTCTGTTTTGTGTGTGTCTGTGTCTCTGTATGTCTCTGTATGTATGTGTGTGTGTCTGTGTCTCTGTGTGTGTGTGTCTCTGTATGTGTGTGTGTATCTCTGTGTGTGTGGGGGTCTATGTGTGTCTCTGTATGTGTGTATATGTATGTGTCTATGTGTGTGTCTGCATGTGTGTGTGTCTATGTATGTGTCGGGGTGGCCCACGGATCAGGGGAGAGAGGGGAGGGAAAAAGGGGGGCCCCACGGAGCAGTTTTGCACCGGGGCCCCATGGATTGTGTGTACGCCACTGCCTCAGCACCTCCATGTGTCTAAGTCTCCCCCCCAGCCCATCCATGTGTCTCATTCCCTCCCCCCAAGCCCCTCCATGTGTCTCATTTTCCTCCAGTCTCTCAATGTGTCTAATTCCCACCCCAGCCCCTCCATGTGTCTCACTCTCCCCCCAACACCTCCATGTGTCTCATCCCCCTCCCAGCCCCTCCATGTGTCACATTCCCCCCAGCCCCTCCATGTGTCTCATTCCCCCCCCAGCCCCTATGTGTCTCATTCCCACAGCCCCTCCATGTGTCTCATTCACCCAGTCCCTCCATGTGTCTTATTCTCTCTCCCCAGCCCATCCATTTATCTCATTCTCTCCACTCAATCCCCTCCATGTGTCTCATTCCCTCCATCCCCTCTATGTGTCTCACTTTTCCCCCAATCCCCTCCATGTCTCATTTCCCCCAGTGCCTCCATGTCTTATTCTCTCCCCCCAGCCCATCCATGTGTCTCATTCCCACCCAAGCCCCTCCATGTGTCTCATTCCCCTAGTCCCTCTATGTGTCTTATTCTCTCCCCCCGGCCCATCCATGTGTCTCATTCTCTCCACCCAATCCCCTCCATGTGTCTCATTCCCCGCGTACCTCTATGTGTCTCACTTTTCCCACAATCCCCTCCATGTGTCTAAGTCCCACCCTAGCCCCTCCATGTGTCTCACTCCCCTCCAACCCCTCTGTCTCATTCCCCCCAGCCCCTCCATGTGTCTCATTCCCCCAGTCCCTCCATGTGTCTTATTCTCTCCCCCCCAGCCCATCCATGTGTCTCATTCTCTCCACCCAATCCCCTCCATGTGTCTCATTCCCCCCCAGCACCTCCATGTATCCCATTCCCTCCCCCCAGCCTCTCAATGTGTCCCATCTCCCCCCCACAGTCCCTCCATTGTCTCTCCCCTCCTGTACCTGTTTACCGCAGTACCCGGTCTGACTGGAAGTGCTCCCTCAACGAGCACTCCCAGTCAGACCGCAGCCCGCTTGGCCACGCTACAGATAGCTGCAGGAGAGGAGCAGCACATTGCAGCGATTCCCTCCTGACGGTCATCCTGCGACCACGCACACTGGGCCGAAGTGGCAGTGCCCTGAAACTATGCGGCCCATGTATATGTGTGTGTGGGAGGCTGAGTGTGCCTGTGTGTGGTACTTTGGTATTGTGTTAAGTGTTTCTGTGGAAGGGGGGGAAGCTGTGCTGTGTGAGTGTTGTGGGTGTTGGGAGAGGAGGTTGAGTATATATTTTCCTCCTTATAGTTTAGCAGAACTATATGGGGGGTGTTGAAATAATCCCTGGTGGCCCAGAGGAGGGACACTGGGCTGGATCCCGGGTGGTGGTATAGTGGGAGACCTTGTGGCCTGCACCTTGGTTGTTTACAGATGATCACAATGATGTAGAGCGCTGACTGCAGCACTTTGAGTAATTGAAAAGAGCTGGCATTGTGAGGGAGATCTTAAAGTGATCTATTCCCGGTAAAATGAATCCAGCCAGGACTCACTGTTATTGACAAACATTTTATGGATTGCTGATATAGCTTGAAGATAACATTGCAAACATGCGCTTAGCTGGGAAACAAAAGTATTTAGCAAGAACTGTCTGCTTTTTTCAAATCACATTTACATATCTAGAGCACAGTATACAACTGTGGGATACATGCACACACAGAAAGATGGCATGACTAACATAAAGACAGATTTAATAACAAATCCAGGAACATGTTGAGAATTGACCTGTGAAATTTACATTTTTTTATTTTGTTTTGAAAATCTTTTATTTTATTGAAAGATTGAGTAGTACAGAATAAGCATAACATTTGTCTGGCGGACTCGTAGGTCCACTTTGAAAGTACACGTAATCGGTCATTTACACGTTTCATAATTAGCACCCAATTAGATTTGTGTGTATACCGTATATCAGGTATCGCCTTGAGCTGTGTTGTAATTGTCAGTTGGTTAGTCGAGGCTTATATCAGCATCAGTCAGTAGCAAGGACTATGGTATCTATCATGAGGGCTACTTGCATTCTGTCCAGAAGAGCAGAGTATTGCTTGTCGCGTTTTATCGTCAGAATGCACATCAACGTGTGGGAGTTACCACCCCATGTCTGATGTAATTGAGTCAGGCGTAGGTCTTATTCCTACCGTTTTCCCAGTCCCTGTCCCCGGATGTATTTTTCTTTCGGAAGTCGCAATGCTGTATACTGGAACCGGTATTTGGCTAATATGAGGAGGTGTGGTCTCCCCTAGGTCTCGGTGAGTAGTCTCATGTCCTGATTTTGGATAATGGAAGCGTAAGGTGGATGTGTGGTCTCGTTTAGTTTGTGCACGTGCAATGCATAGTACATCGTGTGGGTCCGGTGTTGTATAGGGGTCCACACTTATATAGTCTTGGAGACATGGTATCCAGAGTGAGTGTAAGTGTATGGTAAATGTCTGATCGGTTAAAAGTGCAGGGCAGTAAGAGGGTAGGGCAGGAAAGAAAGGGAGGGAGGTAAGGAAAGAATGGTGGGGAGGTATCCATGAGGACACCCCGCCCCACAGCGCCCCCGGCCCGGTCCCCCCCGCCGCCTCCCCAGCGCCCCCCCGTCTACAGGCCCCCAGAGACATACGCGAACCACGGCATCCAAGTTTCCGCATGTTTGGTGGCCCTACCCGTGAGAGATGCATGTATCGCCTCTGCCCCCTGTATCTCCTCCACCCTGCGTATCCATTCTTCTTTGTGGGGTGTGACAGGTTTTTTCCAGTATACTGGGATAAGCGCTTTGGCCGCATTCAAGAGGTGTCGCAGGATCGAGCGTTTATATTGGGATATTGACATTGGTGATATGTGAAGTAAAGCCAATTCGACTGTCCATTCGGTCATTTCCCCTAGTATGTCCTGTATGGTAGATCTGATCATTTCCCAGTAGCAGGCGATTTTGCTACAGTCCCACCAGATATGCATCGTAGTGCCCTGCTCCGTCAAGCATCTCCAGCACGTTGGAGGTATCGTTGGGAATATTCTGTGCAGCAAAGATGGGGTTTTATACCAGTTTGTTAACAGTTTATAATTTGTTTCCTGAAAGCCTGAGCTAATAGAGCTCTTGTAGTGCCAAAGTAGAGCTTTGTCCCACTGTTGTTGCGTGAATTGTGTGAAATTTAAATTTTAGGCCAATGTATTCTCAAACTTTTTCACACAACAAATGGTCCAAATCAGCTTTCTTGGCTCAAAATTTGACATTCCCCAGTAATTTCTTGTAATACCTGGTGTGGTCAATAATCCTGAATGTGCTTCCCCTGATGTTTCAGGATACAGATCTGCATAGAATGTAGAACTTATTTGCCAAGCTCGTGTTATGTAAATGCATACGGAACCAACTAAGCAATCGGTTCATGTAGGCAAACAGTTCATATTCATGCAAGATGGCAAATGAAACCATAATTTCTGACAAGTATTGTCTAATTTATCATCCTCTTTATTATAAGTTGCAGTGGTTTATCTGTCATTGAAAGTCATCAAGGATAAAGAAAGATGGATAGACAAACAGACATAGATAGATAAACAGATTTCTAATACACAATTGCATCCTCTAACTGCCCTTAGAAAACAACAATGTCAAAATATGAGTTATTTAGTTCTGTTTAGTGTGCATAGTACATGAATAAAAAGAGCAGGAAATGCAAAACTGGCTAACCAGGCATTGGTGATTATAAAAATATGGGCTGCAGAGACCTCTAGTGGTTAAAGTAGAAAGGTGATTGTATGACGTAAGATCTTGTAAATGGTAAAAGGATAAACTTGAATAGAAATGTGTGATCACTTTAGACTAGGGCTTAACAATAAATTTTTCCCTTGGAACCCTTTGACATGGTATAGGAAAACTTTGGAACTCCAACAAAAAAAAATGTGTGCCGTCGAGTAGCGCAGTGCAGGGCAAACCTTTCAATGAGCAGAGTGTAATTTTCTCTTTTGCTGGCAATTTTTTTTTTTATATCTGGTTTAATTGTTGACAATTGTATTCGCATGTCTGCAGTTGCATCAAGTCGATTTCGATACTTTGTTTTTGTTGCAGAGTAAAGCGAGAATCCAGTTTCACATAAGTATGTGCGGGCAAATGGCAACAGAACTTTGATTGCCCACTTGGACAATTCTGGGTATTCTTCGCCAAAAAGCAATAAGAGAAACTTTTTTTAATTTTTGGCTTAGTTGACTGTCAGACGTTATATCGATCAGAGTCTCAAAATCTACAACAGAAAAATTGTCTGGTTTGTCTTTTATGAATGGATTTCGAACCCAGTCATTATTGTTTTCATTCAAGAATGGAAAATACTGATTAATAAATGTGATTAAATGGCAAAGACGATCTACAATTTCATTGCGAATTTCATCTTCAAGTTCAATTTCTGATTCTTCAAGAAAATCTTTCAGTGTTGGCAAAGAGGTCAAATTATTTTGCTCAACAGATGAGGTCAAAAACTGCAGCCTATGAGACAGTGAAAATATTTTATCTCTTGCATTAAAAATATTACAGTTTTTTCCTTGGAGTGATAAACAAAGTCATTTAATTTTGTGAATATGTCTGCAAGATATGCTACTTTGGATAACCACAGTGTGTTTGTAAATCGATCAGATAATCCAAATTTATGATCCTGGAAATATGCAAACAACTCTTGACGCAATTCAAACATTCTAACAAGGGCTTTACCTCGTGATAGTCAAAGGACTTCTGAGGGGTGACTACCCATATCTTCACATATAATTTTAAATAGTCGTGACTGTAATGGTCAGCTTTTTATAAAATTAATAATCTGGACCGATTCGTCTAGCACTGTTTTAAGTGAGATTGAAATATTTTTAGCTACCAGTGCATGTCTGTGAAGAATGCACACACAGAAAGATGGCATGAATAACATAAAGGCAGGTTTAATAACAACAGTTTTTTGCTAAATTTCTTATTCGTGTAACAGCGCCTGACACTTTTCAAACCATTGCTTTGGCACTATCACTGCACACATTTACACATTTGTCCCAATTTATACTGTGTGTGTTCATGAACTTCTGGATACAGTTAAAGATGTTCTTATGAGTTTTCCAAGTTTCACATAGAATCAAGTCTTCTTCAATCTGTTTGTCAAAATTATATCTAACAAAAACCAACAAAATTGAAAGTCCTGCAACATCTGTGGACTCGTCTAATTGCAGTGAGTACCCATCATATTGATGCAGTCGAGAAATAAGTACAGTATGGATGTCATCAGCAAGATCATGAATACGGCGCAAAACTGTGTTGTTGGAAAGTGGCACAGCTTTAATTTTTTTTTACTCAACTTCTCACTTAAAATACATGACACTATTTCTTTTGCACGTGGTTTTATTAGTGATTCCCCAATTGTGTGTGCTTCTCCTGCAAGTGCTACGCGGTAACTCACTATGTAAAAATCCTCTGTGGCTTTTTATTAGCATTTTGACATTTTTTGCTCATAAATTGTTTACTCTTCTTATACTCCTTTAGCTTAAAAAAGTAATTGTCTTTATCTTTGTACTCTGCATGGTTTTGCTCAAAATGCCGATGTAAATTAGCAGGTGCTAATGAACTGTTTGGCAATATTTTATTGCAAAGTACGCATTGTGCTTCAGGACAATTTTCATTTCTGGCACTCGTGAATCTGAATGACAAGTAGCTGTCATCATATTTTCTTTTCTTTGTTTGAGAGGAAGATTGGATAGCAGTGTGTGCTTTTTCTCTCTGCTATTTGTCTCTGCTATTTGAGGAACAGTAGATACAACGATTTCAGGGAAATGTTTTCTGGATTTTTAGTAATATATTCTTTCACAGTTTCTATAAGTGCCGAACAGGTAGAAGAGTTTCCTGCTTTAACCAGCTTTCCAAATTCATAGTTTATTGGTAAAAAAAAACAAAAAGAAAAAAAACTGAAAAATACATATCTCACAACCTGACTGAAAAGAATGCTGATTTTGATAACGCTCTTATAAAGAATCGAACTAAAGCAGGATTTTTGAGTTGGACTTGGAAGAAAAAGATTTGAACACTTTGAAAAATATAGTTAACTGTTTTTTGCCCCTTACAGAGTCATTCAATGTCCCTTACAGAGCCTTTTAATGTCCCTTACAGAGCATTTCAATGCCCCCGACAGAGCCTTTCAATGTTAGTAACAGAGAATTTCAATGTCCCTACCTAACAGAGCTTTCTATGTCCCTACTTAACATAGCTTTCTATGACAATAACACAGCTTTAACTATCAACTCCACTCTCTATCACTCCTCTACCACGAGTGATAGAAAATGGCTGACTGCTGGGTGGGATGGCTGGTGGCTGGGTGGGCTCTCTCACGGCAGTGCTAAGTGGCTGGCTGATGACAGGGCGGGCGGCAGGGTGGGCGCTAGGGGGGCTTTGATGGCAAGGCGTGCTGATGGCAGGTCGGATTTAAAATCGTGCTCCTGAGATCTCTTATGAGATCGCGTTTGCGAGATCTATGCTGTTTCTTACCTTCCGAGAACAGCAGGTAGCGGCGGCTATCTTGGATGTGGCTAAATGCCGCCGAACCCCAATTTTGTTCTAGTGGAACACCAATTGGGAAACGCTGCTTTAGACCAGCACATTTCCATAAAATCAATTTAAGATTTAAAAAAAATTTTTTTTTAAAACACTTTTTTTTTGTGAATGTTAAATACAGCACATATGTCAAGCATAGTTTCAGCTACAGGAAGTTTGTCATGGAACAGATACAGAGTCAGTGTAAACAAGAAATGGATCAGCACTAGTATATCAGTAAAGAGTGTACATGAAGCATTCACATTCACTTTTTTGCATTTAACAATACAACATAAGTAAAACAAAACAAAAGTTTGTCGCATATAACATGGCCATAGATAATTTTCAGACAGTATAGTTGTATCAAAGGTCAGTAGGTTCCCCCCCCAAAATAAAAAACCTTCATCGTTGGCAAAAAATCAGCAACAGTTGCCTCCAACCTTGATCATTTGAAGAGGAGATAAGTGGTGGCCACGAAAAAAAATAACAAGGACAAGGATACCTCCATTTCTCTTGAACAGATAATTGAAAGTGCCAGACACTATGATGAATAGGAGTACATTGGTAGTATCATGACTAGGTACAGTGCCATGCAAAGGGCGAGTTACATTTCCTTGTGTTGGGAAATTGGTTGTGCACTTAGAATTGAGATGCAGCCCATAGACTTTGGATAGACCCAGCTTAGCTATATTATGTGGGGATATTTATGGGATAATAATAGTAACAGTGAGAATTGCCCACTAATTCAATTCTCAGACCCAAAGATCGTTATCGTAAGTGAAATGTATTTCATATAAATAATATCACAATTTATAAAAATAGATTTTATTTTATAATAACAAATTAATTAATAATAATAATATGTAACATGCGTGACAATAATCAATGAATATCCAGTATAAAATGGTATGCAATACAAAGGAATGGCTATACACATTTCAATGGCTAAACAGCATTTTCTGTCAAGACTTTTGACGATTTATGACTATCTTTCACAGAGAGGAAGCAAAATTTTTCACAGCAAAGGGCCATAAAACCCTGGCTAACAGTTAGAATAACCCTTTCAATGCTGGCTAGATCTCCTAGGTAATTAAGATCTATTCTTATGTAATTTTAAATAAAATAACATTTAAACCAGTTCATTAGTCATTTCCTGGAACCATCCAATAAGATAATCTACCATATTTTTACAAAAGCAGAATTTGTTTTTAATTTGTCTAAAAGATATCTTATCTTAATTTAGAGCAAATCAATACACCTGGATAAAAACAGCGGTATGCTAACACGTGATAATATCACATCAATATAGTCATATCATGCTATTAGTAAATTTTAATTAATTTAATTAATTAAATGAAACCAGTATAATTACCAGTTGAGTAGATATTTCATCCGATTGGTAGATAGTCTCAGGAACTTATTTGGATGTCTCTCTGCATGAGTTATGGTGAAAGGTGGTGTTGGTTAGAAAGTCAGTGAAATTCTAAGTGTTAGAGTTTTAAGAGTAGAGTGTTAGTCTCAGATGTTGTCCGAGTTGGAGTCCCCAAACTTCCAATTCCTCTCTCCTCTTTTTCCTTTGCATACCCTCTATCTTCCCTTTGTCCTAACTTTTAAAGGGCCAGACTCTCTGTACGTCATTAGTTGATAACCCAATAGAAGCACTAGAGGTATGGTTATCTAGGGATCGCAATTTAGGTATTTGGTCTATAGAGGGCAGTCTTGTCCCACTAAACATACCTATCCAGGAAAGAGTTAACTTTTCCTGGTGGCTATTTTGACGTCATTTTGGCCTTATCTTTATAGTGCCATAATTTAAAATTTCAAAGAGTTTTCTCTTAGTTTTGTCCAGACTTAGTGTCCGCAATTCCTGCTATAATTTCTGATATGGCAGATCATGAACTAAGTTTAACCTTTTCCGTACAATGGTACCTTACATATATAGAAGGTAAAAGTTAATTATTTAATCTTCTCTGTCACAAATGTCTGGGTTTAGAATTGATCTATTCCATTAGCATTTAGACAGTCTATCCAACCCCCGTTCTCCTTATCACTTGGTTTGTATATACTATGCATTCCTTTAGCTCTGGGAAAGTGGTTAGTTTTACAGAAAGAAATCTTGTGTCTTTGTTAGCTTGAAAATAACAAAATGGAGTCTGGTCTGTTCAGAGTGACTCAGAATATACACTTTTAATTTCTATCATAGCACAAGATGTCTGCCGATATAAATACCCTGACAATTACAAAATCAATAGCTTGTTGAATTAATTTTATATGCTGTCAGGTCACTTGTTTATTATCCCACAAAATTAGTGGTTTAGACAAAGTCTATATTGCTGGGCGTATTATTTTTTAAATGATTTTTTAAAAACATTTTATTTATTGTAAAGGTATACCCTATTAAACCTTAAACCAAGTAACCTCCTTCCATTTATATAGACTTTAGCATTTTGGGGACTCTGTCCCAAATCTTTCTAGAAATCTATGTACACATACATAATGTATTCCATGCTTGCATTATACAATATTTACAAATTAAACAGCTGACATTTTCTTCTACGCTTCCAGTTGCAAGAAAGATCTAGTGAACCCTTAGAAATGTCCTGGACTTCTGCATTGATTATTCATAAAATGTGATCTGATTTTCATCTAAGTCAAACTAATAAGATACAAAATATTATTGAAGACAGTCAGAGTTGTTCACTAAAGTGACATTTGTGCTTAAAATGTGGCTATGCTGGCCTTTAAATTTGAAATTAATTCTAAATTTCCAACAATTCTCACTTTAGAGCATTATCCTGATCTAGTAATCATTCACATGTCATTTTGACACAAACAAGAAAACAATGTACTTTATATAATTTCAGTTGTGTACGGGAACGTGTTTGTTACCATGTTATAACCAACATAGGAACATTGTTATTTAATGTTCAACAAATAAATTTAAAGACTCCAAACCCTTCCTAATAATACTTTGCAGTAGGAAGGTAGGAATATGCCCTGTTCCAAATTATTATGCAAATGAAATGTTTCTCATTTATCTAAATAATTGATGTAAATAACAGTCAGCATAATTCTCATGTTATCAACTATTAAGAGTACAATTTATATTTTATTG